TCATCTTCATAAGTAAGACGCGCCCGAAACTATCTTTTACTGCGTATCCGCACGCTATCCTCCCGAAGCGACATTTATCATCCGGCAACTCCACCCGCAACACCCGGACTACCGGCAACCCGCACCATTTATCAACTCCAACCGACTCCACTAATTCAGCCTTTGCTCCTTCAACTCTACGCACTATCACACTACTGTTAGATCAAAAACATGAAATAAACCCGTTCGCACGGAAGGAATTCCTTGCCGCCGCAAAGTTGTACTAGTATAACACAAGACTGAAAGGTGCCAGAATGGAATAATGTACATGAAGACTTCATCAGATCCCGGGTGCAGAAGATGAAAACAGAAGAGATGATAGTAGAGGATGTGATGGTTATCCTACCGCCACATTAATTGATTTCGCTTAATCATGCTTTATACCACTTTTGCAATTTGGCGGAGAGCCCAATGCGTCTTGTGCTAATGCTGACGCATCGCTATTAGCACAGCCAAACGACAAAACAGACAGACACACACTAAAAACCATCCCACCTATATAGTTAGCTTAGCTCATCTTCTTTATGATTGATACGGGCGCGTAATGCACATAATTAATGAAGGCAGACGGCATTACATTACATTCGCGAAGAACTATAACCGCGCTGGCGGCGCCAGCTGACTAGACATAGGCGAGGAAACGAAAGAAAAACACCAGTCATCATCATCCAACTTCCGGCGCGCCACATTAATCTCGCCTAGAATTGCATTACAATTGCAGAACATCCTCGAAAACTTTTTCCCGCTATGCAGCGATAGATGGCGCTCAAGTTGATTATTTTCATTGTTATTTATTTATAATTTACTGCGTCGGTAATTCCAAACCCGCCGCTCGTTTGTATCCAGCCACTCTTTGCGACACGAAGGAAATAATGTAATAACTAATTAAATAAATTAAACTTCCGAAGCGCGTCGTCGTTTGGATCCGTCTGGCATGGCGTTTACTCGCCTGCAACACGACCCCATCCACCACTACCACCACCATCAGGCAACTTCGTTATGCGTCGAAGACGAAAGACGTAAAGTCGTACCTCGCACAGCCCCATGCCCAAGTTAAGGGTGGGTAGTATGAGCGTCCGTTTCGTTTGTGTGTTTTAATTAGCGTCAAGTGCATTTAATTAAGAGAGGGGATCCCTTACAGTCCTTACACTGCTCCTCGCCGGAATATCAAGCACGGTTAAACAAACTGTCTCCGTAATCAAAACAAACACAAAATAAAAATAAACGCAATTTGCGAATAGTGGAAGTTTTACTTTTACAACCACCGCCATCTAACGGCATGAAATTGTAATAATATTATACGTTTTTATGGCAACATGCAGTGTAGAGAATAATAAAAGCTTGCGTTTATAAAAGACGATGGACGCGGGCGCGCGCGACACACACAAAACGAAGAGGAAACGAGTTAATTAAATACGTAGACGTTTCAGAGGTGGCGATGATTCAATTTAAGCCTGCCGAGTGCAGCCGAACCGCAGAAATGATTTCCAAGCGGGTATTGCACACCGCAACTTGTAACTGTACATTTAATATCTACAACAAAACGATAACTACCTGAATGCAGATGGCGCTCCGGTTGTATAATGTATGTATTCACCAATGACTCATGAAAACTTTCAATGTCATTAACGTGAAACCAGGAGACAACACGACGGTGTGGTACTTGTATGCGGCGCATAATTTATGTCAATTCCGACGTGATTTCTCGGCGCGTGATTAGGCGTTATTAAACACTATTAAAGAGAAAATGACGGCCGGCTAATGAAGCACGGCGCGGCGCGAGCGTAAATTGATATTTTATGAGCTTCCTCTCGGCCGAGTCGTGCCAAGGCACACGACATGCCGACTACATCAGAAAAACTACGCGAAATTGGAGGTCAAAATTGAAGAAAAAGGCGTTTGTTGTGTATTTGCGACGGAGGCAAGATCGTTGCAGCGCAAAGGTCAATCAGGAACGTGTCAAGCAATTGCGTAGCAATCGAGACTGTGAATCATTTGATTGCAAGGAGGCCATAAAATTCTACTTTTCTAAGCAGTCAAAACAAACGGACGCATAAAACACACCGCTAAACAATAATAGAAAAGAGAAGTTATACAGTGAATGCAAAATTCGCGATTTTATGTCTTGATAGAAGCAATAAAAGAAAAATAAGATTTAAATGACAATAAATTTAAAAAAAGGTTAAAGTTTGGTTATTTGGTTATAACTAGACTTTATGAACTAGTGTGTAAAAGTCATATTATGACCAATTACTAATGAAAACTATAAATTAGCAAAAGAAAACTTTTTTTTCTCACTAAAAAAAGCAAAGTTAGTTACAACATTTATATCTCAAGAATCACTGGCCGGATTTTGACAAACCATGATTTTTTGGATTCATTCAAACCAGAATAGCAGAATAACTATTAAAATATCAAAAATTAGTACTTGAAAGGTGTTGAAAATGTGTTGAAAATTGTTTTAGAGATTCAATCATAGTTATAACTAAACAATTAAATCAGAGATGGCGTTAAAGTGCATTATTAGCAATTCGTCATTTTTTAAATAAAATATTGCAAATCTAATTCATAAAATTGATGCATTAATTACATTTTTACCAAAAACGACACAGGTCACCGGTAAAACTAGTTTTTAATATTTAATAAACAATATACTAATTGAATTCCGAGATGAAAATTCGATTTTTATCCACCCGCGTTTCACATCCCGGTGTCTGATGTCGAATGTAAGCGCACTTTAATATAATGCAAAACGCGGCTATAAACTATGAACTACTACTACGTGCGGGTGGAGCGGGAGCCGGACTACTCCACTTACGTGTGCGAAGGCGGTGGCGGCAGGCGGGATATTTTATGCAATGCGGCTGATCGTTATGGCATCGCGTTATTGGCGCAGCGCGCAACGCCAAAGAAGCCCCAGATAGAAATTGCGCGAAATTTACGTTTCATACTCAAATATTTTTCCACCGCGTAGTATAATCTAAATTTTCAAGTACCTATGTAGGTACTCAATATTGCTTGCAAATGTTCGGGCGGGCAACTCCTCAGGTGTAAGTTTTGCATGATTTAGTTGTTCGCGTTGTAAGCAGTTTGCGTGCGTTAGCGAACAATTTTGCACGTTTGCGCACATTTGTGTGCGTTCTCCAATTAGTCCCGACGTTGCACTCCATTTATTATTCGCGAGCTGATTGTGCGCACCGGTTTGCGATCCGTCCCGCAAAACCGTTCAAATGTTGAGAGTGGATTTTATACATAGAAACACAAAAAAAAACACACCAATTTCCAGCGCGCAACATTCCAATGCAACAACCATTTAATGCTGACGCGGATGAAATTCGCAAATAAACCAAGTGTGAAAACGAAAAACTGGAATTTATTGCTTATTACACATGCATTTTACTACGTTTACCACTCTAAATGACAAACAATTCGCATTAAATTAAATAAATTAAAATTATTCACTAGATAATTAATGATTGTCCATGTAGACATTTAAAAAGAGCAAAATTCGCAATTTTAAACGCACAAAAAATACAGTTAATAGTGAATGCGTTGCAGTTTCCAACAAATCGTTGATTTTGCTTTAAAAAATGCTAATATTGCAACAAACGCATCAATCACCAGTGCAAACAAGTAAATTCGCAACGACTGCAATCATAAAAAGCGTTTTTAATGTCATTGACTTTAAAATTGTAATATATTTACTGACGCGCATGTAAACTAGACTATTAATTGCATGAAAATGCATATAATATAATTATATTCACTATAACCTCAAATTTTATACATAAAATTAATTAGATTCTCAAATAACATCATTTTTACTACGCGGATAAAATTTATGAGAAATATATTTACATTTTAAAAGGCTCATTTCGGATATATAAATTTTTGGAAGTCGTGAAATGCTAATTTTCAGAGGATTTTATAAGATTTGTAAACGCGTCAAAGTTTTCGGAATATTTGAATGAATTCCCAAGTTAAAACTTGTCAAGAATTTTAATTAACTACGTAATTCGTGATGATTTAACCTAAAATTTATTGACAAAACGTCTTTTGCGTCGAAGAGACTAAGACAATACTCGTTTTTTACATTTTCCACTTCCGAAGAGCGAAAAAAAATGTATGTTTCTATGGTAGCACTCCGGCTGAGTCGCCGAAGAGAAGGCAAAAGCAATGCACCGTTAGTTGAACTAAATCTTGAAACCCGCGCGCGGTATCATAAAGTCGTGTGTTGAGGAGAGCGTGCGCGCATTGCGTGCGCCGAAGAACGGCCGTAATTAGCTAACCCTTCCTCGGCTGTGCGACTCCTTCGCCGCGTCGGCTTCTCGCATCGTTTCGTCGCTCCGGGCATATATTAAAAGGTTATTCGCCTCATTACCGCAACCATTCGTCGATCGCGCACCGTGCACCGGCTTTACTCTTCAACTCAATGTTACCAAACCAACAAAACAAGCAAGAAGACAAAACTGATATGCGATAATCTAATCAATTGTAATATTACGCCATGTATGCATAAATAAATACGCGTGATATGATTAAGAAAACACGGTAGATATTTCAGTTGAGCGTTGTAAAGAGACAGGAACAGGTTTTGAAAAGGCAAAGAAGTGGAAGTAGAAGAAGCGCAACACGTTGATGCGGAGGCCCGGAGTCGTAACGTGGATGGCGCTTCTAAGCCCAGGCTTAGAAGAAGTCTTTTACGATTTTTAACGACGCGCCGCGATCCATCACGACCTCGACGCCGGCGAAGAAGAGAAGAAGCGAAGGAGGTGTGCCCGTGTCATGCCACGTGGAATATTTCCAAACGAAATAATCCACTTCGCATTATATTATTGTATTGCTAGTATTCTTTATTTTAGTTTTATATACGTGATAAGATATAAAACCAGAATTTTGAAGGTCGTGTTTATGTTTTGATACCGAATAACAAAAGTGTGTTGATTTAGTACGGCGTTTACCTGGTGATATACGAACGTCGGCGTCCACGCACACGCCGCTCCACGCGACGAGCAGCGTCGCGATGACGGCGGCGACGGCGGCGGAGGCGGCCGGCGTCCGCCGCGAACACCCCATTGTGCGCACCGGTGTTCAAACACCACTGCGTGTATTCCTTGTACCTCACTCAACAACACACAAAATACACACACTCTCACACACTTTGAAGTCCAACAACTTAAAATTTGATCATAGTAAATTCATATCACATCATATCCGTTCTTAAACACATTGAGATTGTAACACACTGAATTTATTTCGTATTTAAATATCCAACAAATGCGCGTCGAAATAAATGATTAGACGTAAAAGTTTTCAACTCGTCACACTGGAGTGAAGAGCGGATTCGGGTGGCGCACGAGAGAAGAGAGAATAAGATGAGCGCGATCTCTTCGGCACCGCGGTCGCTCGCGCACTAACCGCATTCTCCGCCGCTACCTGAGCGCGCGCCGCGCGCGACCACTTCGCGCGCCGCCGCCCCTCTACCCGCGCGACCACTTCGGCCGAGTCGTACATTCCGCTTCCATCGTTCGTCAAACGCGCAACACTCAAATAAACATTTATTTCGTATTTCGCATCATGCATCATCATCTGGTTTAATTACAACACTCGGTATATTTTTACACCTTCGACTATTTCCGCACACACTTTGTATGATGCATGTGTGAATGCAACTAGACTAGACCTGTGTGCTTCCAGCACAGTCATTCAGGTGAACTTTTCTTTATTTTTTTTAGTTTTTGTAGCACCTGGGCAGGTAGTGCAGCTACCGACTTCGGCGTTGACATCAAACGATCAACCTTCGCATTGCGATGTGTTTGAATTGCGCATAAAGTTCGGAACTTTAACAACTTTCGAGTTATAGAGCATAAAGTATTCCCAACACATCAAAAATCTCTGCAATCTGCTAAACTTTACAATTTTACTAAACTTGAATATCAAATTAACAAGTTTAATTATATTGATGAGTTACTAATGAATAGAGTAATCTCAGTGAGAATGATTTGATTTATTTCTCATGGTCATTATTTCTTTATCTGTTTTATATTTTTACCAAACATAAAACTTATACCTAAATAAAATAAACAAATATGATGAATAATAGAGCAAACGTTTTTATTGTTGTTTATATTGTCAAAAATGACTAAACGTAAATCAAACAATAAAAACATTTTACTAAAATAAAATTTAAATGTTGGGAAATTTCTATGATTTGATTTTTGCGTTAAAAATATTCAAAAAATGCTTCCCTGCCCACCAATTAAAAATAAATACATTTTCCCTAAAATTTAAATGAATTCCATCATAATACCTGCATTTACCTGTCCTGTAGACAGTGGCTCAGACAGATTATCACTGATCGCGTCTAAAGATGCAATAATTTGTACCTAATTTGTCATGAAACGATCATCAGTCTGGTTTGTGTCATAATTGCGCTTCGATATACGCAGCCAGACTACAATTCCGCATCGTTTATGTCTGTTAAAAATTTGCTCGTCGGTATCGTTGCACTTTACTGCATTTTTAGTAGAAAACTTAAACGGGAGCGTTTTCTCGCAGGAGCCGTCACGAGATGAACCCGGAAAAGAGCTCCGAGCATAAAACGCGCACAGTCATAAAGTGTGCGTTGTTAAAACGCGACGTGCCGACGTGATTCTATTTCATTTGGTTCTCGTTTCCCCGCTATAGCGCCAATAGTTTCCCTCAACTTGTTATTAAAATTTACGATTCACGATTAAATGGAATTATTGTAAGGTTAGGCCACCAATTATACGTGTATCATCTGTCATAGTCTGCCAAATGATATTTGTAAGTAATGTGAGGTTATGATGAATAAAGTCGCATTGAAAACTAATATCAGCCATGAGGCGAGCTGGGAATCATTTTTTAAGGGTGTGAGCACCCATGCGCGTAATGACGGTTCGAGGTAGAGTTATTGCAGTAACAAAATTGCGAAATTAATTTAATCCGAAATCGGGGGATTTCGGATCCGTTGGTCCTGTGCTATGAGCGCACGAACGCCGACGTCAAGGAGTTCGCAAGCGCGCGCAAACGAGCGAACGCTCTTAATTAGAAATTTCTCATATTACTATACATTCGTGCGCGGATATATTATATTTCGCGTATTATGAACGAGTTGAAAATCGAAATTGCAAAATTTCATTAAGGAGGAGCCACCCCGGGAGACTCGGCATGGTGTATTTTGGAAAATGGTGGTAATTTCCTCAATTGGCTTACATAAATTTCAACGGAATTAATTTTATAAAAGTACCTATATCGAAAGTAAATTCAATAAAATCCAAATTGAGTGTGTAAAGTGCAATATTTGCGCACGAGTGCGTAAAAAACTCTATTTCCACGTTAATAATTGAACTTTTACATTTTAAATCTTCAAAATGCGCAAGTTCTACCCCGTGACTAAAACCCGTGACTAAAGTGCGTTAGTCCGTGTTTAAAGTACTTTTTGTGTTTCAAAACCGTTGAAAAACTCGTGGTAGAAATAGAAAAAGAAATTTTAACACGTTAAATACATTATACACAACAAATGTTTATAACTTTTATCATGTTTACACTTCAATACTTGACAAAAATCAACACCATTCGTGATTAGTTTATGCATGAAATTCTTTCGCGCTTACCGGCATCTAAACTACGCCGATAAATTCCACCATTTTGTATTGTATTACTGCACACTTGCGATAACAATTATCGCTAAACAATGATTGTCCAGAAATGTCGCACGCGTGATTCAAAACCCAATCAAACTTATTCCGCGAATAATTATTAATTTTACAGCCAATAATGAAGTTGTACAATCAGATGACGGAGGATTTTAAACAAACAGAATAATAAAATTAATAAGTTATTAAATTTGTAAATTATTATGTGTTTGTAAATGTTTATTTACATGTTGTGAACCTGTAGACATTTGTTTACGCCGTACTCGCCGGTACCAGTCGTTATTGAATCGGTAATTACGCGAGCGTTCTCAGTACGTCCGTGCGTCCGCAGCGATCCGTCATTAGCGGCGTATAATGCGCGATTCGCCATTTCTAATTAAAGTCCGTGCAATAATTGTTTAATTTTTTGCGAGCGCACGGACTGCTTATATAAGAATTTTTTTTGTCAACTCACATATAAATTTTAATTTTATTATCAACTGTAGAAAAGAAAAAAAAAACACAGATTGTGTAGTTTCAAGATGTTAAAATTAATGTTTTAGAACCTCAAGGGTGCAAAAAGTTATGTTATATCACACGTTCTAATGTTTAAATAGAGAAAATACAATTTATATACGTTTTACATTGTCGGACAAGTGTGTAAAATGTTTCTTTTTTACATAAATAATCATAAATTCTCATTTTTTCCAGAATAAAATACTTTCATTGAAAACTAACATTTTTACGTGCCAATAATACCCATTTTACACACCTAAAACCTATAAATGATGCAATTTCCGCTTATTCTAGAAATAAACCATGGCGCCTCAACAACAAGCAATTTGCCATCTTATTGCGTTTCTATTAAAACCTATTTAATATAAAATAAACTGCTTGAAGCATTAATTAAATATAGTAGAATGTGGCGCATTATAGCAACGTAACCAATTTCGGTTTGTCGATGCTGCGAAGCGGAGGGCGTAAAATTAACGCAATTAAAATCGAGCGCGCGAATTACTATCGATTGCGGAGCCGCGAAGCCACCGGCCCATAACCCGTTCATAACGGCAGCGTAATTGCGCTGCGAATGATGGCGATGCAGCTCTCATCTGCGTGCACCGTGTATATTGTACACCTACGTGTGTGGGCGAATTCGTGTACCAGAATATTCTCAACATGTCTCAGTGCGCAATTGAATCATCGGCCAGTGGGCAAAAGTCTCATTTGTGGTATTTCCCTATATCACACACACACGCAGTAATAAAATGCGAATAAAATAAATTGTATTTTTAATGCGACATTTTGTCTCGTACTTATGTCGCGGTTTAATATTTTCGCTGATAATTTTATCAGTTGTGAGATTAACACAACAAAAGGTGTGATTTATACCATTACCATTACTTATTCAATGTTTCGGGCTGATCCGAGTGCAATAATGCAATTTTCACGCGCCGCGCCAACATTTTATCGGGCACGCATTCATCACGTACATGAACAATACATAATTAACACACACACAGTCGTATTAGCATTAAAATGTAAAATGGGAAATGTAAACGACAAACGATTTTAATAATTCGGATGGTTTCGACAACACATGACTAAGTAGAGCAGTAAATATGAATATAGCAAGCAATAAAATCAAGTTTTATTAACGTCTGCAAAATATAAAAATTTTACTTTTTCACTTTTGATACTTAAACGTGTTTTGAACAATTTTTTAGAAACAGTCTCATTCGGCACGAATTTAGGTAATTAAAAACAAATTAACTTAGTTTTTAAGCAAAATGGATTTTTTTTACTTTTAAATTTTTTTTCTCGCTTAGGTATTTGTTTTTGTCAGTCATGTGTGTAATTAAATTACATGTCGTTACCTGTGCCAATTTTACTTTTTTTTTTCAATGATTACACGCCAATGACTGTCGGTTATTTGCATTACATAACTACCAAACAACATAAACAGCTATTTATGCTGTTGGTACTTACCTGTTTACCTATTTTATTCAATCGGATATTTGTTCCCAAAAAATTTATTTGTAATAACAACGAAATTATCAAAAAAATAAATCGCTTCCGGTAGAAAAATTATTTTGCAAATGCAAACAAGCATTATGTTGCTTGTTGCCAATTGAATTTTGCTTCATTAGAGGCATGTTGACTTTGTCGTCGATAATAACGGTACGGTCAGTGCGTAATGGCCGCCTACATACGACATACGGTAATGGGTATAGGTAAGTAAATTCAAGATGCAAACACAGACTGTGGGTGCGCAATATCGCCGGCTGCGATTGCCAATTTATTGCGGAATATCTCCATTTTGCGATCTTGCAAATTTTATCTTCGATTTCCGGCAGTTACTCTACTCTGTGGCGTATAAATTTAGAAATGCATGTTATTTTGATGTGAAATTTGAAATATTTTGTAAGATTCCATTTAAAATAACCATATTTCAGTACTGGTTTTACAAACATTATTTTATCGTTAACCTACAACATAATTTAGATTTTATAGGTTATGTCGACTAAAATCTGTCAGAAAAGCATTACGTATCTGAAGTAAAAAGTGTTTTTGACGCACGGGAGCCTTAAAATTATTTTCTTTCCTAAAAAATGCCCAAAATTTGAAATTATCGCTCATCTACTACCAAATTTAAGTTTTTTATGTTATGTTGACTAAAATTGACTAAAAAATACTATGTTTTCATTGAAAAACTACAGTAAATAAGTGTATTTAAACTTTAAGACTTCAAAAATATTTTCTTTTGTTAAAAAACAATCAAAAACATTAAATTTCTTTGTTTTTTCACTTCCCAAATACAAAATACAATAAATAAATGACCTTAAAAATTCCAAACCGATAAAAATAGGAGTGTGACATGATCCATTCCAGATTGGACAATTACTAATTCGCGGAAAATTTGTTATTGCATTAAAGTGTGTCAGTATGTGTGCAAGTTGCTTGGTTAACGCCATTAACAGCGCTAATCCTTTCTTTCTCCGCTCGACGCGCTCGCATCATGTTTTATTTATTTTCTTCGCGTTCGCTCGCCCATCGTTTACGGCATTTACGCTTTACCTTTGCGTTTACGATCACCTTGACTTCTGATCTGGTCGCTGATGTAAATTGCGAATACAACTTGTGCGAAACTATCAAACGTTTGAAACTATGAAACTAGATGCCATGCATTCATGGCCATGCAGAACCATAAAGAACGCAAAGAAATAATAATAAATGCACTTATATGCGCTTAATACGTTTAGCACGTTTATTATTATGTACTTATTTGTATTTATGGTCGGGCGAGTTGGTCGCTCATGCATGTACAACTGACAACAATGATATACATAGTAACTATGTCTAGTAACTATGCTAGCGCAGTGTGAGTTATTGTGAGAAAATTTTCAACTTGTGGAATATTTTGTTTGAAGAATGACAGCCATCTTGCAAACATCCATGCTGGAGTGCTTTGTGCCTACCAGAAACTTAACGATAACTTAATAACAACAACACGGCGCTGGGGAAGCAGCCGAAATTGCGAACGCCGGCTACGTGTTCGCGACGTTGCTGTTTATTTTTCCAAAGTGCATTTTGATCATACATACAAAGCGGAAAGCACTAAAGATTTTCGTATAAACATACATAAAACCACTTAAATATATTAATTATAATGAAATTTTGGATGTTTTCCCCGAAATGCGTGATTTTAAAAGCGATAAACAAAATTTTAACGGTGAAAACATAGGTAAATATTCATAAATCTTATTTTCCGAATAAATATTAGTTACTGATTATTATGAACAATTTGTATATCGAATATAGTCTACAAGTCGTAGAGTAGGGCTGTTAACGCGCGAGCGATGCGAATACGCGAGCGCGAAGTGTTAATTACGCGCGTTATCTTAATTAACGTCGACGCGGCAGCCGCGCTCCGACGCCGCCTCCGACGCCATTCTCATATATCACCGCCGAATGTGCAATATCGCCACGTATGCAAGTATGCATCTTGTTGCGCTCTAAATTACTAGTGTAATTGTGACACCAGCGTAAAAACGTCATTTTAATAGCTTGTACAAAATATTACCGCCATTTTAATAGCTCTCAACACTTGATATGGCATAATATGAAAAAATTGGGATAAAAATTTGAGATTTCTATTTCCGACTGCGTTTTGACATGTTGACGATGATATTATTGAAGTTTTGCCGGATAACATTATGAAAATGTGTCTCTCATGCGAAAGAGCCTCTGTCGAGCGAAGGGCAATGTGGGCACTCCCGACGAAATATCGAAAAATATGCGAACGCGACAAACAGCCGAGAGCGTAATAGCGCAAGGAAATGAAAGCACCCGCGCATTGGTAGATGCGATGGCAAAAACAAATATGTTGCGCAAATACGCGTCGCGGCGCATATTTGTTTCGATTATTTGTATGGAATGCAGCGTGCAGCTTGCACTTATGCTGCACTCTTCACATTTCCGTCCTGCGGAAGTTAACAAAGACAAAAAATTACGAAACGTACTTCACGAAAATTTTATATTCTTTATCAAATGATTCAAACATATAAAAATTAGGTTTAGATTAATTTATTTAACATAATTATTAAGTTATTAGCCGTAAAACTTCAAAAATTTGATGTAAAAATAGTGATTTTTTTAATTTTGTAAAAACTGTAAAATTTTAATTAATATTTCTGTTAAAATGTTATTCAGTATTAATTTCTAAATCTATTTGAATTGAGAATTAATTAAAATGGTTAATAATCAATAGTTACACCATAATTTTCCTAAATTTTACATTTACCTTCAAAAATGTAGCAATTTTAGTGAAAATTGTGTTTAATTAATTATTTAATTTTTAATTAAAACGTATTCACTGAATTACCGCAAAAGAAATTTCATCACTAAAAAATTATTCCTCTTAATATTTATTTAACAAAGAAGAAACTTATTTTAGCACAATTTATTCCCGCTACTGCAATTAATATTGCAATTCTACGAATTCATTTACGTTAGTTAATTACCAAACTTGATTGTATATCCTACCGTGAATGAATAAAGTTTTATAACTTATAAAACAAAAAAGAAAATAAAGTGTTTTCAAGAAAAAAATTTACATCTTGAAATTTCCGAGATAAATTAACTGCGATACGTATAAACAAAATTTCCAGTTTAGCAGGTTTGCAACGTCTGCTCATAATAGCCAATAACAAAATCAATTCGTGCAACGTTTTCACGTTTTATTCAAAGATTTACGAACGATTTCAACACGCCTAATTCACATCTAAAAAAATACTGCGCTTTGTTCAAAGTTTATAAACGAAAGTGAGTTAACGTGTAATTCATCTTGATAATTGTTGGACAACGACGTTCTTTTCTTACCTTTTTATTCTGAACTTCCGCATGTTCGGCGACTTTTGTTTTCGCATTTTTCTTGATTACTTTCCGCGCAAAGTGAAATTACCGCCGGCACGATTATGAAGAATTATAAAATTACTCACTACAAACTCACTCGAAACTGCACAAAACGACGATGACCTAAAAAAAGAGAAAATAAACGATGCATTAGAAAATTCGTTAAATTTAATTTTAATTGTAGCAAAAAAAAAAACTTAAATCAACAATTATTCATCTAAAATAAATAATACATTATTATGATTATGTAATAAATTAAATAAAAATTCCCAGCGCAAATTTTTAAGAATAATGAGAACCGAAATTAATTAAAGAATTAAATTGATTGCATCTTTTAAGCGACTTGTGAATTGTATAAGATTAGAAGTAATTAAAACGAGTGCGTGAGGTCGTAAATTCGTAACACAAACCTAAATCTGTGTACCTACATGCATAATTTGCATCATATTTCATCAAACATGTAACAAGTATGATGTCGCTGGCGTTGTAAAAGCAGCGTTTAATATTATCGCGAATTCTATGCGTTCACCGGCCGCGGCCGGACGCCGTTGAAGTTGGAGGGAGGGTGAGGTGTAACGAGTAACATAGTTGTTGAAAACATCGCGATCGCGGACAGCCTGGTACGGCATGGTACAGAACGCGTTCGTGCCTTCGCGTTGTCCGCGGCTTCACGGAGTCACGGACTTTACCTATGCACACATTATTCTTCGCTGGCTCGGTGAAGGACACGCCGGACACGTTGAGCGCAAGCAACGCAAGGAACCGCTAGTTTGCCGGCTTTCAGTCCACAAAAAATCACCGCAACCAATGACAGCCGTTTTAGATAATAAAACTATAAATGTATTTCGTTTTGATTTTATTTTGTTTTGTGTGTTTAAGTTAGGCAACCAGCACTACAGAAAAGATATGTGTTGGTTTTAAGCTAGGCAACTTACACGACATGTTTTCCTGCGCTTCCTGCAACCTGCTGTTACGTTTTGCCGATTTTGACAATTAGTCGTAAATGTCAAAGTCCCCCGTCTTCTTGCCATTGCAAGCCATTTGATATTTGCAAAATAAGCGCCAGACACACGTATCCGGAATAAAAATTACCAGTGCAAACAAACAACAGTGCGCAACGCAGTTTATCAGTATGTTATTAACCGTTTGATAATAACGCTGTGTGAAGAGAGTATCCGCAGAACTTGCCAACGCCTGTCGCAGACAAATTCCACACGCCGCACGCGGTATATTCAGGTGAATAATTACGAAAATCACAAGTGTCATCATGTAATATCCACTCTTATTAATTTCCATTGATTTTATTTTCAGTAGAAATCAAAGTCCACGATTGAATCAAAAAAATATGCAGCAGCTCAACGCTGACGCGCAGGAGTGGTTCCCAGCAAATCATGAAAACAATGCCGGTGCAAGCAACGCACGTTCATTGAACACAAATGCGCCCGCACAGGGATCACAAAAATATTCCGCTCAAAGTCGCTTGAATAAATATCGAGAATCGCCTGGACAGGGTCATGGACATGAACAAATCCCGGCCAAGAACAACAGCGACATTGCTACCGACTTTCAATATCTACAGGGAATCATCGTGCGGCTCACCGCCGACCCGGGTCACTTCGAAGAAGTGATTGACATATTCATGCAAACATTACACATACATCTACACAGTTCTGAAATGATGCAACAGCTCTGCACTTTTATCTTCACCAACGCCATAGAAGAGCCAAGCTTTCGTTATAATGCCGCTCGACTCTGTGTGCTCATACAAGATGAATCACTTATATTCAGACAGCTGCTGAAAGATCTCTGTGTGAAGGAAGTGGAGAAGAACAGGCAGCAGCCAGGATTCACATTGTTCCTTGCTGAGTTGTACTCACAAGGCAACCAAAGCAATTGGAAGATGTTATATGTTGCTGTGAACAAACTGATTTCACTTGGTGGAGATGAGAAAGTCAAGACTGCTTGCCAGACTTTGAAGTTGGCAGGGTATGCAATGGAGAATTTCGATAAGGGAATGATGGAAGATCTCCTCGAGTTGCTAGAGACCAAAAAACCGTTTGTGCAGAGGAATATCAGCACATTGATTGAGAGCGTGATGAATTTACGCACACACAAATGGGGGCATAGTATTAGCGCGACAAATTTAACCGAAGGTTCAAGTGGATCTTCAAATAGTATGCCGAATGGCTTCATGAGCGATACTTTCTACGGACCCGGCGGGGAAGAATTAACAGAGGCTGAACGAAGGTTCCTTGACGGTGAAATGGATGACTTTGATGATCCTGATGAATTGTACGATCCCGAGCCGGAGATGGACGAGGAAATTCAAGCCGCGTTTCGGGAATTCGTCAAAATGGGCAAATAAACACACATCATAAACATATACCATTGACAAATTTTACATGCGATGACAAGAGACGTATTTTTATTGTGTTTATATACTATTTGTTTTATAACTATACTCACTGTAATAATATTGGTCTATGATATGTTCCTGAGTGTGGTACAGTTGTGTTTGGAGGCGGAGGGGCGTTTTATACAATACATATTAGTCGTGTATGTAATTTTAAGATATGATAGTCAATTTTCGACTGGGGATATGTGAACAAACAAGCAAAAAAATAATAAAACGAACAAAACCTACATAAAAATCATAAAATCGAGAAAACAAACAAAAAATTTAAATAAACACGTAAAACCACTTTGATGGAATTATCGAACTTCGGATCCTATTGAAAACGTTTTAGGGATGATGGACGCCTATTTATAGGCAACCAGGGGCTGCTAATATAATGCATTGGTGGCGGGTGTACGTGTATAATCGATAAAACTTTATACGAGGTCTGGAATCGTCATGGAAACGCGTGTTTCCATGTTGATCTGTTGATTCCGGGGTACTGGTACAAAACTCACCCGGAAACGCGCAGTATCTGCTAGAATATCACCGCGGTATTATATCATCATCAAAAAGGTATAAAAATTATGATTATTTCCATGAAATACTAGTATTTTCATTATAAATGTTCTACTACGCACGTTGACCATGACCTAGCTCAATAAAAACTAGATTGTGAAAGTTTTTCGCTTGTTTTAGTGCGGAAATGAAGCTGAATATTTCGTATCCAGCCACTGGCTGCCAGAAACTCTTCGAAATCGTACACGACCACAAAGTACGCATATTTTTCGATAAACGTATGGGAGCGGAAGTGCGTGCGGATCCTTTGGGAGATGATTGGAACGGTTATGTACTTAAAATTACCGGTGGTAATGACCGGCAAGGATTTCCAATGAAACAAGGTGTCCTCACTAATGGCCGTGTGAGATTATTAATGGGTCCAGGGCATTCCTGCTATCGACAGAGGAGAGATGGCGAACGTCGTAGGAAATCTGTGCGTGGATGTATAGTCGATGCAAATCTGAGCGTTTTAAGTTTGGTGATAGTACGCAAAGGTGAACGAGATATTCCTGGTTTGACTGATATCAGTATGCCGAGGAGATTAGGCCCGAAAAGAGCGAATAAGATCCGCAGGCTGTTTAGTTTGACGAGTGAAGATGATGTGCGGCATTACGTTGTAAAACGACCCGTGGAAAGAACAGAACAACAAGAACAAGAAGGCAAAAAACAGAGATTCAAAGCACCAAAGATTCAGAGGCTGATCACGCCGCAACGACTACAGAGAAAAAGGCACCGCTTGGCGCTGAAAAAGCGCAGGTGTCTTGATAAAAAGGAAAAAGAGAACGCATACAGGAAGATTTTGGCGCAAAGACACAAAGAAACAAGAATGAAGCGCGAGGAAATGCGTCGACATCGAAGTTTGAGTTCGCATTCGAAGCAATCTAACGATTCCAAAGATAGAGATAGTAAAAGTAGCGATGTAGTCGATACAGCTTAATTAATATTCAGAATACGTAATACTTCTAAGAATTATAGGTTTATATAGAAATAGGTGGCTATACTTACATGAATTTGTTGTTATTCACTTTAAACTGGTAATTTAGTTGAATCTGTAACGGCCCTTTTAGTTATAATGGCGGAATAAACGGAATAAACAACTTTTTAGCATTTTTAGTTTCTGAATAAATCCGAGTGTATCCGGTGGCGCTATTATTGGATTGAAATTAAAGTTGCCTAACTTATTTGTAATTAGAAATACCTAATACTTTTAGTAAATTTATAATAACAACGTAATTAAACAGTAAAATGCTGGAGTAACTTGAATTTTATGGTAAATTTAACTTTAAAAACATTAAATAATAACTGCAATATATTAAAATACAACGGAAATTCACCAAATTACATTTAAATACATTATTTTTGTCTATTAGTTAGCACAGTTTAGGTAACTTATCTGTTTGTTCTGAAAGTTATTTACAGAGAGGTAGAGGTAGTGGTTAGCAGCAAAATTTTAGCTGTTGAGCTCGGTAGAAGTCACCCAGGCAGCAGTTTGGTTCAGTTTATGAATCAGTTGACACCGGGCTTTCCAGCCGGTCGCAAACAAGTTAGTGCGCTAACCTCAACAGCACTAAACTCAAGCTCGAATCTCGGAAAAAGCTCAGCCTCTTTTAACATTCCAACACCAACTTCAGTGCGCTTCCTCAGCAGCACTAAAAACACATCTGGAAGCCGGTTTGTGCCAACAGACCGAAACGCCTCCGGGCTTTTTTCGTTCAGTTTTAAGGCGAGACCCCGGGAAACACTGCGTTTAATGTTGTACTGCGTGAACAAAGTGATGATTAAAACTCACAGTGCAGTGTAGTTTTATTATCAGATAAGAAAACGTACTTCTCAAATCAAGAAACAACTAATAAAGGTAATTGTAAACCAATTAAACCAATAATACTAACAATTAACTTTATTAGACTATAACTTTTTATAGATTTACACTTTTCAATAAATTAAGAGACTTTTATACATACAATTTAATACAGAATAAAGTCTACAACAAATTATTATTCTACCGAATTGCGTTAATGAATAATCTATTAATAATCCGCGCGTAGACACTAATAACGGTTTCACTACCTAAAATCGTGGCTAATGAAAGTTCAGAATGTTGATAATCCATGAAATAATCTTCAAAGGTACATAAACTTATACTAATCAATATATAATGATAATAACTACAAATCTTTAAAGCTTTATGATACATTTTATGACACAAGATTAAAGTACATATAAAATATTTGCACTTAAAACACTGGGAAAAAACCTCCATTTCCTTGGTTTCGGTTTGGAGTGCTTACATTAACGTACAAAAGTAGAAAAAAATTTTGCAATGCCACAGATAACACGTACACATTGAAGTTTAACATGGATTAAAACATTCTACCTGACAATCATCCCCGTTGGCGGTGTGATTACGCACCAATCGCGCACAATGCTCAATTAAACGCGCTCAGTTGCTTACTTTTCAAACAACCAACAACATTACGAGTCAACATCAAACAGAAATGGCAAATTTACAATTCAATACAGAATAATACACACAGCTTACGTGGATTCAGCGTGTTTTGTGCGATAAGACTTCGGTTATAAATTACGACAGTTTTTAGAGAAGTTAATCATTTATCATTAAACATGCCATCAAGTAAGAATCAGACAAGATGATTTTTCTCATTTAATTTAAATCATTTATTAATTTTATTTTGTTTCACTTAGGAAATTGGGGAAAGTGTAACATGGTCGTGAAGAGCATCTGCTGCCTTGGTGCAGGATACGTAGGAGGGCCAACTTGCAGTGTAATCGCATCAAAATGCCCGGAGATTAAAGTCACGGTTGCGGATCTCAGCAAGGAGAGGATCGCGAAGTGGAATTCTGATAAACTACCAATCTATGAGGTAATTATGATTATGACTCACAGAAATTCAGTTTTAAACGTTTGTGTTTGATTCCAGCCTGGTTTAGACGAAGTTGTTAAAGCAACAAGAGGAAAAAACTTATTTTTTACAAATGACTATGAGACGGCCATTCGAGAGGCTGACCTTATCTTTATTTCGGTCAATACACCGACAAAGACATTCGGCAATGGCAAGGTAACTCATTTATTCGATCGCTTGATTGTTTTGATGCTATTTGCGTCAATGTACTGAATATTTTTACTCAATGCCATGCATTACTTTCACTATTTAGTCAATTACATCATTAGGAATTACCTCACGTGTTAAACACGACTGAATTGTTTATTATGTTCATCAGGGACGTGCGGCTGACCTAAAATACGTCGAAGGTGCCGCGAGGATGATCGCCAACGTGGCACAAAGTGACAAAATAGTCGTTGAGAAGTCCACTGTGCCTGTACGTGCGGCTGAAAGCATTGCGAAAGTCCTCAGCGCGAATAACAAACCAGGTGTTAAATATCACATCCTATCCAATCCTGAATTCCTTGCTGAAGGTACAGCTATCAATGATTTACTCTTCGCTGATCGTGTGCTTATTGGTGGTGAGGATGCACATGCAATTGAGGAACTGTGCAAAATTTACGAGCATTGGATTCCGAGGAAGAATATTCTCACGACGAATACTTGGTCATCAGAACTTTCAAAACTCGTAAGTGATGAGAAATAATAACAATTTTTGTGATAATAAAAGTATTAAATTGGAAATATTTTTATAGGCTGCAAACGCGATGTTAGCGCAAAGAGTGTCAAGCATTAATTCGTTATCAGCGGTATGCGAGGCAACGGGGGCGGACGTATCGGAAGTGGCGCGTGCTGTCGGCTTGGACTCACGCATCGGTTCCAAGTTTCTCCAGGCTTCAATTGGTAACTATTATTTTGTTCATATAATACGCGTTTTTTTAATATTTTTCATTCGCTTGTGCTGAGTTGCGTTCCATTTCATTGTGGTAATCAGCAATGGAATTTAAAAACAAAAATAAACTCAGATAACAAGCGAACGTGAAACATATTTGTACATTTAGAGCAAGGATTACCTGCGCTTATATATGCTTAACAACGCGTCACACATCCACGTGCCACATTAATATATGTTATAATATATTATTAAATATTTTATAATTTAGATCTACTTAAGAGCTATAGAGTTGTTTGTGATTTGTGTTGATTGTATTTTAACATTTACTTTTTGATTGTTAAATTAATATGTTGTGGAATTATTGGTTTCGGCGGGAGCTGTTTCCAAAAGGATATCCTCAATCTGGTTTACATCTGCGAGTGCCTGAATTTACCAGAGGTGGCTGCTTACTGGCAGCAGGTGATTGATATGAACGAGTACCAGAAGTCGAGGTTTACTGCGCATGTTGTCCGGGAGTTATTCAATACAGTGAGTGGGAAACAGATTGCGCTGTTTGGATTCGCTTTTAAGAAGAATACAGGAGACACCAGGGAGAGTCCGGCGATTTATGTTGCTAATACTTTGCTTGTGGAAGGTGCAACATTAAATATTTATGACCCAAAGGTAATAATTGCCATCATTTACAAGATTTTTTTATAAAATCTGCTGTTTTATATGTTCAGGTGGAAGAATCGCAGATTTTCAATGATCTCACACATCCTACAATTTGTGAATCGCCAGAAAGTGTAAGAAAATCCGTGAAAATTTGTCATAATGCTCTGGAAGCTGCAAAAGGTTGTCATGCAATTGTTGTTTGCACCGAATGGGATGAATTTATTGTAAGAAACTGCTAATACTCTTTATACATTGATGATTTTACCATTTTCAATGTTTTAGACATTAAATTATGAAGATATCTACAGTAATATGATGAAACCAGCTTATATTTTCGACGGTCGCAAGATTTTGGACCACGACCGCCTTCTAGAAATTGGTTTCCACGTGACTACAATTGGTAAACGCCTTCCGATTCCAAATGCGCATCGGATGAATGGCAAAACTCTTGATTGATTGATACATTTTATACAATTTACACAAACATATTTGATTCCAGTATTCTATACATTGTGGCATTTTATTTTATCTTACGCACTAAGATTTATCAAACATTTTATTTAATATAATATGATTTTAACGTACTTGTATTTATCTGAAATAAATCATTTATTATAATAATTATCAATGTGAGTTGTTTATTTATTCCAAGTCAAACATCTTTGGTTTACATGCGTAATTTGGGTTGCCTGCTTAAAAAGTAGTAATTTTTATTTAAAATGTAAGCACGATAAAACAATGTTTATATGATAAAAATTTTAATCAGAAACAAGTCAGTAAGTATAATTTCCAATTGTGTGCATTTTTATGCGTCTAATTTGAATATTCGCGGTGTACTGCATTGTTAATGAGTTGCTTGTCGTCAAGCGGCCAGACGCCATCTGGCGGCCTTTTGCTTTCGGCACATCGGCACCGATTCGCATTTGTTAAAAGCAACACAACATGGCTGCTGTTTTCGTCTCGCTGGTGTCGTCGCCGTAGTATCTCCCGAAAAGTGCGCGCACCACCAGCACGATCAGTTCTAAACAATTCAAAACACTCGGGAGTCCATCGCATTCATGCAGAAGACACGCGTCGATCCGGTAAAAAACAGTGCGTCGTGAAAACTACGATACGCTTCGATTGACGAAGTAACCGAGTGGCGCAGCGCGCAACGGCAGAGCGCTAATAACAGACACGCGATAAACAAGCGAAAGTTAGAAGCGCACCGTGCGTGCGTGTGGGGGGCGGCCAGGGGCCCTCGGGGGCGGCGTAGGATGCGGCACACCGTGATTAATCAGTGACCCGCCGCGAGAACGTGAACTAGGATACCACCCGGAGGAGCGGCCACCGTGAAGATGACGCGGCTGCTGCTTGTTGTACAAATCTTGTTGTGGCTTTGCCATTTAGTTTATAGTAAGTACAAACACCTATACAAAACATTCTAAACATTAACTCCAGCATGCATAGACATGCTATCATGACCATGCCCTTGTGCGGCGGGTTGCATGCGCAAATTATGCACGGATGGCATTGTGCAATGATTAACGGTCGCGAATTTTTACTGTCACAATGCGCGTTCCATTACCTGAGGTCATAGTCTGTACACACAAATACACACAGAGTTAAACATTGACTCATTCAATTGTTTTTCTAGTTGTTTGTGTTTTGTTTTGCCTAGTAAATAATTTCGTATACTAATCGAATTGTGTTTCATTTTAGGTTCGGGGAAGTTAAAATGCAGATGCGACATGTGTTCGCGTACGAATAACACGTGCGAAACGGACGGCTACTGCTATGCGGCAAAGTACATCGAAAACGGCCAACAGCATCACACGTACAGGTGATTATCACTCCGCTTGCTGCTAATCACAGTTTTCTTATAGCCAGTGCAAAAACAAAAACATAACATGACAAGTGAAAGCAAACTTGTCCAAAAAACAATTGGTAGCCAGTCTAAATTGTTCCCATCCTCCATCTTTCAAACACTAAATGTTCATCAATTGGTTGTAACACAGACCGCGCGTTTTCGTTGCGTTTCAATCGTTTTTTTGAATAGATGTTTGAGCAGAGCCGATTTCTTTCCGCCGGAGCACGCGGTGTGGTGCGACCGGGAGCCGACCGACGAGGCGGCGCAATACTGCTGCAACGACCGCGATTATTGCAATGCGGCGTTCGAGGGCCGGCTGGCGGCCGCCGGCGGCTCAGGTAAACCCAATGTGTGGATCCCACCTCCACCAACAAAAGCGCCGCTCTCAAAAAACTAATCTAACTAACCTAACAATTTAATTACAGCGCGGAAGACCGTTTTATTTTTGTTGCTGTGATATACTAATCTCAATACGTACCTAACATGTTTTTGCAACTATTTTTTTAATTTTATTTGATTTGATTGATGGTAGATTCTACTAAACAAAGAAAGCACTGCAGCGAATGACTCTTGATTCTATCTCGCGACAGTCGGTTGATTAGTTTTTCTAGATTTTGTTTATCATGTCATATCATTATCCAATCCTTGTGAATCCTTTTTGTTTCTCTAAGCTCTATCTCTGACTGGCTATCGAGCAACTTTTGATTTCTATCCCATTCCGCTCGAATAATGAATATTGAAATGATAATTTCGACCGGCCGCCATTTGAATAGCTCGCATTTATTTTGCTGGGTGACATTTCTGACGTGTTTGCGGCGCCCCTCCGGTGGTGATGAATTTTGCAGGTGCCTACCGACGGACTTGCAGGTGCCGTCTTTCAATCCTCTGTTCTGCAACCCGCAGAGACCCTCCAATCATTCCTTCGCGATGGAGTGCTGCCGCGACAGGGACTACTGCAACGAGAACCTCAATCCCAAACTAACACCCCTGCCCCGAGGTAAAGCCGCGCCCGCACTACCACACACGTCTGTCTCTCTCTCTTTAAATTAATTCAATCTCTTTTATACCTAACTTTCGTAGATTATTATTATTATTATTATTATTTTTAATTTGCCGAATCACTGTCTTACATACACCATATTTGTAAAATGCAGCTAGCAAGCGACGAACGCTCGGAGCAGAAAGCTAAAGCAAAGACACGACACATTGACACAAGCCACACACGCTCAAAACAATAAAAAAACAAAAGACTGACACATTTACTTATCAACACCAACAACAACAACAGTAACAAGTCTTCAGCCAGCGCAGCGAGCCAGCTTGCTAATATTTTACATATAAACATAATTGGTTTTGGTATATTCGTAGTTTGGATACTCCACACCGTAGCGTAGCGTAATTTGCGTAATTCTCTCTATTTAACTGACATGTAAATATGTAATATTTAATCTAGGGCGCACCTGTATATTATGATTAATGGGACTTGCACTAGCGCGCGTGCGCAGTAAACTTTCGCTGTACATAGCCGCGATTCTTTCCTGATTTGTTTTGTTTCTTTTTTGGGTGGACAGATGCTTTGATACCAGCGACATAATCTTAAATCCCTATCCCGTACAGACCGATTATTGCAAGGAGCACTTCGTGGTGGACGGCGACGCCGCCTTCGAGGCGGTCGCCGCCAACTGCTGCGACCAGTACGATTACTGTAACGTGCAGCTGATGCGAACGCTGCCCGTTCTCACTGTCGGCAAGCCGAAAGGTTAGCAACCCGCAACGCACCACCGACACGCCCACACACACTCTCACAACACGCCATCGTACACATATTACACCAACACACACACACCAGACATTCTATTACAAAACAACCTCGGACGTTGCGAGCAGGGGGATAATCATTTATTTCGACGTTATGTGTATTAGGGGGTGTTATAAATAATTGAACATGTTTTAATCCTCGTTACGCTCCGCCCCGGTGAGTGCGAGTGGGGGGGGGGGGCGGAGCTTGAGTTGTGGAAGATTAACGCATGTTGATTATTGTGCTCGTCCGCATCTCGCACATTTATCACTTGGAAGAGCGAATTGATGAAACTTGAAATGAATTTAGATTTAGCTGATGATAAAGGAGTGACAGCGACATCTGTGTACGGGCAGCGATGAGCCATTTCGGGAAGGCGTGTGTCATGTCGAAATTCTGGTATTTATTGATTAACACAAACCCATAACTTAATTACTTACCCTCCGTCCCAGGTGTGACATTTCTTAGGTTTATTAATCAACGGGGAGCTAGAAGTTGAGATGATATGGTGGACTAACTGGCAAACGGCTTTGGCTTTGACGCTATTCGGCTTTTGGGCGCTCAACACACACGTTTTGGTTGATGATATATAATATGTGTGTGTTGTGTGTTGTTGCTTTCTGCTTTGTGTCTCGTGCATCGTGCTACTCTTTCGATTCACCCTCTTGCATGTGTGTCGACTCATTTTGGTTTCATTCTTTTATTACACTTTTCATTAATTTTCTTTTTTCTTGAATGCATGCAAATAATAATGATTGTGCAATATACTGATGGAATTTTGTGACGACCTAGGAGAGAATGCAGATGAGTTCAGTACGACGTCGATTGTCATCGGCGCCGGGGTTGTCGCCTTGATTGCTGGCGTGGTTGTCTTCGCGTGGGTTTGGTACCGTCGACAACCGGGTCGTCGAGGCGCACGCTTACAGCATATAGGATTGGGGGAGGATAGCACCGAGGCGCCGGACCATCCGATGCTCAATGGTAATTCATTGCGGCATATGATAGAAATGACCACTAGTGGTAGTGGATCAGGTAATATTTTAGGTTTTTTTTTTATTAAATCGCATATTTTATTAATTTTTTTATGTTTTTGTGATAGGTTTACCCCTGTTGGTACAAAGAAGTATAGCACGTCAAATCCAGCTGGTGAATATAATCGGTCAGGGGCGATTCGGTGAGGTATGGCGTGGTAGTTGGCGCGGCGAGGATGTCGCCGTGAAAATTTTCAGTTCGCGCGAGGAACGCTCCTGGTTCCGCGAGGCTGAAATCTACCAGACGGTCATGCTTCGTCACGACAACATTTTAGGCTTTATCGCCGCCGATAATAAAGGTACTTCATTATTTATAAACTAGTCGAATTAATATGAGTAATTGCTTTTTTCGTGTTTCGCCAGACAACGGTACCTGGACGCAGCTGTGGCTGATAACGGATTATCACGAGCGCGGCTCGCTGTTTGATTATCTCGGCCGCAGCACGTTCAATACGAGTGATATGATCTGCATGGCGCTGTCGATTGCCACCGGGCTTGCTCATCTTCACATGGATATCATGGGCACTCAGGGTAAATATAATCATGCGATTATGATTGCAATGAAATTATGTTTGTTTTGCGATTATCTAGGTAAACCAGCGATTGCGCATAGAGACTTAAAGTCGAAGAATATACTCGTGAAGCAGAATGGCACGTGTGCGATTGGTGATTTGGGCCTAGCGGTGCGGCACGATGTTTCTACTGATACGGTAGATATTCCGCTTAATAATCGGGTGGGTACTAAGCGATATATGGCGCCGGAGGTGCTCGACGAGACGATGAAGACGGATCATTTTGATTCGTTTAAACGCGCTGATGTGTATGCGCTGGGACTCATATTTTGGGAGATTTCGCGGCGTTGCAGTGTCGGTGGCATGTACGATGAGTATCAGCTACCATTTTTTGATGCTGTGCCGAGTGATCCAACTATTGATGATATGCGAAGGTATAATATAATATTTTAAGTGTGCAATTAGAAATTGTAATGTTGTATGCCATTTCAGAGTTGTATGCTTTGATAGAAGGCGTCCAAGTATACCAAACCGATGGCAGAACTGCGACGCGCTGGTAGTGATGTCAAAGTTGATGAAAGAGTGTTGGTATCATAACGCGACGGCGCGTCTCACCGCGTTGCGCATTAAAAAGACGCTGTCGAACTATCGCACCTCGGAGGAGCTCAAAATGTGAGCGGCTGCGGCTGAGTGAGCGAGAGTGTTTTGTTTGTTTCGCGAAACAATTGTTTTCGTTTTGATTTTATTTTGTTTTGTTGTATATTTAGATTTTAACGGTACCAAACGAGAAGTAGTTACGCAGTTATTTATTTAAGTATTATTCTACGCTATTATCGGGTTCTCATTGTTAGACAACCAAGCAGACACCCACCCAACGTACATACATACATACACACACGACACGTGCAGCTGTCTCCGAACATTCATTCCATAATTATAAATGACATTACAATAAACCGCAACACAAACACACACAAAAGTAACCACATACCGAGAAGTCTGATTTTATAGTTGTGATCTACGTAACCGTTCTTAAAGTGACAGACTGACTTACAAACCCCACACACACACACACTCGAGCCAAAAATTGCGTCTTGGCGTGAGCTGGATGTCAATTAATTTTTATATCAGTAAAAGACAATATTTTAAGACTCATACTTACTCACTTAGAAACTGCAAATATCTCAAACCTCAAAACACTGCCACTTTTCGAGAACGTTTATGCCCTACATACGCCATCTTTGTGACAGATGACAGACGAACATAACCAAACTTCAAATCTATCTTCCACCTGTTTTTTTTTTATTTTGTTTATATCCGTTTTATGCAAGCGACGAGCGAAAGTGAATGAGTGCGAAAATATGCTACCGTAGTTCCTAATCACAAAACAAACAAACAATTCGAGGTGTGCGCGCACGTTTCGTTCTTTGATCGTTTTTGTTAAAATCGTGCGTAAGGATGTTACACGTTGACACATTGAAACCTGAACGAAAGTTATATGAGAAAACAAAATTCGTACATAATAATATTAGTCTTTAAGGGTTTACCGCTTCACACTTGACACCCCACACATGAATATATAATGATTAACTTACGATTTAAAGTACATATATTAAAAGTATATTTAAAAAAACTACACACAACACAAAAAAAAAAATTATTATGAATATCGTGCTAACTATATTTCTATTTTTAAGGCGTATTTATTACGATGATGATGATGAATAACGAAGGAGAAATCTATTGTTGTATTGCCTAAAGACGTTTGATCACAAATAATTAACATTTTCGTGCCTAGCGTGTAAACATTGGCGTAACAATTTATGAAACGAACATTTCGACGAAGAAAAGTAAAAATTTAAAAACAAAAACTATTTTTAAGTGGTTATGCTGATACAAAACAAAAATATATTAATCAGATTATCGTAGGAATTAGTTGTATAGATAAATATTTGTAGAATGTTGATTTTGAGACACAATCAAGTTGAAATTTGCAGGCGGTTGTGAGTAGTGGTGGTCAAAAAGACTGATTCGGACTGGACTGGATGGAAAAACAATCTATATATCAGAGACGAAATTCATTATCAAAATTTTGGTGCAAAATTCGAAAAGACTGATTTGGAGATATAGGATAATGGTGACGGTAGGGAATAGGCAAAGGAAACAATTGGCTAATTTTGATATAAATTTAATGTCGGATAGGGACGAGCAGGAAGCGGATCGGAGTCAGGGTTGGTTAGAATATTGGTGATCAGGCACACAACATAAGTTTAAGTTAAGCGCACTTGTAATCGCCCCCCATGCACACATAACACAAACACACACTGGACACGCGTTTAATAATTACATGGTTAAACCATAACGGTTCTTGTCTTTTGTCAATATGTATATATTAACGAGATGTAGCTATCCTCTAATATATTACGAAGAAGAAAAATGAAAACTATTAAAAATGATGAAAAAAACGCAAAAGAAAGCGAAATGTGGTGAATATTTTTAATGATGATGAAACAAAAAGCGATATGATTAAATATTAAAAATAATAAAATTATGAAAATGAGATAAATATTGAAGAAAACAATAGTGCTGTTTTGCAAAGGTACAAATTCATGTCAGAGTTTTTATACAGAGATAAATTTGTTGTCAACTTTTTGCCAAAAAGAAGAAAAAAATCGCGTTGGTCACATTTATAAACCTTTATGTAAACGTTCAATCTGTGATTGTAAATGTAAATCATTTGGTATTGAATTTACTCGGCAGAAGAATTTAATATTGAATGATGGAATCATGACCTGCGACTGTACGTACAAGCATTCTTTTCATTCTTCCATAGCATGGCAACAAGATTTCACACGTTCTCACGCGCGACCCCACAAAGAATTTATTACTAACGTAACGATCTAAGATATATAGTATTGTTATAATCTACGAGTATCTTTATCAATATTTATGTATGTTTAAGCGACCGATTGTAGTAAGCAAAACACACAACTCACACACATTATAAATGTGACCACGCAAAACTATCAGTAGAATTCATAGAGATTAAAGTATAAAGAGACGTTTCGAAAATTATTGACGATGAAATTAAAAATGAACTTTCGACGACAAAATGAAACAAATAATTACGAAAAGAAATGAAAAAAAGTACTTCTACTACCTATTAAAATTTAATAATAATAATACAAAATATAATAAAATATTTTCTCGACGATGAATGTTTGGCAATACTATTGATTGTATTTTAAAAATTATTGTACTGTAATCTCTATTAATTAATTAATTACCTAGATTTTAAAAATTCCTCAGGATAAATGTACACAACACAAGATGCAATAGTTATCCTTATTGACCTTATTACGAGATGATGTGAATGTTGTAATGCGCGCGGTGTGCGAGAACGCAAAAGAAAATGAAGCAAGGAGATGAATAATGAAACGGAGAAACAAATTAGTCGTTAGGTTTTTCAGAAGCTATGAAGATATATCGTAGTTAGGACACACACACATATTGATTGAATTCTTTGCGCTATAATTAATTATGGTAAACGTTTTACATTTAGCAAGGGGTGTTTGATGGAGGTGGTTTTTAATGGGTGGACGTTTGATTGATGCGGATTTGTTTCTTCTGTTTGTTTGATGTACAAATCATGAAAACGTGTTTTTTTTTGTGGCTTTAGACGCAAGTATATACCATTTGTAAACGTATTTGAAAATATATTACTCGTAAGATTATTAATATTATAAACTATGACAATTTATTATTTATCTTCCTGAAGTAAGTAAAGATGTTTCGAAACCACCGCCATTTAAAATTGAGTCAGCGCTGCTGTGTCAATTAAACGAACTAAAATATGAAGCTACGTTATCACATTTTAAATAATGTTAAAATAAGCACGATGTGGCTGTATTTTATAATTGAAATGAACATAATCATTATATTAATTATTTTACACTAATAAATATTTATATGTTATTGTTTACAGGTAAATAAATGAAAAATAGGGAATTTGTGTGGGCTTAACTTTACGTCTTGTCACTACACACACCAAACACTAGGTAAATGATAAAAAGCGGCGCAAAAACAAGAAATAAAGGTGAAATAAACTGATAATGGACGTATTAAGCCAATGTAAGTTATTTTCACCTACAAATTTATCAATCATTCCCGACCAGAATGAATTTCGTTCTGTGAAGCGTTCCCTGGACAATAATAGCGATTGTTTTCTTTATAACCTCGAATTTCTCACAAGCCCGGTGTAATTTTCCAGCCCCCGAGTTTAAAATGAGCAAACAAAATGAAAACGGCCTGGAACCTGCAGCCCCCATCACAAGGAAAGGCATCTTAATGTCTTTTAAGACTGGCAAGTCTATGAACATTCCCGAAACTGACCTTGTAAGTGTTTTAATTAAAAAATATAGTTATAAATTTTCAATAATGTTACTTTTGTTTTGCTTTAGTTGGGTCGGTGTAGATTTGTTTCCGAGTTTGAGAAGCTCAACAGGATAGGTGAAGGCACCTATGGTATTGTTTGTAAGTCATTTTAAAAAGTCCTTCATAGTATCGCAATAAATAATTTTTATTTTTATTATTTTTTATTTAGACAGAGCAAAAGATACAAAGAATGATAAAATTGTTGCCTTGAAAAAAGTCCGCATGGACCTAGAACGTGAAGGCGTCACAATCAGCAGCCTGCGCGAAATTCAAATCCTCCTAAACTGCCGACACGAGAACATCGTGCAGCTAAAAGAAGTCGTCGTCGGTAAAAGTCTCGAAAGCATCTTCCTTGCAATGGAATACTGTGAGCAAGATTTAGCCTCACTGCTTGACAACATGCAGACACCCTTCACAGAGTCTCAGGTGAAATGCATCATGCTGCAGGTTCTAAGAGGTCTAAGATATCTGCATCATAGCTTTATTGTGCATCGCGATCTGAAAGTCTCGAATTTATTGATGACTGACAAAGGCTGCGTGAAAATCGCTGATTTCGGCCTTGCAAGATGGTTCGGAATGCCATTACGACCTATGACTCCACATGTCGTCACATTGTGGTATCGCGCCCCTGAACTTTTGCTACAAGCGCCCACACAGAGTCCAAGCGTAGACATGTGGGCGGCCGGATGTATTCTTGGCGAATTATTAGGCCACAAACCATTACTTCCTGGAAGATCTGAAATACAACAGTTGGAATTGATTGTTGATTTGTTGGGAACACCATCGGATGCCATCTGGCCTGGATTCAGCGCGTTGCCAGCCCTGCAGAATTATTCATTGAAACAGCAGCCGTATAATAATCTCAAGCAAAAATTCCCGTGGTTGTCAGCTGCTGGGCTGAGGCTGCTTAATTTCTTGTTTATGTATGATCCCAGGAAGAGGGCGACTGCTGAGGAGTGCTTACAGAGCAGTTATTTCAAAGAAGCACCACAACGTAAGTAAATCTTTTATTTTGTCATCTTTATTTCCTATAATTACAACACACAAGCGTTAAGAGAGACAATACGTAGTATCAAATACAGTTTTCTGATAATTTGTAATATTTTAAAAGGTCTGAAGAAAAGTTTTATGAAGAATCATAAACGAACATTTGTTACAAAGAAGCAAATGGTAGACTTGACGAAGAAAGAATAATTGCAAAAGATTTTGGTAATTTTGAATGTTGTTATTTGTCATGGGTTAAGCTTAGATTTTTAAAATTACGATTTAAAGGTAATTCAATGTGGACACATGTATCATTGCGTCATAATATTTGCTTTAAATGCGTGTTTTTTGTTTTGTTTTATTATAGCATGCGACCCGAAATTGATGCCGACGTTTCCTCAGCATCGAAACTTAAAGAACAGCAAGGTGGAAAAGACCGACACCGGCGCCGGCGATCAGACGAATAATCTTCCAGCCATTTCCGATTTGGTAATATTAAATCATCTTGTCTTTTTTCATTGTCAAAATTTTTTTTGTGTATTATTTTACAGTTGGGGTCATTGGTAAAGAAACGACGTCTTGATTAAAGTAAAGTATTGTGAGTTAATGTCAATTTTGGTTCGAAATTTGGACGAAAATTCAAAGAAAAGATTGATATTTAGGTTTAGTTTCATTTATCGTTTGATATTTTTGCACTGTGGCAATAAATGTGTGTGAGGAAAATACTGCGTAATTTTAAAGCAAAGAAAAAAATGTCTTGTGCGTGTTTTAAGCCAATTTTAAAGTAAAGCAATTAGCTATTTGGTAAACATTACCAAACGCTACATGTTGCATATTGTTTGATTTTCTGTTGTCATAGCAACGTAGTACGAGTGCAGTATTTACATGTTTTTTGGGAAACATTTCACGCTATCCCGTGCAATGTTTTGTTTGTTTCCCCCCTTGAACACGCGTTGGTGAAATTATCGATCGCTGGCATCACGAACATGCGAACAACGCACGAGAAAAGGGGCACGGTGGGGACAGCGTGTACCGGGAGGGACCTACATTTCGGGCGAAAGGCTTCCTCGGCTTCCCCCCCGGATGGTAACGTCGCGCGCGCGTCGCTCGACGAGATTTCCGCGACGCGCATGCATTCGCAGCGAGTGCGCCGCACGAAGAGAAACGCGTTTCGCGATTGACGCGCGCCCGATTTTCACCTGGCCCGGACGCTGCGTGCAGAATGTAAAACACGCGCGCAGACCGAGAGAAATTTGCAACAACTCGCTATTGAGTTGTATGGTTACTGTGCCAAGCAAAACATTCAAACACACGAGAAGAACTATTAAACTTTTTGTGGAAAATACGGTTTGATAACAAACAACAAGAAAATGGACGCTAAACTTGCGGCAGGTATCACCACGGAGGGCAGCGGGCTGCTCAACCCTTTCGTGCATCACTTGGAATTGGAGACCACATCAGAAAAATTAAAGGTAAACATTTAATTTCATCAAATATCAAATTTTTGTGTATATTGTCTTGAGGTTTGATTGCTTAAAACTGTAAACAAAAGTTCAAAAGTGCATACGACACATCTTGCAACATTTTAAGTGAAAATAACAGTTTGCGTTATCTGCCGTTCATTTCTTGCGTTTTCTAACAAATTATCAACCGTATAAATGTTGTGTGTGGGGAAATATTTAATTGCATTGCGATTGAAATTCGAAACTTGTTGATTAACACATAAAAAAAGCCTTAATGAGATAATTTTTTGGTAGCACGTGATTGAAAGTAACTCAATTATATTCCGTAATTGTATTGTGAACATTAATATTTGAAACGTAGAAAGAAATGTCGGCGAAAGTGACGGACGTGTGGATATTTTTAATTTTTTTGCGCACATTCTTAATATGTGTTCACTTTCTATGTAAACTGTAAAGTGTCTCTTGTTTCGATTGGCACTTGAAACTGTCTCACTGCACGACATTGTCATGGTCAACCAAATTTACTCTCGTGTTTAATTAATTAATTAATGTAAACAGTTCAAGATCTACTATCTGCATAAAGACGGAATAAAAATACGGAGTGAAAAAAAAACTAATAAAATTTATTTCTGAGCCAAAATATCGAAAAATTAGTTTATTGGTTTACGTGAACATTTTGTATAATCCTTATTTTAAACTTTTAACTATTCGTGATTTATAGCTTTCTGCTTCTTTCACGATTACCACGAAATTTTTATGTGATACATGAAAACTAAAAGTTAGTTGCATTGGCACAGATTTCGCAACTCTACAAACGTTAAATTTATTACGCCATCAAAAATTTCAATTTCATTTGCATATTTTTGCTAAGAATTTGAGTTTGCATATTGTTTGGTCGACTGTTGATACTTTTAATCTTGTGCAATAGCAATATTCAATTTTATAGGCGTTTAATCCATTTTGACACGAATATAAAAATTAAACTGTAAATTTTGTAACACTCTTAAATGTATGTAGATTATCAGATTGTGTGCGTTTAAATGTCACGATCGTTTCATTATCATATTACGCGTTTATGAATCATTGCCTTGTCAATCATGTGTAAATACACGTGAAACATAAAGACAATAAAGTAACAGTAAATATTGCAATAAACTTAAAGTGCGTACAGTGTAAATTCATATAGAAATATAGTTATTGTGAAGTGATAATAAATTGTGACAATTCTTAATTGTTAAGCAAATATTACTATCCCAGGAATATTATACTAACACGCAATCTATATCTATGTCTTTAAAACAGCTTTTTCTTTACATGTGTGACACTTTATGTGCTCGCATTTTATGTTAAAGGTGCTAAACATGCACTGAGATTGTTCCGCGTTTGTTTGTTGTTTATTTGTTGATATAGGTTTGTTGGTCGTGTCGCATCGACTTTATAGGGATTGCAGGCTTGGAGGCTCGGTTTCACCAACCATCAAATTAAATTAAAAGTCGCGGTGTTGTATGCACAGTCTAATATTGCACGTTTTGCACATACGCTGTAAGTAGACCTCATAAATTAATCGGTTTTAGCACCTTTGCAGTTCAAATTCAAATATTATTTTTGCTTTGACATTAATGGATACAACATTCTGAGCATTTGATATTAAATTTCATAGGTTTCCCAGACATTAAATAGTATTATCACATTAAATAAATTTCCAGCATGAAGGAAATTGATTCATTCTTCGCAAACTTTGATGACCTATCACCATTTATATTGGCTTAAAATATTATATGTTTAAAGGCGTAGAGGACGATAAAGATATTTATAGAAAAACCCGACACATGGCAAGGATTAAATTTTTAATCGATTTCTACAGGAAAGCACTTTTTCTCGGAGTGCTTTTCATAAAAAAATAATGAACGACATTTAGAAAGTAATCAGTTTTCTTATGCCACATTCATTTTCTTTTCTTTTTTTTTTCTGTGTTGTGGTTCTACACGTTTTTCAGAAATTATTAATATTTCCATTTCTATTAATACGATCCAACTCGCAATCACAACATAACCAACTTCATAATGAAACTAGGCAACCACTGCTCCATCTTAGTTAAAATAACCTAAAAAGAAGTGACATCATTTCGGTTATGGTATTGTGCGCACGCTGCACTTTATACATTCTATTGACTTGCATTGAAAGGAATATTCCTTTTTACGATGATTATGATGATGATGATGATAATGACGCACAGTTTCGCCACTGTGATTTGATGCGATTTCGCATTGCTAGTTTCGCAAAATCAGCACAACTTGTAGAATATTGTATTGTGTAGCATGTAGCTTACTGCACATTGCAGACATCGCACTGCAATTGCACTTTACGAAAGAAAACCGCAAAGAACTATGAAATTAGATGACTTGCAGCTTCTGACGCAGACGCGCATTATACATGCACTGCTTAGATGATTACATTGATTGCAGATTGCACTCATCTCGCAAATGAATTGTTAAACGACATTCAGGCAAAAAATTCATAACCTAAATTGACACAAACGCATAATTGTAAAGATTGAGGTTATAAAATTATCCGATGTGCAATGTGCAATCAAATGCAATGTAAAAGTTCAATAATGCAATTTATTACAAATTAAACCATGTATTGCATCGTTTTATTGAGGATTGAAATTTAGAAATCCGTAAAACTTTACTTTTAATAATTTTGAAATTAGAAAGAATCATTAGTCATGCTTTCTTGAGCATTAAATTTATTAAATTGTATTTCGGGTGTATTTTAACGAATTATGTCAATTAGAGTGTGTTAAACAGACTTGTTTTTATCTAATAATTAAAACATTACAGTAAATTATGTTCAATGTGTAATTCTATACCTGCCCACTTAACGAAATAATTGTTTTATGTTCTAATTAGAAGAGAAATCAAGAAATTGTTTATAATCGACACTAAAATGTCTCAATAAAAATAAAAACTGCACAAAACAATAGAAAACAAATAGCGGCGTAAACACAACTCGTTTTATTCAGATTTTTATGATAAAATATAAAATAAAAAACATCCTGTTTGAAAGTTGCAATGTTCACAACTCAAATGAATTGTTCTGAACTAGTTCATCAACATCTCTGAATGCAATACGTATGTAAATTATATCTCAGTGCCCAAGTTTCCGATAATTTTTCTATTTTATTAATTTCACTCACATTCTCTTATATTGAGAAATTTAAAATCTGACAGAATACGCCAAGAAAATAAAGCTTATAATTTAGATAGTAATAAGTTCACATCAGACGATTTGCAATCAATGTTGCAGTTGCAATCAAATATCAAATGTGAGAAGCCGAGCGTCGAGAAGAGAAAGAACGGAACTTGCTGCACCGAAGAGAAAGTATCGCGCGTGGAAACAGAAAAAGAAAACGAAGCGATGACGAGGAGCTGGGCATGAGGACGAATGCGGGAATAAGCGAGACAGATTCAGGCATTGCCTACGCGTAATTTGCAATTACAGTCGGTGAACTGTTACGTTTCGCGGATGTGTTGGATGTAGTCACCGACCGCGCGGCGCAAAACAAAATAAATATTCAACGAAAAACAAAAAGATTCGAGATCCGTATAGCCAACAGCCAACGGACTGTCATCATGTCTTGATAGGCGTTAATAGGCGTTATTAACACGTTCATTAACAAGTTAATTATTACAAACATCATAAAGTGTTAATTTTGTTGATAACGTTCATCATATGGCGCATGCGTGACTGAAACATCTGTTATATTAATTTATATCCGAAAAATAGAAATATTCGTGTTACAAGTGATAAGAATTGATTCTATTTTGGTATCGAGAAATGAAACCGGAAATTAGTGTTTCTCATGTAGGAAGCCATCAAAACGGTGGTTTGTCGAGTTAGTCAACAACTCATCGTAGATAAATATGAAACAATCAATGAATTCTTTTATTTCTGCGTTATTTATCTGCGTATAAGGAAATCCTTGTAGAACAAAATGGCAATGACTCTGATTGCATTCGTTTCACTTGATTTTTTGCGCTTTAACCGATTTCACGCGGTGATTGATTTCGCAAAAGAACGAAAACTTACTGGTGTGAATGACCTACGACAAAACAAAATGGTTGTCACAGGTACTAATCAATCATTTTATTTGCAGACTGCTTTCCTAACGATAGTTCTACTTCCAATCAGAGTACTGATTATCTGCGCACTTCTTATCACAGCATGGCTCCTCGCCTGCATCGGTCTTTGGGGCCTGGACGAAGAGGATTTACAAAAACGACCTCTTGCAGGATGGCGACGGTAAGTCCCCAACAAATCTAACCTTCAAATGTGTAAATAACATAACCTTAAAATATGTAATTAAATAATTTCTCAGCATGCAATATTTTATTCTTTATATTAATACAACTAATCCAACTTTTCTTTACGAATTTCTTTTTATTGGGGCTGGGTTTTATTCTCATAGCTGGTTGAGGGTGGTGGCCGTCTACCCAATGAAGTTGTTCTTCTATGCGATCGGTTTTCGTATTCGCACGAGAGGCGTGCAGCCGACACGTGCGCAGGCGGGTATTTATGTGATAGCGCCACATTCATCGTTCTTCGATAGTTTCGTCATCGCCTATTTGGGAGGACCCAGTATTGTGGGGCGTGGTGATAATCGCGACGCCCCCATCATTGGCAGTACGTATGTTATAGATTGCTATCAATCTATCAATCAACTCATCAATCCAGTAATGAACACACAAATACAAACACGCATTCGGGGTTTTTATTTCTACCACGCTTTTTATGCACTTCTTTTGAAAGGTTATGTTGTAATGTTGTTATAGTGTTTTGTTTTTGTTTATTTTGGTTTTTTTGTTGCGCGTCCGTAGGAAAGTAACGCAAGCGCTGTGCTATCTGGGCAGGAAGACGTACGCGGCGGGCGGTATGCAGGTGGTGTTCAAAGGGGCCCAGGCGTCACGAGCCGAAGCACCCATTCTCGTCATCGCCCCGCATTCCACCTTCCTCGACGGCGGCATCGTCTACTACACCGGCTTTCCTTCCATTATCGTTCGTCGCGAATCCGGAAACAATCGCTACATCGGAAGTAATTCCATCTTCATTAACCTAACCAACTTCCACACCTACCTATACATAACCTACGTGTTTTCTAATAAAAACTATATTTCCGCAGAATTGATTAACTACACTCAGCCTGTGTACGTTTGGAGGGACGATCCTGATTCACGACAAAATACAATCAAGGAGATTATAAACCGAGCGAAATCCGAAGAAGATTGGCCGCAGATTTTAATTTTCCCGGAAGGAACATGCACAAATCGTTCGTGTTTGATTACGTTTAAACCAGGTGCGTTTTATCCTGGCGTGCCAATACAACCAGTTTGTATTCGTTACCCGAACAAATTGGATACTGTCACGTGGACATGGGAAGGTCCAAGCGCGTAAGTAAACTTAAATCTTGAATTATGACCAGAAATTAATTTCTAATGCAAATTTAGGTTGAAACTCTTATGGTTAACATTGACACAAGTGCACAGCTACTGCGAAATTGAATTTTTACCTGTTTACAATCCCAGTGAAGAAGAAAAGAAGGATCCAAAGTTATTCGCTAATAATGTCAGAGATGTAATGGCCAAGTATGCTTTCTACACAAATTAATTCTATTTATTTTAACTTATAAATATTTTCTTGTTTAGAGCGTTGGGTGTACCAGTGTTAGACTACACTTATGACGATTGTAAGTTAATGGCGAAAGCTAAAGAAATGAATCTGCCCAATCCAAACGATTTGGTTGAAGTACAACAACTGCGCACACGCCTTGGACTCAACGAGTCGCGCATTGAAGAGCAGTTGATTGAAACGCACGCTGCCAAGAAGGGCTTCCAAGCCATGAACTATAACAACTTTGTTAACTATCTCAATGTGCCGGCGAACAACCCCAATACGCAACACCTCTTCCATCTTTATGATAAACACTCAGCCGGTGTGATTGACTTTCGGGAATATCTACTCGGCGTCGTTGGTATCACTCATCATCATAATTTACTTGATGTCATCAAGTATGGTTTTAAAGTATGTTTATATAAAAATTTAATAAGGTACCATTTGTTAATATTTGATTTTTATTTATTTAAAGATTTATGATTCTTCCGGTGTTGGACGATTAAACAACATCGAATTCACCAAAGTTTTGTATCACACACTTGCGATGTCCGAGTATGAATGTCATGAACTGTATTTCTGCATTGATATCGTACAAACAGGATATATCACATTTCGTAAGACGCCATTTTATTCCTATAACCTAAAATATTAACTAAATGTTGTGTTTTTTAGAAAATTTCTGCGCTTATGCAGCGAAAAAAGCAGAATTCGCGCATCTTTTTAGCTTATCCACGGAGGAAATTGCTAAGAATGGCGGAGATACCAAACTTCACTAGAATGAGCCTTCCAGATCAATCCATTTATGTGTCAAAATTGTCAAATTATATTAAAGAAAGTTTAAATATTTTCGGTAAACTGTACGTTTAGAGTTTAGAATGTGACTGAAATTGAATGTGACAAGAATACTATGTATAGTGTATATCTGTTTTATATCTAGCACGTTACTTACACGGCCGCCATTTTGATTGGTTGCCATTTTTAATCATTTGTTTTACACTTAACCACACATTGATTCACACCTTACCATTTTGTATACATGTTATCTAGTTTACTTACGAGTACATGCGGCAGTGTGTTGTTTTATTCTATTTAAATATTGTACATTGCTTTATTTATTTCGAATATAGATCTAAATCATGTTAATATTTTCAAAAGCAGTTGTGTTCTTCAATATTAGTCCTGATTATGTGTGAAAAAAGGAAATATTTATGTACGAGACTTTTTATAATGCATTTATTATGTTACAACAGTTAACATAATTACTTCTTGCTCTAAATTTGCAAAATACTTTACACCTTTGGCAAGATCAATGGCAGAGTAGGCACAGTGGTGCCTGACATGCACTTTTCAATGTTTTTGTAGAATGCCTTCAGCAAAGTGGCGATGGGACCATTAATAATATATTCCTTCTCGCACTCGGCAGCGTTAACTACCAGGTTATATTGATACTTGAAGAGAACTTCTGCCAGGCATAACCAGTTGGTGCCACATTTTAACAATTCAGCTTTTGCCAACTTGTCGAAAGATGCGGCGATTGATTCAATACTGGATTTCTTGCACACCTTGGGGGTGTGGAAGTTGGCAATTGTATTGGGGACAGTTTTTCCGACAAAATTGTTTACTTCTTTGGTTAAGCAAGTAACAATATCAGCAGAAGACTAAAATATCATATTAAAACAAATAGAAATATTTTAAAATATATCGTTGAAATATACCACTGAAGAAACATAGAAGGTCACGACCAAAAGTGCAAGGGAGATGTACTTCGCCATTTTATTTCGAATGTTGTTGGCTTCTGTCTAACATTTTTTGATTTTCAGTGTTTATATAGCAATTCATGAGTTTGCATATTATTTAATGAGTACTTTGCTGAAAATTATCAGCCATCGAACTTAAATTTCAAAAACTTTAATGGCGGTTAATAAAATGGCAACCGTTTAATTTTTTGTGTTGTTTTAATCTTTGCTCATGAATTATTTATGGTTGCATTTAATTCAGAAGTATATAAGCCCAGGAAAATTTGTTTTAAAACATTCAAACATTTGCTAAGTGTAACCACAACAAAACACACAAAAATGGCGAAGTTCTTTGGAATCATCATCCTTTTGGTTACCTTCACAGCCCAACAAGTAATATTATTTATATAAAATAACACATATTTGCTTTATACTACGTTCTTTTGCTATTATGATTTAAGTCATTGGCTGCAACAACCAAAGCTACTGCAGCTTCAACAACTCCAGCTCCAGCACCCGCCGTTGGTCTCTGGCCGTGCCTCATGGATCAATTTGGTCAGATTCAAAAGGATATTTCGGTTGCTTTCAATGCCATGACCGCGGAAGGACTCTGCGGAGCCGATACCATTAAAACCTTCACAGGTCAACTGACTCAAACGGTGACAGACTTCCAGAAATGTGCTGAACTGGGATGCTATTTCAAATATTTGCCCATTGTTAAGAACGAGGTGCTCGCCGTTGGACTTCGTTGCACACAGAACTTCCTCCGTAATGGCCCATTCATTCAGGCTCTCAACAGGGCCTATGACATTGTTGATAAATGTCTTATCAAACCTAATGTTGCATTTTAAATAATGTTAAATGGATGTTTGTCAAAAACAACTAAGTAGTATACTTTAATAAATTTATATATCCAGCAAAATACATTTTATTATCTTTAAAAACCTTAAAATATGTTCGAAATTTCTCTTTCCCTTATTGTTTATAGTTAATAATTTATTACATGTTACTACAAGAAATTATTTTATTTTGATACAATTTTTACCATATTCTTCTTTTCATTGTAATGTTAACTCCATTGGTTGACATTAAAACAATTGCCGATGGAAGAATACACTTGTGAGGTGGATTTGTCATACCCAACTCAAAATGTCTGCACACCTTGCTAATGGTAGCCTTCATCTCCATCATTGCAAATCGTTGACCAATACAATTCCGATGCCCAGCACTGAATGGCAAGAATGCAAAAGCATGGCGAGTGCTTTGCTCAGTCGGTAAGAAGCGTTCAGGCATAAACATCTCTGGATCGTTGAAATTTGCAGGGTCTTTATGAATTTTAAAAATTGGAATACAAATTGTCGTGCCCTTGCGTACATGAATGTCTTTGTAGTGGAAATCTTCGCAAACATTGCGAGCAATGCCAGGTACAGACGGATATAATCTGAGACCCTCTTTAATAACCATTTCTAAGTAATGCATGTCTTTTAAATCTTCACTCGTGACATCTCTATCTGGTTCGTTGGCAAATATACTGCGTTGTTCTTCAATTATTTTAGATTGAACGCCAGGATGTTGAGCAATGCAGAATAAGGTAAAAGATATTGCTGCGCTCACTGTGTCGTGTCCTTCAAACATGAAGGTGTCAACTTCTTCCATGATGTCTTCATCACTCAGAGGTTTACCATCAATGGTCGTTTGGAGGAGTAAATCAAGGAAAGCTGTTTTCTTCTTTATACCAAAATGTTCATCATCCAAATTAATGTCTGTATCGGAATGAATGTTTTCCGTAATAGTGTTATTATGATTGCTTAAGGCTTCACGTTTGGTTTTAATTAAGGACATGGTGTAGTTTTTTAAAATCTTTAGGGCTTTCCTTTCCTTCCAGTAAGTTGGTGTGAAAATATAGGTTGCTTTTAGATAAGTTATAGGATTTACAATATGATCGTACACATTTGCCGTCATAAACTTGGTAGCCCACACGTAGTCTGATTGATCATTGAGTTGTGAATTCATACTAGTACCCATTGCGGTTTCTACAATGTTATCCATCGCTGCTAAGGTCACAAAGTGTGCTATGTTTACCACACCATCACCATTTTGTTTATCAATTGATTTCTGCAATTGTTGGACAAGTATTTGATTGTTTTTATTAAAGACATGCACGAATTGGTCTAAAACTTTGAAATGAAAGGTAGGTGTGATTGTTTTTCTTCTTAGACGCCATTTTGCTGACTTGCTTAGAAGCAGACCGTCACCCAGCCATTCTTTTAAGAAAATGTAAAGAATACTTTTATTAATGGTTGCTTGCGAGGTAAGGATAAATTCCACCAGGTCTAGATCAATTGTGACAATACCAGCCGTCCACGGGATGGTCATTTTATAAGTTTGGCCGTAAATATCACACATTTGTCCTATTCTCGCCAAAAGATCTAAAATATATAAATTAAGTTGCGTCATTTAGTTCGAGTAGTGTACTAACTGGACACAGGATAACAAATCACAAGAGATCCAATAAATGGGTACGATTCTGGGCCTTTTAATGATTTTAAACCATCTAAAATTGAGTTTATGTGCCATCTCCAGAATATATAGAGTACCAGAATTGTTATTGATAGTTCTATAAACATTTTCTAGACTTATAGTTTCACAGCAATGTAGTTATTAGAAGCGTGCAATAGTTGAACTGATTAGAATCGTAGTTTGACACACCAATTTCAATGTTGTTGCATTTTTCTCGGCAGAAGTTATCTTTAAAGGTTTCATTTAATCACTTAGACTAAGTTGCTACTGAGTCAGTTATATTTGTAAACAAGTCTAGCATTTTAATAAACGCATTACATTGCATGCGGATACTCATGTACTTTTATGCTATTGTAATCAAAACAAATTGGAAATCAACTTAGCAAATAAGGAGTATAAGAAAATAGAAACCCAGAAACCTGTGACTTTTTGCTCTCCCGCATAAAGTGGAGGGGGTGTATGGGAATGCGTAAATCATAGTAAATCTTTAATACAAATTAGTATACAACATTGTTATATAATATCAACTATGTAATTGTTTTTGTTCTGAATTCAGTCATTTCCACCGAATTATCTTCTAATATTTGATTAGCTTTATAAATTGAACGATAATTCCCATCTTCTTTGTGTAATGTGCTTGTAACAAAGTTTTTCATCTTCTTCTTGTTATCAAACAGATAATGAACAACAGGCGATATCAGCTCTCTTCTCACTTCTTTCTTACTCTTGGTCGCGTAGCTAACGATCAACCCAACTGCGATACAAACTGTCGTTCCGATCAGGCTATAGTAATAATGACTTATTTTGTATAAATAAAATATTGTATTAGATTCCTGGGGAATACTCATCGTAGTGCTGGAAAATAGTAACCAATAAATACGTTAGGTTACTTTATCAAATCATACTTAATACTTACGTTATATTTGTTAAAGATATGTCAAGAGTACAGTTATCAACTGATAAGTATTTAGGGTCGCTCTTTAGCAGACCTTGGGCTTTGTACCATTGTGACCCAATAAACATCCAACCAACTATTAAAGTAGATGAAAATATACCCCATAATGCACCCTGAAATTTATGTAATAAAATTATTTAAAAATATTTTCTGGTCCTGTATTTAAACATACTTTTGAATTAGCCCGAGGACATAACATGCCCAAAGTAAACAACCCTAAAAAGCTACCTGCTGTAATACTTGACACACTGATTGCCAAGGGTAAAATTGGCCCTAAATGTTCCACCATTAATGCAAGCACAGCAATAACGGCACCCATCGCAACAACAAGAAATTTTATAATAAATCCAGTCCTGCCATTCTTGTCCAACTCTGGGTAGTATTTAGATATGAAGTCTTGATAAACTGTTGCTGATAACGCGTTTAAAGATGCTGATAAAGTACTGGAATTAGAAAAGTTAACATTTTTCAACCAAAATATTACAAGATTGCATCTAAGTACCTTAAACCAGTACAAAACACTCCAGAAATAAACAGTCCTGTTAAGCCAGGAATACCCGCAGCCATGTCAGCCACATAGAATGGTACCAACTGATCATTTTTCTCTACTAAGCCAGCCTTTACAGGATCGCATCCGTAGTATATAGTAAAAAGTATTAACCCAGTTAACACAACGATCAGTTTTATCAAAATTATCCCGAAACAAAACAGGAATATAGATTGCTGTGCTTTTTTCAATGTGGGCAACGCTAAGAACTTCAAAATGCATTCTGGGCTCGTTGCAGTCAAGCGAATGTAAGTCAAGAACCAGTGCATTAATACAGCGAAGACAGTTTCTCTCGTGGTTAGATCTAAATCAAAACTAAATAAAAGATTAATTTAAGACAAAATAAGTGATCGCCATATGTTGGTTATACTCAAATGATAAACGGTCTCCTCTTTTTGCAACCTCCAGCACATTGCCTATTCCTCCAGCTTTGTTTAGCCCAAGAATAAACACAACAGCAATGGCGCCTGCAGTAATGATAAACTGAAGAGTGTCTGTCCAAACCACTGCTTTTATTCCACCGATTGTTGTGTACAACGTACAAATCGCACATATGAATGGGATAACATAATATATACTAATTCCAGTGGCTTAAAATTAATGTATATCTTCATTATTTAGTTTTTATTCATTACCTGTTTAATTTAATTCTTACCTTGTGAATATGCCAGGGCTGGAACGTAGACAACAATCGACATGTATAAAATTGAGTTGAATATAAAAAGAAGTGAGCAATAGCTTCGTATTGACGCGTTAAATCGCAGTTTTAAATACTCATAGGTACTATTAAGTTGTAAGCCATAGAAAACTGGTAGATAGACATAACTAGTTGCGAAACATACGAAGAAAATGGAAATAATGCTCAGACCGTACATTGCACCGAACTGGTACACATCTGCGGGGACGGACATTAATGTCACACTTGATACATGACTAAAATATTTTATTTTATTTTATTATTCACTATGATATTGTGATTAGTATTACCTTGCTACAAGTGACATGGCGATCGGAAACACAAACATCTTCTTGTTGCCCATAAAGTATTCATTGGTGATGTTTTTATTCTGGCGACTTGTAAAACTGAAGTATATCCCGATGGCCGTGCTCAGGAGCAGCATGAATGCAAAGAACACGTGATCGTACCAATTGAAATAAATGCGTTGGGTAGAATTCATTTCTCACTTTCAGTAATGTACCGAATATAATTTAGTCAACATATGCAGATGGTAAAACCCGGAATGAAAATTAGTCGGCGACAAGTGTTTTCACGGGCTTTCTTATTTTGATTTGTTTAAATTGTGATAACGAGATTAATACACCGATGTTTGTTTTTCGTATGGCATATTTGAATGTTGCTGTAGGTTGGGTATAAAATGTTATTAAAATTTAAGAAAAACGTCGTGAAAACACTCTGTATATACATACTAATGGTCCAACATTATTGTATGTAGTTTTCGAAATTTTATAGCGGAATAGTCCTAGACAAGTAAAGAAATCATGTAGGTAGAAGTAAGTAAGAAGTTTATATTCATAGGTTTATTTAAAAAGTCAAAATTCGAGTATATCTGGTAATTACTACCTAAATAATTAGTTTGACAACAAAATGTTACTAAGATAAAACATTCAAAATAATGTTTTCTTCAAACTTCTGACGTAAAAAGATGAAATTTTTAATTTTTATTTTTTGCCTGAGAAACGATGAAGAAACAGAATAAACCAGTTTATCGCACTTTTCTTGCAAACTATTAAAGATAAAGGAAAAGCGTTTTCAGATTCGGTGATAGAAGATTATTCTACATTATATAGAACTTTAAACTGTTCAAATAACCATACTTATGTAATAAACAAGAATGGTCAATAACTTGAAAACTAATTGCGTCATCGAAACCAAATCTGGATTAGTGGATTCCTTGCATCATTCTACATCAAGTTGGAAAGTTTGGTGAAAATCCGAGTGGTAGTTGAATTTTGCCTGTTCCGATTTTCACCAGCATTTTCCGAAATAATAGTGTTATCGACAAACTGACTAGATATCTTTCATCGCATGACATTTCTCTACTAATTGGCGTTTTCTATTTTCTTCTAACTTAAAAAATAATTTTTAGACCTAAAAGTAGTTAAGTGTAACCTCTTGATGAATTTTTCTTAGTTTTTGGTCAACTTTAGAAAATCAAAAAACTAAATCTGCCATCTTTTAGATTCTTGTTAAGGCATGAAGGAAATGCAAAAAGTTATGCTCTAACTTTTATACTTTTCGAGGAAATCGCGTCGGAAAATTAGTTTTCACTACCTTAAAAATAAACATTTTAAAATCTGACCTTATTGAGAATTTGATGCTGAATGCTATATCGTTTACGATTCTGGTTTATCTTAATTAGTTTCTGAAATAATTGGTATTAAAGTTGTGCTTCAAGTACAAGTTGTATTTAAATGCATCTATAGGGTAAACCATTGAAGCTATTAGGTAATAAGTTTGGTAAATAAGGTAATTAAGAACCTCCCTACACAATGGTACTAGTTTTAGTTATAAAAAACCATTACATCAAATGTCAGGCGCCTCCACCAAATTGTTCGACTTTTCTTATTAAAACCTGAAAATGGAAATAAATTAAATTTTATTACAGAATATAAAAGATTATATGAATGTGCATCTTTTATCTAAGCAAATATTTACGCTTTTCTTTTTAGTTTAGGAGTTATGAAAATATGAAGGTTTGAAAACGGTAAACGTAATTTATGCATTTACGCCTTTATTTGTAATAGTCAATGCTGTAGAGAATTCTTAAAGAAGCAGTTATCTGAAGTCCGATTTTCGCTAACCCTTTTAGTTCAGGAGTTATTCTTGCATAAAGTTTTTGTTCTGATTTTCAACCGAAAATATTTTAACAAAAAAGTTCGACCCTGTCTTTCGACCAAAAATATTTTACACCCAAAAGTTCGACCCTGTCTTTCTGTCGAAAATATTTTAACAAAAAAGTTTGACCACCCTGTTTTTGGACGGAAAATATTTTACACAAAATAGTTCGACCCTGTCTTTCGACCAAAAATATTTTAACAAAAAAGTTTGACCCTGTCTTTCGACCGAAAATAATTTAACAAAAAAGTTTGACACTGTCTTTCGACAGAAAATAATTTAACAAAAAAGTTCGACCCTGCTTTTCGACAGAAAATAATTTTTAAAATAAGTTAGTTAGGTCCTGCCTTTCGGCCGAAAAATAAAATTTGAACTTGCGAGACTGCTACCTGGCGGAAGTCCATGATAACTAATTATATTTAAACAACAAAGGCTTCACATATTTATTTATTCTGCACCCATATCACTCCTCTCTGTGACAAAAGAACTATACTGAAAAGATAAAAAAGAAAGGAGTATGCTGATGTAACGAATTCAGGATAGTAAAATTTCATTTTTCCATAGACAATCACTATATTTATTTGCAGCAAGTAATAAAACAGATCGAAATAAAAAAAACCACATACTCGAATTTGAAAACGGTTGGAAACGATGTTGTTTCTACACTAGTTAAGTTGTAAGCTGTATGATTTTGTTTCATTACAAGCGATATTTTGTTAATTGCCGATAAAATAAGATATTCCATTAATTACCAAAAAGAGAAAATTAATTATATTATAAAAGGCGTACGAAGAAAAAAAGATTCACGCCGTTATAGCGATGACATTAACACATTCACCCATGTCATACATATAAATATAAACGACTACAGTAAATAGGATTATTTCATATTATAACCAAAGCCAAAGTTTACCATTAACTAAAAGAAAATATAAGAGATAGTAGTAGTTTCATTAGATAATATATGTCTGGCCACCACGCTATTATTTCGGCCAAATTGTACGCTGGTACATTAAAGTACCGCGCGTGGATCTTACGCTTTTTTGTTTCATTTTTTATTTTATTTCAATAACAGACAAGAATATCCACGCAGTGAATTTGGGCGCTCGACGAATGTAACCCGAAACAGGGGGGCCAGCGCCGCAACTCTTGCCTTCGTTTAATATTCTGATTTTGCTTTGTGTTTTTACCGTCGAACAAAGTACTTGTTAAAATTATGAATTTGTTTGCTCAGCATGGCGTCGCCTGAGGCACGCCCCCAAATGCCAACTGCCAATATTACTAAGCACTCCAATAGTAACGAGATGATGCTATGCTGCTTGCTGGTTGACTGGCTAGCTGGCTGGTGGTGTTTGCTGACGGCCCTTTTTGAATGGCGCACGCAACACATGGGACACGTTGCGACGCTGCGATTCCTAGTGGGTTAAACAGAGAGAGTGGATCCCGGACAGCCGGAAGGCTGCCGTACACCTGATCGCGCCCCTCGTTCACACCCACGGCGTCCAGCCTTCGTACAGCAGGGCCAGGTTGTCAATACTCGTCGCTTCTCTTATTACATAATCCACCTACAAACCGAAACATTCGTTAAACTTCATACAGAATATCATTCAGGCTGGAGCACTTACCTGTTCCTGAGTGGAATACTTCCTCCCTGGATCCGGATCTTTACCCTCCAATTTCATCCTTACCCGACGCCATACGCCCACTGCATATGCATTCCTCTGCTGTCCCTTGGTCATACTCTCCTGCTTGCCGGGCATAGCTCGAAGTGGACTGAGCGACACACCCTCCTGCCGTACCAACTGTTTTCGCCCAATTATTCCATCTCTACCCTCCAACTGCAACAAATCTCGATGCACCGCCTCTGTATTGGCTTCCAACGCTTCCAACTTTCGTCTCATCGCGCCCATTTCTTCCGCACTCAGCTCTTTCTTCATGTTATAAAACAAGCTCGAAAAATTTTCCACGTACTGGCGATACTCGTAAACAAACTTCTGTGTTTTGACGGCGCACTCCTCAATTTTCAGCATCGCCTTAATCAAACTCTTAAAATCATTCATCACGTTGCTGTGTCGGCCATACAACACTTTCAACTCCTCGAGTTTAGCATTAATATTGGTCGCTGCTGTAAACACATTCACTTTCAATTCGGCGGATGTCGCTTGTGTAGATGTAATCGTGTCGGAGATTTTATCAGACACCAAGAGCGTCCACTTTGGATCACCTTCCATTTCAGCAGTGTAAAACTTCATAATATTTTCCTCAACCGGAGTCACAGCGTCAACTTTGACTTTCGTAAGTCTGCAAGCTGACACCCACTGTTCATACCCTCTTAGGAAAATCTGATCGCAAGATTTAGACTCAGGTGTGGAGCATCTCAAGAGCTCATATCTTAAGATGTTACTACAAGTTGACAATGTCGCCCCGCAAATATGCTGTTCCAAAGTAAGTCGGTCTTCTCTAACAGTTACAGCCACTTCAAACTGGGCCAGTGTTTCATTCAAGTCTGGATTAGCGCCTGCGGCCCACTTCAATCTCTGCGAAATACTAGCAATCAAGGTCTTTTGCTTTTCACGTACTTCACTTGCTTTCGCTTGGAGGCGACTCAACGCAGCCGTTTTATTGCCCATCTCAACAATAAACTTACTGCGCATGTAACTGCACTTGTCCGATTGTTGTAGGACTTCTTCATGTAACCAATTGTGCACAGTCAACTGATTTTGCAGTCTGGTCAAAGAACTCTGTAGTAAAGTAAGTGTTTTTTCCAATTTTTTCGGTTCCTGAATCTTTTCCCAAGCATTTTTGAGATTAGACTCCACACTACTCGCTTGAGCAAGTACATTCTGGCTGAACGTGCCGTTTTTAAGGAAAATATTCCATCCCTTATGGTATAACTCGTCCAAGGGGACTTTATTTTCGGCACCGATATCCTTCTGTTCAATTTCGTTGGTTACATCCAGGCCTAGTCTCTGCAACAAATAACATTGTGCATATGCAATGGCTTCGGTAGTAATGCCCAGAAATTGTCGACTGATAAAATCAGCGATAAACTTCCGAATCGGTTTGAGTAACGCTTCATCGTCCAACATAGTAACATTATCGCCAATGCCTTTGAACGACTGACAAACTTCCATTGACAATGCAAAGAACTCACACATCGTTTGCAAACGTTTCAGTAAAAGATATCATTCAAAATTGCATGAACTTGAGGATTGAAGATCGGCGCAGCTAAACTTTTTGCTTCACGCACCTGATCTAATTTTCTCCAACTTGGTGAAACTTTCAAATTTCCCAGCAAACTCACAACATTATTGCACTCCAAATGCAATTTATCAAAAAGCCCATTAAATCCCATCAGCAACATTTTTCCGGGTGTTAACATACTAATCGATGATTGCAATAGTCCTTGATATTGACCTTTCAATGTCATCATCTTCTGATCAAATGCCTCATTGCAACCGTAGTCCATTTCCATTACAACGCAAGTTAGATTCTTTTCCAACTGGAGAACCAAATCCTGGATCGGTCCCACACTCATAACTATAGCGTTTAATTCATGTACCATCCCCATAACACTTGCCTCTTCACACTGCATTTTCTTGATGCTTTCTGGTAGAATAATCGTATGGAAATTAAAATTCAACTCGTGCAAACTTCTATACAAATTATTTGCCGCTTTCAAACCATTCTCAACTTGCAGAAAATTGGTATCCTCAATGCTATTATCCAACTGCAAATAACTAATCAACTCAATAGCCTTACTGCAGCTGACTGTTAATTCGTCCAGGAACCAATCACCATCACGGGATGTCAGTTTGATCAACCAATCACCGGTTTTCGATGCGGCTGTCTCCAGGGTAAGGAAAGTTCGGTTCAATACCAATAGTTCACTAACAATGACAAACTCCAATGCTTTCGGGGCTTGTTTCTCACGCTTGACGAAATTAATCAAGCACAATTTCGCTTCAGAGTACAATTTCTCCAACACACGCGGTTCTTCAGTGCGGACATCCTCGTAGGCTTTCGCTACCTTCGTAGCGGTATTATTATAAACCAGATTCAGTTTATAATTATATGCAATAATCGCATTGATTGGTTTAGTTGCAAGATTCAGGAACGCGAAAACCTGTTGGTAGATCATTTCGCATGTTGTGACATTATCAGATGTAAGCAGCATTTTTGCCCACTTAAGATAGTAGTATATGCGATGTTCCTCAATAAAAGATGGCGGACACTGAGCGAAAACCACCCAATACTCTTGTAGCAAGTTGAGGCACTTCAGCGTCAACATTTGTTGTTGTTCATAATTACTCAACACTTCCGCTTCGAGCTGGTCGCATTGAGCAATCATATTTGTTTGCCCTGCGTTTTGTAGGAAATCTTTCACAATTTCATAGATTTTCACTTTGCTTCCGCCAGAATTATTCAATTCCATATACCATTGTTGGACCTGTTGCGATTGCAGCGTTTTAATCGATTCTTCATATTGTTGGATATGAGCACCGCACTCTTGCTGAAGTTTGTCCAAGTCAGAGCGAGCTTGAGTGAAAGTATCGCGCGTTTTCTTAAAGTTTTCGAACCTAATTGGCAACGTTTGGAGATTATGTTTCAAGGGGCCATTGGCTTCCGCTTCCTTCACAAGAGCCATCTGTTGATGCAAATCTTGTAGCATATCATCGGTAGATGTCGATTGTTGTTGAAGTTCGAACCATGTGTCCACCAAGGTGTACAATTCAGGAATTAATTTTGTTATGTCACATCTGAAATAAAAATATTTAATCTTCCCTTCTTAAATTAATAAAAATTTAAATAACTTTTCAACATACTTGTTAAAATCCCATTCGTTTTTCACTTCGCTGCACCGCACACGGTACATCGCGAGTGTTACTTCCTTTTCCAGATCCTTTCGAGTTTGGCGATGTGATGCACAAGTCGACATGCCCCCAAAAGTAGTGCCTACCAATCCATCATTTCCGACAGTCCAGTCAACAAGTGGGTCATAGACAAACGCCTCCAGCAGCGTGAGAAGTGTCTCGCGACCTTTCTTCATCGTCTTCAGGATGTTTTCGCAAGCCAGCCGGAACATTCCCTGCGAAATTCAACTAAAATTAGACTTTTCCAATGTCAGAAAAAGAGCACGCCACACAAATTTAATCAACCAAATGTGAATGCAGCGCACTTAATTAGTGCGCGTCTGGGAATAGTAAGAGTAAGTAAGTACGTATCATGAAACACTCCATTAAACTCTCATTAGGTAAGATATCATCTTTACTAATTCGAATAAAGTTATTATTAACCAATAGGTGGAACCGAAAGAGCTATTATCAAGTGGACGTTTGCCGTAACCAACCAAATATTTGCCAGCGGCAAACAGAAAATCATCGAACAATATTTTAATAGTTACATGCAAAATTCCAAATGACGTCATCCAAAATATACGAATACAAAAACGCGGAAAGAATGTCTGCATTACTTTTGATTTGATTGATCAAGTGCAGCAGCATATAAAAAAATAGTGCATTTGGACATTGCACATTGCTCGCCACTCATACCGCGATTTATTCTATATTCGACATTCTATCGGATAATGGATTCGCCACCATGCTTCGCTTCCACTTTGCGGCCGGCTGGCGCAGTTCGAGCACGCGTCGGATGCGTTAGTCGCTCGCCGGACGCATATCGTAAAAGACCACTACAAAAATTCGCGCAAAAAAAAATAAAATAACTTGGTCATCAACGCATTTTTGCCTCAACCGGCCAAAACCGTGAATCATCAGTATATCGGATAACCCCAATCGGCGCGCGGTCGATAACAAACTTTCATTCCGAAAGACAACCGAGGAATCATTAAAATGTAATTACGCACACACAGCGTAAATAATACCATAACAATAAAAAATAAACTACTACAAAAGTGTTGTGTGACAAAGTGTCTACCGGCCTGCAACCTTGAAAAAAAATTCAAATTCATTCTTTGATGTAAAACAAATAATAACGCATAAATCTCATGGCTGACCAGAGTATACTTCAAATTTTCAACAAATAATAATCGTAGTAAAACATTCAACGCACGTTTGCAACCATGTAAACTTTGTAAGGTGACTTATTAAAACTCAAGTTTAAGGCTAGTCGATAGAAAATAAAACCAAGTGTCGTTTTCCAGTGGCAGTCACATTGCGTGTTCAAGTGCAGTTTTGAACGGCGGCCAAAAAAAACCGCTTTCAATGAACTTCAATCGAAACAATCATCAAAGTAGTCTAAATTTAAAGGAATATTTAATCAAAAAATGAAAAATCCGTTATAAAAACATCACAGAATGGCAGACCTCGATAAAAACTACACTTTACAATCAGTGAATGGCACCAATGGACCGGAAATAGCTCCCGAGGTGATTACGTGGATCGTCATCGACTCGATCATCATATGCCTAACGCTAGCCGGGAATATTCTGACAATTTGCGCGATCAAGTTGAGCAAAAAGATTTCGGAACTGCTCTCGAACCGGTACATCTTTAGTCTGGCGGTGAGCGATCTGCTCGTGGGGCTGACACTGCCATATCATCTGGCGTTCACCATCGATGATTATCTGGGATCGCACGAGAGCACCTGCATCCTGCGCTTCGTCCTTATTATATTGGCATGCAGCAGTTCTATTTACAATCTTCTTGCGATTGCTGCTGATCGATATATTGCCATTGTTTTGCCATTTTTTTACAGCAGGTAAAGTAAAAATACTTTTTTTTTTGTAATTTAGCAAAGAATAATTAAGATAATTGAGTGTTAATGAATTTTGCATGTAAATTAACTTCTGTAATACCAAATTTTTGGTAGGAAATAACTTTTTTATCAAAATTATTGCACTAAAAGTACACAAAAACATAATTTTGAAAATTCGGCAGTGAAAAATTAATTTTAAACTTCATGTCTCATTTAATTTCAGACATATGACAAGAAGAGTTGTCTGGTCAATAGTTTTCTCTGGCTGGTGCTTGTCCATCGGCATCGCATCAATGCCAATCTACTGGAACACATACGAGCCGGGCAAGTGCACACAGGACCACGTCCTGCCCGCACAATACGTCAACTTCATCATCACCCCCATGTTCCTCTCCATCTGGCTGGCGATGTCCGTGCTATACATGCGAATATGGCGCGAGGCAGCCGAACATGCAAAACGCCTCCGCACCGCAGCCAATTTCCCCGGCGCCAGCGCCAAGCAACGCAAATCTCTCAAAGAAAACAAATCCGTACAGGTACGCCACGTACGTCACTTATTCATAATGTGCGACAATAATACACACAACATTCAGATCGTATCGATGTAATCAAATCTATCATGTGCATCGAAATGCAATTTGGTGAGTGCAGCGTGTGGAAATCCGCGCTTATATAAATATGACCGATTTGCGCACGTCCGTGAATGTAAACAAGACGCGACCGGACTGTCATCAGCGCGAAATGCAAGAGAAACAAACAAAATCATGTTTAACTTTACATGAAATCAATTAAAACATCGCGATAATTAAATGAAGTACCCACTCGGTAAAAATGATTTCGAAATTTGTGTTTGCGCAACTTGAAATTTTCGTATGTTAATGATAAAATTAATATGTACGTGATGAAATCTTCTCACGGCAACGAAATTTGAGCAAGTTGAACATGTGTAACATCACGTCTTATAACAAACAATACAAAAATCGACAGCATGCACGCATTCAGTTCAATTTCCTATCAAGTTACGATTTTGATTCGACCTTAAACAAACTTTATTGGACGACATGTCCATCAACCATCACTGCGTTACTTACTCAAATGTAATGGATGCATAAAACGTGTAAACACCATTTACAACCATCATCGGATACAAAAATAACACATGTTGACCCAGCCGGAAAAGAATGCAATTTAGGCGAAATTAAAATAAACGCTGCATAAATCATGCTAGTATTAATTAATTTAGCGGCGGCAAACATTATTTAGGCATCATCGTAAACTCTCGACAAATTACCGAGAACAATTAGGGAGAATAAACATAACAGTGACATGACAGTGTTTATCTTTAAACTAAAGTTTAAATTGCTTTCTACTCCAGGCTCAACAGTCATGAAGTAATTTCTATTTAGAACTTATGCACTTCTTTAGAAAGTCAAAAATTAACTTTAAGTTCACTGTTGATAATTTGCTATCGCGTGCGGTGAGAATGACAGCTAAATTTAGTGCAAAATGTGCAAACATGACAACACCAATTCGACAAATGTTTATCAAGTTTAAGAGGAGATAAAATATACTATTCCTTGACTATATCCGCCACAATTGTTTATGGACATCCTGCCAGCGCAACCAAATAAATAACAAATTACACGTGCCCATTGCTTTCCGTTCGGAACCAATCGAGCGCACACGACACAATAATGAAGTCGTGAGGCTCGTGTAAGTACCCGCCCACAAAGTCATTGTAATCATCTAATCATTCATATAAGAATACTTTTAATTAACCAACATCAATACAACGAAATAATTATCACTTTTGTATTATTTCCAGATGGTTTTATTGATACTCGGCTGTTTTTCGCTCTGCTGGTTTCCCTACTTCTTTGTGTTAACTTATATGCGATTATACAACGGCAGAAGTCTACCAGAAGTCTACGAAGCCGTCTTTACACTAGCTGTGAGCAACTCCTGGATGAATCCACTCATCTACGCGTGGAAGAGTAAAAACTATCGGAATGCATTCTGGTGTCTGCTAAAGTGTAAATCACCGCGAAATCTCAACAAGGAGCCAAACTTCATCACTGATCACATTCCGGGTGATAAAAGTCGCAAAAATAATAACCCTGCTGAGCGTTCAAGTGATAACAATCTCCGAATAGAGATACAATTACAGGAAGATTTTAAACAAGCGAAAAACGGTAAGAATCTCGATAAACAACAAGAAGAAATGCAGCATAGTGATGGTACAGTTACAACATGCATCAACTAAACAAAAAACAACATCCAATATGTACTTAATCACTAACCTAACACATTTTATACACGCGATGATTTGCGATGTGAATTCATGCAGCTGTGGATGGTATTCGGCCGTTTTTTTCAAACACGACCGATAACCTCATCGCGCACGAAAATAGTATTTCCATACAGGAACGTATTACAGGTTGTTTTTTTTTTTGAAACAACAGTCAAACTCCAAAGTATTACAATGTATTACTTATACTACGCATTATATTAAAATCTCCAAACAAGTTGAAGTATTTCGAAAAAAACTACGGGCCTGCACCTGATAAGCGCGCTAATCGGGTGCATGCGATACGTTCGCGGATATGAGCAACGGATCAATCAAATTTGTTTACGACACCTCCCGAAACAGTGATAAGGAACCAACGCGATGGGCCATCATCGCCGATATTACTAGCTTTATAAATAAATTTGTTCTAGCGATAAGTACCTACAACGAGTACCTGTTTGTTTACTGCATCGTAATTGTTTTAATGGGAGTGAATTACAACGCGCCGCGCGTCAAGAAACCAGTACACAATTATGACGATCAGAGTGATAATGATTGCGATGAGAGTGTAAATATTTTCTCGCGGTGGTATTTTATTTGCAAATGTGCATTTAATGTTAATTGCTGTGTTATTTAATTTATTGCTAATTGGTACGACGGGTATATTTATATTACAGTATTTTTAGAAATTAATTGTAAAGAAATTTGAAAAGATATTAAAAACTAATAAATGTTGAAGCAAAATGAAAAAATTATGTTCGTTCTGGAATACGCAATTCATGCTTTAAATTTTATTATATTTTATTTTTACGAGTTTTTTTAAATTACTTGTAAAAATAAAATAAATAAAACAAAATTTAAAAAATATATTAATAATTTTGCACTCACCTCAACACCTGTAATTCCCAAAGCATCCCGTATATTCGGCGTCAGTCTAAATGGCACTTTTTCTGGCACACGCAAAGTCTTCCCTTTCTCGAAACACACATTATAATCAATGTGCACCACCTCACCAGTGTTTAAGTCCACCAACACATTATCAAGATGCCGATCGCCAAGCCCAATGATATATCCGATGATGCTCATCACCGCAACGGAATACGAATATTTACGCACAATCTGCCACCAGGCACCTGGACTCACCGCATGGCACCACAACTCTTTCGCGAGGAGATTACTCGGTGTTTCCGCCATTAATTCGGTTAACACTTGCTTCAACGCAACCAGCGGCCATTCCTTCCGGTTGTCTATATTCTTAACTCCGTGTTCTTGCAATAATGGATTCAATTTACTGTAAAACAGCTCTGATGGTCTTGAAACAGTGTTGGTTACTTTTGATGCTTTGCTAGCTTCCCGCTGCTGCCACCTTTTATATAGAGCAAAAACAGGTGTTGTCCCACCTACCCAGCTAATCAACCCTGATCTGGGTCCTAGGGGTATTACGGAGTAATGGCGTGCTCTGTAAAGATTATGGCCGGTACCTTCTGTATTTTGCGCCATCATAGTGTTTGCAATGCTCAAAAACTGCATAATTCTTTCATCCAAGTGTAAATCTTCTAACCCTTTGAAGAGATACGTGTAACTGGTACCATCCGATCCGTAGAAGATCAACTTTTTCGGTTTGGTCTTAGTGGGCAAAATAGAAACTTGGTTGGACACATGTGAAATGTAAACTTTTGTAGACATAAATCGAGGATTGTCCTGACCAGGCATTGAAATCACTGTATCTTTAATCTTCGCCAGAATCGGACTTATATTTTCCATTTTAAGCACTGAACGTTTATGCGCCTTCTGTTGGAATTGAGTTTGTAACTCCTTCAAGAGTTTCCAAGACTCCTGTGGCTCATCGGGGTTTTCAGGATTCTTCAATTTTTGAAGCACAGATTGAATCAGAGGTAAATACTTCTCTTGGAAATGCTTCTCATGTGGAGTTTCCGGCTCCACCCGGGTAATATCATACAATTGTTCAAGAATAAAAATAATCGGCTTGATAATAATCCGGTGTTTCTCTGTAATCAATGCAATCTTCTGTTCAGGGAATAGGTAACTATTTTGGTTGACCTTATCAATTTCAAACTCCAACTGTTGTTGCCTCTTGTTGATCTCGCTATGATGTTGTGCGAGTGTACCCAACCACAGTTCATCCCATAATAAAATAATCCTTCTTAGCTCCTTAACGAGGGTCTGCACCTGGGTAATAGTTTCAGGCGCTTGTTTACTCAGAGTTTCCACCATCGACTTGAAACAATCCTGGAGAACATTTTTGCTCTCCTCATCACTCTCGTAAGCATCTTCTTCAATGTCATTTAACTCCGCATCTTCAGAGGGATCATTATCCTGCGATAAACAATCTTTTGGAAGAGATATTTCAGAGAAGTCAAAATTGACTCCTCCTTCAAGTGCTCCCACAACAGCTGGGAATGTGATCAGATGTGGAGCATCCTCTGCAACGCGACACAACAACTCAGAAACCCTTTCACGCACATAACTCTCAGGATGATTCAATCTGGAAAACAATTGTGGGATGATAATCTTCCATGGGTGAGTTGGTGTAGTGGTGAGGCCCTTCTCCAAGACGCTTTGTAACTCCAAGGCGTGTTTTACAACCAATCGTAACAATCTCAAAGTCACCGTCACAGTATTTGATTCTGTGGCTTTAGACACATTCTCGCTCTGGGTAGCCAAGTGTAAATATTTAAAATATGCCTCTACACTATGTTCGTAATAAGCGTAGACTCTCTTCTGCAGATTCCTCCACACATCCACCAATTTCTCAATTAACTCTTCAGAAGCGTTGAATAATGACGAAACATTCTTTAATTGATTGCGAATCATATCCGATGTGTGTATTTCATTAGAATCTATATCCTCCTCATCAACATAAGCTCTAGTTTGTGATAGAATCAACAAAATCCTGTCAAAATCATGATTTTCATTCTGGGTAGGCAATAATCCCTGAACCATTCCTTTGTCTTCCAAAGTCAGAGTATTTGATAAATCCGCGCTATTATCAACAATTTTCCGTCCCCAACGATAACACCACGTCCCAAAAGCATGCCAACCCTTTGCCAAAGTCGGACATTGATTGACACTAAACTGAAGCAACTTTCCAATGACCATTTCATTCATAGGTATAATATTATTACCGATATTTTCAATACCAATTTCGGGCAAAACAACGAGAAGTTTACCCAGCGGTGTAGTCAAATCCGTAAGAGACATTTCATTTGTCTGCAACCATGCTCCTAATTTTAATAAAATTTTGGAACTAACCTGTTTCAATTCCGGATTGGAGCACATATCAGCACTCTTAAACAATGAAGTTGAAGCAATCGCGCAGATATCAAACGCTAATTTCTTCGGGTTGCACTGATCAGTCGGTGTTTCGTCGTATAACAATTTGACAAGTTCCTGCGCTGCTTTAGCTCCATCCAAATCCCATGTTCTCATCTCGGGAATCTTCAATTTAAACGACTCTGACATATTTATCAGTAAGTTTGATCCAGAGGACTGATCTTCAACACGTAGTAAACTGTTATTTTCCAGGAGACGATATAATTGTGATGTTGCTCCAGTCATATTTCCTTCTTTTCTAGACTTTTTAATAATATTCAATCGCAGATTATTACAGAATTTTGTTAGGTGTTGCAATTGCAAATGGCAAAAATATTCAGTCCACCAGAGAATCTTAGCCATCACGGCACAATCGACTTTCTCAACGTCCAGCTCGAAATTTTCGGAAACCAAAAACGCTGTACTTGCTGATGACACATTATTCACAGCATTCTGTAACCCTGTAGCAACATAATGCATCAAAGTAAAATCTTGTTGAAATTGCACAGGAGCAAATAATGCATTCTCCTGCATCGCCATTCTAATTTTAGCCAAATCCTTCTCGAGTGTGGAATTGAGAATTTGATTATCCGCAGCGGCGACATTCAATGCGACTTGATAAAGATCACTCTCCGTAGTAAGAAGCGCATCATAAACACTCCAAGATTCTCTCGCATAGTCCAACTCCTTCCATGATGTTAAATCGTCAAATGCATGTGTAAGTGTCTCCAAGTTATAAACACTCTGCGCGCACTCCAAATTCACCGTATTGAATGAATATCTCATACCATTCTCGCCCTCAGACATTAATACATACATCCTACCGTTTCTATACTGCACAATATCCATCCAGCTATTAATCTGCTTATAACAGGCAAAAATCTGATCATTTATGAAATTCCTCACGTAAATATCCAGTTGTGATCCGCCTATATCAATGATTTTCTGATATCCATTCGCTGCGATTTCGTATTTTTGTTGGCTTGTTCCGCTGCGCACTTGATCCAATCAAATTTTCTTCCTTGTCCTTTACACCAGACGTACAACCCACTGATTGCCTCGCTTTCTTGAAGATTTACATAAGCCATGGTGAGATACACAACAGCGCGTTCAAATTCCAATGTCTCAACTTTTCCACCTTTTTGTAGATCTGCAAGTAGTTGTTGGCCATGTCTAACAGCAACCACATTCAACCCGGCGTGAAGTGCAAGTTGTACAAGAATAATTCTAATCCTAGACAACCATTCCCTGCAAGTGCTTGCATTGGTGCAGAAAAAAGTACGCACTGGTTTCTGCGGTGATGGAATGGCAACTGCTGTACCTTCAGCTGCGTTATACATTGCCATCTCAAGATGTTCAATAAATTGAAGTAAAAGTCGTACTCTGCTATCGCTCACCTGCTGTTTACCACCTTCGTGTTTGATCTTCATGACATCTCTCGCCAATTGTTTCAAAGCATTCTCAAAACTAGTAAATGTTTCATTGGGTTTACCAAGTGGTGTTCGAAGTTTACTGTTGACACATAGTTGTGCGGCTTCCCACGTGGCCCAGCTATACAAAACCATGCGATTATTCAGCGCCAAGTCACGATACTGCTCGGAAAACACACTGTCGCTCTCCAGTGGCCAGCAATGCGCCAACATATTCTCGAGGAAATTCTCTGAAGCTGGTTCGTTTTTCAAAAGGTAATTCATCAGCTGTTTGAAATTGTGTCCTGGCATCTCACCGAAAACCGCGCCACTTAGATGCATCCGTTTTGCAAGAGCTAAATTCTTCAAGGAGTACTTTCCTATATCATTTACAGTCGTTGCATTCTCAACGTTCAAAATGGCGACATCCCACGGTATCCACACTGATAATTTAGTATAGTAATTTCGTACTGCGTCATTTGTGGAAGTCATGTGTAAGTTGCACAATTTATTTACCTCAATCAACACATCGTTCTTCCATGGCATTTGTCGATTTGACAAAAGTTTCTCCAAAATCTGCGCTACTTTCTGCACAATTCGCTGATCTTTATTACTTGCATGTTCCAATAATACTTCCATCAACTGCATAAACTCCAATCTGGTGCACAATATTTCCATATAAGACTCACCGATCGTAAGAATCTCATCAAAACTTTGAAACAACAGCAATTTCACTTCGTTATTATCACTTTTCTTCAACGTCGAATGCAAAACATTCAAAATAATCGTAAAATTATTTGATGTGGGAGACCAACCGGGGAATTCCGTTGGTGGATTGATTAGCGTACTCTTTGAGATAAAATAATTGTAGCATTTGCAGTGTGAATATAGTAAATTCAAAATAGACATTTGCAAAACAGGAAACTGCGCAACTTTTTGATTATACGGCTGCATGGAGACTCCGAGTAATTCTAGGACACTAGGTTTCAATATCCACATACCCACAATAGATCCACTGTCATTCGCCAATTGTGAGAGACATCTCAAAAGGAATAAACAGTTAAACTGTGCTTGTCCTTCAGTTTCCTCTGTATTATCTTCAAATGGATTATTTTCGATGATGGTAAACTCTTCGTCGATGAAAGGTTTGTAGGATAGTTGTAAATCGCCCAGCAGAAATCGATATACCTCCTGAAGAAGCGGTATATTTTTAAGATTCAACAAGGCTTGATAAACTGCAATCAAAGCGTCCTGTATGTTCCGAAAGGGTAAAAATCTCAATTTTACTAATGGTGACGCAGGTCCAACAAACTTCGGAATCAATTCAATGTCAAGATCTGCTGACAACTCCTTAATAACTCTGGATATCAACACCAACATAGAAATTATTGAGCTGTTGGTGTAGGACTCAACAAGATCCAACTCAAGATCAATCAAAGAGAATACAATTTCTTGTATGGCTGTTAAAGTTAATGGTTCGGATGTTTCTGTGGTTTCATTTAATTCGGTATTTTGATGAATGGAATTATAAAAGCTCAATAGTAAAGCAATACTCTCATTGGCGGCGATGATCAAATTATCGCATACTTTGATGATGACCGATTGGCTAATCGTTGAAAGAATTTGTTTCATTGCGTCAGCAATCATTTTTCGTAAACCTGGCGTGTGATAGCACTTGTGTCGAACCCTGAAGACATTTCAAGACTGTATTCAATGCTAGAACAAAAACAGTGACATGTTCGACACTTTCTGTCTCGAAATCTGAATATGTCTCTATATCTTCGATAAAATGAACCAGTAGAGTAATTGAAAAGTCTAAATTGTTTTGAAAATGCCCGGAAACTCGTTCAAGCTGCTTGGAAATGAATTGTATGTTGCAAAGTGGCTGTGTGTGATCCACATGCCAGCCAAATAGTAAATCAATGGTGTCCTTGAAGTATTTATTAAAGTTGCTGGGGAAAAACTCGATACTTGTCATGAGATTGTCCAGAATCAGTTTGAAAACCTCGACGTTTTCCGTCGGCTCTATACTTGCGTTCAACTCCTGCATTAGTAGATACATTTTTGTTTGTCTATGATTGAGTTCTCGCGCTCAATGTTTAAAGTCTCCTTTAGGGCTTCCATGAAGAGGCAGATCGTTTCCTCTCTGCCGTTCTGAGCGGAGTTTGTGTTGAATTTCATAATGACTTTGATGTACTTTGTGAAATCAAAGGTATCGCCGGCCATAATGTACCCGATGCGCCCGAAAGCGCGGGCACATTGTTTCTTTGCTTGTGGGCCTGGAGCAACTTGTAGAATGTGCAGCATGCTATCACGAAGAATAGCGAATGATTTTCGCACGTAGGTGGCATTTTCCGGCAGCATCAGGACTTCCAGCAGCTTCCTGCTGATTTGTAACGAGTTCTCTGGGTCTTCCTCAATGCTCAATCGACGTAAAAGTTTCGAAATTCGCGTGTCTTCAGGCAAATTGAATTTTATCTCTTTTTCCGCCTTCTTATCCGCGTCAGCGAGGTTGGCGCTCGGCGTAGCATACTTGCCGTATTGGAATAAGGAAAGCGAATCAAAGTAGTCTCGTTCGCGTTCGTTGCGGTCTTTCCCGCCTCGTAGATCTCGGTCCCTAGGAAAATGTTTGTCCTGACCTCCTCGACGATTGAAGTTATTGCGCCTGTCGCGATCATTGCGGCTGGTAGCGCCTTTGCTAATGTAGAAATTCGCCGGGGATTGTTTGGCAACACGCACTTTTGGGTGAACTCCTGGTACGTAGAGGAATTTATGATTGTTGTCGGTGTCGGGACTCTCGTCCCCGTCGCCGTCGGCGGTCGACGACGGCGAGGTCTTGCTTCCTTGGCCCGCCTTGAGCTTGTACGTCGTATTGTTCGTAATCATCACACTCAACTTAAACTCACATCGCTGTGGGACGCGCGCGTCTGGAAAACGCACGGAATCTGGTCACACGGCACCGCGTGGGACATGTAAACGCGGTTGATTTCGGTTGCACGAATTTCGATGATTTCACCACTTCGCGCACATTAACGTTTTTTTTCTATCGCGTTTTGTCAATCAACACGTTCGCAAACAAAACAGCTGCGAGCTGCTAGCGCCGAGTTCGAGGTTGGGGCTTTCACCCGAAATGAAACTCCCCTATAATGTCACCAGATCCACTGCGTCCAACTTAACTTTCTGTTTAAAAATAAAAATAATTTAAGCAATATTAAGAATTATTCCTAACACAATTGAATAATACAATTATAATACTTACAAACAAACAATTTACAATGTATTTATTCCTCTCAAGATTATGTAAATTATGTACAAATTATAAAATACGGAAGTATGTAACTAAAATTGCTGTCAAATAGATACTGACAGCTACATTGACAGTACTTTCGTAAAAAATGAGGTGAAACTCGGTTGTTTGTGGACGCCTGAATGCTCAACAAATTAAAGAACTTCACACAGCGATGATAAGCTAGTGAATATTATCAGCAGTGACGGAACGCCGCCGGGGGTAGCGTTAACATGTGCGACACGCAGTGGGATCCACTAGTCGAATTTCTCTTCCGTGTTCCCAACGCCAGCCAAACGTCAATCGTGTTTTGCGTCTGCAGTCGCTCTTTTTCAAGGTAAATATTATTTATATGTACGAAATTGTTTAATTAAAAGCCAATTTATTGATGCAATCAGGCGTTCATGAATTGTATTTATATTTATTGATTTGTTTGCGGGAAGTTTTTTTCGGGGTTGGATTTTATTGGGTTGTTACTATGCAACCAGTTCTACACTGCGCTTAAAACATACCACATGCTTCAAGGGAATTAATTTATAAACGATTTACTTTATTAAAATATTTCATATTTTAAGATTAATTTGTTGGAATATTTTATATTGATTGTTACTTGTAGTATTTCATGTACAACATCATCATATTTCATATAATAATAGTTTTTTTGAGTTATTCGCGCTTGGGACACCGGGTATATGAGAAGCAGTGCTACCAACAAAATTCTAATTTTCCTAGTTTGCTAGTTTGAAATTTAGAAACGTACCGGTTTTGCCAGTTGCTGTTCTCGAAAAGCAACAAACATGTGCTCTTCTCGTTCTATTCCACTTGTTTAATATTTACAAATACCTAATAAGAATGGAAATAATTAAGTAGAACAACTACGACTTATTTTAACACCTTCACAATGGGCGAAAATAAAGAAAACGAAAGCGTGCGGACTTCAAAAGTGCCAGACATCAACGACTTCTGCATCATCAAGCCAATCAGCCGTGGCGCGTTCGGCAAGGTTTTCCTCGGTTGCAAGAAAACCAACAACGAGGTGATGTATGCTATCAAAGTGATGAAGAAAACCGAGATGGTTAATAAGAATATGGTTTCACAAGTCGTCAATGAACGCAACGCTTTAGCGCTAACAAAAGTCCATTCTGCGTCCAGCTTTATTACTCGCTCCAAACAGCATCATCAGTCTACTTAGTAATGGAGTTCATGGTTGGAGGTGATCTCAAGTCTCTTCTGAGTGTGTATGGCTTCTTCGACGAAGTTATGGCCGCATTTTACGTGGCGGAAGTTTGTCTTGCCCTACAATATTTACACAATCACAACATAATTCACAGAGACATCAAACCTGATAATATGCTACTCTCCCGAGATGGACATGTGAAACTCACGGATTTCGGCCTTTCTCGCGTCCACATTCATCGAGATCTTGAAAAGAGTGACTTTGAGAATGGCACACCCAACTTGTGTGCAAGAACACCTGGCCAACTGCTGAGTTTAACTTCGCATCTGAGTTTTGGTTCTGGTAATTCTAAAATTACATACATGTACAATCAGCTTCTGAATTAGCTTCTGACACTGACAGTACAAATAAATTTGAAATGTCATCAGTGCTAATGGAACATTCAAAGAATTTGAATGAAAGTGGTGTGATACCATTCCAGACTGTCAATGGCATCACACCAACTTTACCTTTGGAGAGCACACAGTATCATTCCTGCCTGCATTGCAGCAATCAAAGTACTGGTTCAGGAGTATCAGCTTCATCTTGTACATCGCCTGTAAGTCATCGGGTACCATCAAGGTGTTGTCATTATCAATTGCGGGGTGAGCGAAAGAGAAAGTTTCGATCACCGTCACCAGCCAAACGGAAAGCATACGTGCGGACAGGTTTAACAGGCGAGATGGAGATTTTAAGGGTGGATTCAACGAGTCCACCGAAAGGAATCACATTCAGTACGCCTGTTTCAACGCAAAAACCACAGAATCCTAAACATATATTGAGATTTGACTTGCCACAAGGTAAAGATTCAGATATTATACCCACAAAACCGTTGCCTACCTTAGAAAAAGCCGAAAATGAAAGCAAAGAATTGGTCTCACCATTGAACACAACCCCTATTACATTCCGAACGCCTTATAGAACGCCAAAATCTGTTCGACGCGGTGATTGGTCATCCGATAGTCGTATTTTAGGCACACCGGATTATTTAGCACCGGAATTACTCCTGCAAAAGGGGCATAATTGCGCTGTGGATTGGTGGGCGCTTGGTGTCTGTTACTATGAATTTGTAACTGGTATTCCTCCGTTTAACGATGACAGCGCCCAGAAAGTGTTTAAGAATATTTTGGAGCGTAATATCGACTGGCCTACCGATGATGAAGCGCTGAGCGAGCAAACTGTTGGTGCCATTGAAAGCTTGTTGACTTCGAATGCTGAAGATAGGCCACAGGCGAAGGAAGTGATGGAAATGGCGATTTTTGCGAACACTGATTGGGATAATCTACTGCAGACTACCCCGCCGTTTGTTCCGGATCCGTACGACCCGCAGGATACTGGATATTTTCAGGCTCGCAACGAATTGCTTAATTTTAACGTGTCTACTTTTGATTTGTAAAATTGTAAATTTTTAAGCGTGTATTTATTTATTTTTAGATCGATTTTACGGTGTGTTGAACATATACATGTAAAATATTAATAAATTCTCATGGACTAATCGTATATGACGCGTTATTTATTGATTTCATGTTTATACCTTGATTATTTAGCTTGTATTTTGGTTAATTTGAATTTTTTTCTGAATTTTAGAACCAAAGATGAGAAAGATGAACGTAATCGGCCAATCAATGAAGAGTCAGCGTCAGAGAGCGACCTGAAGGACGATCCAGCCGAGGACGATTTTCCTGAGGATCATGTCCTGTTAGAAAACGACTTTCATTGCAGGAATTCCGACCTTAAACTTGATGTAAGTTGATTTTTATTATTTCTTTTATATTTTTACAAGTTTATTTAATTTTAGGTCGATGCTGAAGTAGTCAGCTGCTACTGCAGTGCCTCACACACGGATAACATATCAACCGACGAACACGATAGCATCCGCGAGCATTCAACGCGCACCAGCACGCATTCGCATTCCCACTCGCATTCGCATCGCGGCCTCCAGTCGAGCGACAGCGGCGCCGACCTCACCGAACTCCACGCGCGCACTGACGCCGACGCTGCCTGGCACCGCTTTTGGGCGCATAACGGCGAACGTCTCATTTGGGACTCGTGGATTACCAAATACAGCGACTACATTAATCCTGATTACTTGACGGCGACTATTCAGGACGATGACGGCGACGCCGACGCCAAAGACGAATCGCAGAAACATTCCAAGTGTAAGTTCTCTTTGACAAGCGCGATATTGAAAAACTTGATAAAAGCGAGCAAGGTGGTTCGAGCAATTTGACCGCGATTGATGAAAATCAAGTCTTGAAGGATTCTTCGAGACAGGATATTATTCAACGCAATCGTCAATTGGTGCGTAATTTATCCAACAGTGATTCGTTTGATAAATTAACCGCGGATATTTCGGAGGGTTGGAATCCTTTGTCTCCGTTGAGTGTTGATTGTGAGACCGAAGCGGAAAGATTGTTGTTGAGTAGTCGTTGTGGTTCCTATGCATCAGGGTCGTTGAGAACGGTTGATTCTATGACCAATGTGACTCGTATGACTGTTTCTTCGATTGATCTAAGCGAAAGTTCCAAAAATTCGGAATCTTTTTCTTCGGTATCTTCTGTGCAGAGCTCGCTGAGTTCAACTAGCTCGGAGGATTTGGATGATAACGCCGAACACGATAATCAATGGAATTGCCTTTGGAAGAAACACTACGAAGACGAGTATTTACGCCAGTATAAAAAGTTTATGTCCATTCAAACCGGTGGCGAAGACTTGAAGGAAGCTGCGTTGCCTTTAATTGCACAAAGTTTGCCACTCAATCAACAAGTGTTGCAATCATTCAACAAGACTTTCAAAGCTAACAAGAGTAATAATAGCAGCTTTGAAGATACTACAGAGGGTAGTAGCCGGAAGAAGATACGCAGAAAGACAGTCGAGAACGTGGTAGCTTTACTGGGAAGTATTAAAATGGACGACGGAAGTGACGCGGTGCCATCTACTAGTAGAGATATTGATTATGTAGCTGAGGTTGATGAGGAAACTTTGAAGAGTTTAGGATTACCGACTAGTTTCAGTCGCAAAAAGGCCAAAAAACAACTTTCCAAGAGGTACACTTCATTATTAATGTTTTAACAACTTTAACTTTATAAAAATGTAGTTTTAATAGTTTCAGTAGCTTGGAATCCGAGGGGAGCGCACAGTCCATGTCAGACCGGGTAAAATCTGCTTTTAATTTAATGGGAATTGAGTTGCACGAACTTGGTGAACCAAAACTCAATGGTCAAGTGGAGTACAAAATGAAGCACATACGGTTGCAAAATAGGCATCTCAAATTGCACAAACCTGTGCACAAATACTTTGACGATGATGGAAATGAAATCGTCTATGAGCACGAAGAAAATGCCAAGGATGTTGATTTGAAAAGTACTAGTTCTAGTGAGGATTTATTATCACCTGCCAATGATGCTGAGATTGCTGTGACGGCGATTGAGAAAGTATTAACAAAGAATCAAAAACGGCGTCGATTTAGAGACAGAAAGAAGCGACAATTACCACCGGAAATTAAGGAGAATCCCAAGTTGAGAAAATATTGGGAGCGAAGATTCTCTTTGTTTAATAAGTTTGATATGGGCATTAAATTAGATGAAGGTTAGTGTTATTATGCGCCATGTTGTAAAATATGTTTTTAAATGTTTTTTTATTGTTTGCAGAGAGTTGGTATTCAGTAACGCCGGAAACCGTAGCCAAACACATTGCGGAACGTTGCAAGTGCGATGTAATTGTGGACGCCTTCTGCGGGGCCGGTGGTAATGCGATACAATTTGCAAAAACTTGCGTAAAGGTGATTGCAATCGATATTGATCCGAAGAAGATAGAGCTTGCCAGCCACAATGCAGAAGTATATGGTGTGCGCGATCGTATTGAGTTTATTAATGGCGACTTTTTCGCTATTGCTGAGCGTCTGAAAGCGAATGTGGTGTTTTTAAGTCCACCGTGGGGCGGACCTGCATACTTGCATCGACAGACGTATGAATTAGAGGAAATGTTGCAACCGCTACCGTTGTCAAAGCTACTGGAAAGTGCCAGGAAGATATCCACGAGTGTCGCATTGTTTTTACCTAAGAATAGCAACACTTACCCTGTAAGTACATGAATTAATCGTAAAATGTGCTTGTGTGTTGCTAATTATATTTTTATTGAATTTTATAGCTTATCCAGGAAGCTGGACCCGGAGGCTTCGTCGAAATCGAACAGAATTTCCTCAACAAAAAACTTATTGCCATGACTGCATTCTACAACGATCTCATTCAACGCGCTTGATTTGAATTATTTCACACGTTTTTTACCGTTTTAATCCAGGACAATTACACCAAAATGTTGCGTAGTCATTTTTAAGCGAGTTTTCTTTTAATTTTGACTGTATGCGAGCATTATACGTGCATTCAAATAATTCACACATTCATTTGCGTTGTCCTTGTTAATTAGAATTCCATTTGTTTTACTTGTGTTGCGCACTAAACATGCGCGAGTAGCAGGGATTTATTGTGTTCCTAGTTGGTGGCACTGTGATTGAGAAAGCGCATGCGCAGCTCCGTACATCGGCACTGTCAGTGTAGTCAAGTGAAGTTTCGAGGCGAGAAGGTTGGTCTCCTATCGTTCTGTTGCAATTTCCAACGCTCGACTTGGTAAGTTCAATGCTCGTTGCTATCTCAATTTATTTAAATCACCCTTAGAATCACAAATTATTATCTTTCGTGCGTACACACTCTTTATACACCGTAATTATACATACGACACACACGAATTACCAATTGGATTGTATGAATGTTGATATCACCATTGATAGATTACCTTTTGTTTTATGTAAACATTTTTATTTCTAGTAGATTACAGCGTAAATTGTTGAATTTACTTATTTATTTTTTAATAAAACATAGCGTAGAGTTATTATTAACCAAGTAAACATGAGGCGCATGACAAATTCCACACATTTTTGCATGAATTCCACAAAAATTACACTAGTTCTAGAAGGTCATTGGGTTGTGGCACAAATTTTGGCTCCCTTCTTGCAGGTAACTGGGTGTTGGTTCGTTGGTAACTTTCATAACTCTTCATCCTCCTCAAACTTAAAATCAAAACATAGAACACTTAATCAATGGACCCGCACACGAATAATTGCATGTCACTGCATTTCACACGGTGAAATGTCGGTCTTGGTGGTTGGGGAGTCGGGGAATCTTTCTTCAACCCTCGAATCTAGTCATGAAAATCACACGCCAGTCGAAGAAGATCGCCGCGGCGACGAACAACACGTCACGCTCGCGTAGATTCCAATGCGCCACATGCCAGAAGCGCTTCTTATCGCGCAACGACCTACGCAAGCACGAGCGCATCCACACGGACGAACGTCCTTACGTGTGCGAGAAGTGTAACATGGGTTTCAGGCAATGCGGCTCGTTGAAAAATCACATGGCCTCCAAACACAACGAGGACTTGGAAAGTCCGCCGGTGTTCATATGCAATTATTGTCATAAAGCATTCCCTATTAAGGAGCGGTTGAGATTGCACCTGAGGACGCACACGGGCGTAAAACCATATCAGTGCAAGCACTGCGATAAAACGTTCGCACGTGGCGGTCAACTGGTGCAACACGAGCGCACGCACACCGGCGAACGTCCTTACAAATGCAATATTTGTTCGGCGGACTTTACATGCCCGGCGAATCTTAAATTGCATCAATATAAACACCAAGATGTGCGAAATTTCGTCTGTGACATCTGCGGAAAGAGTTTTATTAGACGTGATGCGCTGCGGAAGCATTTGAATTGTTTCCATAATAATATCAAAGCTTTTCGATGTGAGATTTGCAAAAAAGATTTCAAGGGACATTTACCGCAACATATGCGCACACATCAGAATGATAAACCGCATGGATGCGCCATTTGCCAAGCGCGATTCGCGCAGCGGTCACAACTCACTGTTCATCAGCGAATTCACAGCGGTGAGAAACCTTACCGGTGTAAAGTATGCTGGAAAGCATTCGCGCATTCCACCGCGTTGAAACTTCACATTCGACAGCACACTGGTGAAAACCATTTGAGTGTCTCTTGTGTAAGAATGTTTTCTTTACGCAGCTGCCACATCTTAAGAAACACATGCGTTGTATTCACAAAACAGACAAACCTTATCTGTGCGTGCATTGTAAGACTTTTCACAAGACTAAAAGTGATTTAGAAAATCATGCAAAGTCTTGCAGAAAGACAAAAAAGGCGGTTGCCAATCAAGTGAAACCGGAGGAAGTGGTCCAACCACCAATGACTGTTGAAAAAATGCGCCTGTTACTTGCCATTCTTCTGCAGAGAATATCCACGCCTGAAAAGTTAGAAGAACTTGGATTCAATAAGAAGCTGATTGATGAGGTGCTCATTGAATCACTGAAGAATGCGAATAAAGTTGTTTGCAACGAGGAGGATATCTCCGATGCGGAGAGGCTGAAGAGAAACATTCGGTCGCTGTTGGAATGGACAGTGCCTAATGATATCATGGAAAAGTTCCAGCAACAGCATAGGTCTACGGAGGAACTTCTGGAAGAGTTGACTTCGTAAGTTACGGAAATCATCATTGATTGGTGGAGGTGCATGCCATTTTCTACTTACAGGAACCAAACCAAAAGAATACCAAAGAATGGCTATGATTAGATTTAACTGGAAATTTTGTTTCTAAAACATTTTACGTTGAATTTTAGGAAATTTGAACTTGCCATATCAATTTCTTTTTTATTTGAATCGACTTGATAACTATAAAGTGTTCCTAGATTAATTATAACTTTGTTGAGAATCACAAGTCAACAAAAACAAAGAATTTGTTACCAAAAAACGAATATTAGTGCAATTTAGTTTCTATAATAATGGGTTTATAAGTATTTAATTGTTTGAATCTTTAAAAGTGCAATATGGTGCTATACTTCAGGACTTTTTAGCTATAAATCTTTTAAAATTAAATCAGTTACTCACTTACTGGAAATTAAATCATATTTTAATTGTTTTATGTATAAAAACGAACTGAAAGCATAAAATCAACCTGATTAATGCAATGTTTATAATATTATAACATTTACAACGTTTTGATTGCTTATAAACCCAAAAATTACCGAAGATTTTCTTTATTTTGCTATGAAGTCTAATTTAAAGACGGGATCGAGGCTTTCTTCTATTTAAATAATTATATTATACTCCGATATTTTCGAATGGAGCTGTACTGCCATAAGTATTTAATATTTTTTCTTATAAAATAATCCAAGATGTATGTATTGTGATGTAATGTGGAAGATATATTAAGTTGGAGGAGTTGCTTGAAGGAAAAATCTTTGCCAATCATTTGGAGACTGTTGACACTTTTGTTGTTATTATTAATTACAATGTTTTTGCACATTCGCGCATCGCATGCACGTAGCGTTTGTAACATTTTTAATACCTTATCTATTATATCAAATTAACCGTATTGTTATCTAATCTAATTTAAATTTGCCCTATTATAGCGAATGTATAATATTTGGTGATTCATGTTACATGAAATGTGTGTAATAACATAACAAGAAACGCACGGACGATTACCTAGCAATTGTTCCGAATAAAATGTCAACAACTTGTAACTTTTTTGCTTTACATCTTTACCGAAAACATTCTGAGCTGTGAGCAACATCGAAAACATGTATAATAAATTTGTAGATTTTTGTAAATACGCTAAGTTTGGTTATGTTATTATGTTATAGTTTCGAGTCATTTGGCACATTCATTTACGCGATTTATGTTTTGGACATTGAACTTATTCTCTAAGCATTTGGTATTGGTGATAAGTAGTAAAGTTTGCTAAATTCAGGCTACGATTTAACAAATTTTTACGAAACAGCCTTCTTCTTGGTGACATTTAACTCTGGTTAAATATATCGTGCGCAGTCTATTTAAGTACCTGTGACTATCATGACTTATCACAACTAACTTACTTTGTTAGCCAATCAATTCGCAGCGGATTCATCAAGTTTATATTTAGATCTGTGATGCGTAAATACTGAAAGCAAAACAAAAACACAATTATTATGATTTCAAGTACAAAAAACAAACAACAAGTATTGAACATACTTTAAACTCATCGTTATATTGGAAAGCATGGCTGGCATTGTTGATAGTAACGTTTGTTACGCGTTCCAATCCCATGATGGTTACACGGTCCAAATTTGTAACGCTGTTATCGCCCCAATGTTCAATTGCTGTAGTTAACGTGTTGTTCGCCATATTGAAATTGATTAAAACATAACGACGCTCTTCGACAGTATCTAAATATTTAAATATTTATTAGAATGTTTTTTTAATGTAAACAATGAAAACTTACTTAGTGAATCTCCGTCATCCCAATACAACTTGCCCATTGCATTCATGCTATCATCAGGCGCAACCAGCAACTTTAATTTGGTTTGACGCGCACGCGTTGTAGTCTGCAATGGTTCCTGTTGTGGCAGGATGTAACCACCACGAATAATCAACGGGATGGTATCCAGGGGAGCAGAAATATTGAATCGCGTTCCGTTTGATTCAATTCTTTGATGTGAGTAGTAATCGTACCAGTAACCGCGTGGTAAATACGGGTTAACCCACATGCGGTTTTCGTATAAGACTGGGACGATCATTAATCCTGCACCCCAAAGGAATTGGTCGTCAATGGCGTATGTTTTAGTATCGCCAATATATCTAAAAATTGTTTTACAGTAATTAAATTGTATGTTAGCGTGTATAAAATATTTACTCGAAGAATAATGGACGTGCTACGGTGTCACCGTTGACATGCGCAGCCCAGAAGAGGGTGTACAAATATGGCAGCAGAGAATAACGAGTAGTCAGGGCTTTCTTTGCGGATGCGGTTACGTCAGGTCCAAGAGAAACTGGATCTTGTGGCTGAAGCAAAATGAGACAACAGAAATCATAAAATTGAATAAAATTGTTGATTTGCACTTACAATTCCATCATCAGTATTATGATTTCGTGAAAAAGGATAAAACGCGCCAAGCTGTGACCATCTATTGCACAAAGCCTCAGTTGTATTGCCGTTAAAACCACAAATATCAGCACCCATCATTGGCACACCGAATAAACTATAGCTGAGTAATTGTGGCACAGAAAACTTCATATCTTTCCATTCGGAGACAACATCTCCGCTCCAATGTCCAGCGTATTTACCCAAACCAGGGAAAGACGAACGTGAAATTATAAACGGTCGTTTAGCACGAATCGTAGCCAAAGCACTACAAATATTATCAAATTGATAAATTTTTCATAAACAGTAATTAAAGTTACGACTTACAAGTTGGTTACCATCGACTCAGTCAACCCGTACAATTGATGTACATTATAATGCAATCCTACAGAATGATTCGCTGTCATGCACAAGGTATGATAGTTTAATTTGCCACCATTAACTCCGGGAAGATACGGCGGGGTTTCCAAACTAGATGGAGGACAATCCCCGTATTGACCGTCGATGAAATTGCTAGGTTCATTCATATCCAACCAGATACCATCAAATTCGAAGGATTTATGCATGTCTTCTAACATAGATGTCCAATAATCAACCGTGGACGGATTCGTGAAGTCTGGCCATACTGTCGTACCCAAATTCCATACCTAAATTGAATTTTAAATTAAAATCTACTAATTTAAAGGTTTTCATATCAAACCTTTTGCTTATTTAAGATCCAAGGGAAAAGCACAAAATGATTCACAATTATTTTTTAGGAATTTTGAGAATTATGATCAAATAATTACCTTGCCGACCATTGGGAGTCCCGATGAATTCGTAACGAAAATTTTCATGTCAAATCCTTTGTCATACGGTGGATAAGTACCGGATTTCTCACTAGCGGATATTCCAGCATCGACTAAAGGAATGTAATGCATTCCTTTCGAGTGTAATTCTTTTACGAACGCAGGCAATCCCGCATATGCTTTCTTATCATAGGTAAAGTCATTGTGATTCGCCATGTAGTCCAAATCATTCCACTGTGTATCTATTGGAATACCAGCGTCTAGATTCTTCTGGAGTATTTCTTTTGTGTCATTGAGAGTTTTGTAGCCGAATCGACACAAATGGAAACCAAGACCCCAGTAGGGAGGCATGAATGGTTTGCCGATTATTTCAGTGTATTGCTGGACGACATTCGCGGGTGTCGGACCGAGGAATATGTAAAAATCTAAGATACCACCGATGGTACGATAGGTAACGGCAGGCGTCGGTTGGATAATTACATCCATCGCGTTACTATTGAGCAAAAAGACACCATGAGAACAGCCGGATGGTTCTATGTTCAGGAAAAATGGATGTGAACCATATAAATTCGCCTAAAAAGAAGAAAAAAGTATAAAACATAAGTTTTTATATTTTTTAGGAGACTTACATCTTCTAGTGGTATATTATCGTGATTCCACAATGTAAATTTCGTCCAGTGTGTCGAGAGCAAAAAAGGCGATCGATGCTCGCCCAGTCCGAATATTTTATCGGAAGAAAGTTTCGTAGTAAACTGGATAAGTTGATCCGCGTAGATCAATGTTTGCATGTTCATAGTATCAAATCTGAAAGTCAAAAAAGAAGCAAATAAGTTTTCGATTCAAGTTTTTCAATTGAACAACTTACATTACAGTGTTATCCGATTTTCGAATAACTTGAAATCCGCCAAAAGTCGAATTGGAAATGGCGAACGCGTAGGATAAGTTCGACGGAGCTCCATCGACCACCGGCACATCGGGATATGGTGGCTCGAAACGAGTTGTAGACGGATCAACAATCTTAACCAATACAATTCTATATTTTAACATTTCAGTTAAATTGATATTCACTTACCTTAAAGTGTAATCTATCCTCAGTCTCATACTTAACAATCATCTTTATCACTTCCACATCATCCGGATATGCACTGCGATAATCCCGTTTCATAAACGTAACCAATCCGAAGTCGGTGAGTGTTACATTAACAAAACTATACGTGCGATAATTATCCGGAAAGAAACAGTACGGCGTATTGATGTTTAATGTATTGAACTTTTTATTGCGCTTCTTGGAGTTGCGTGGCACCCAGCAACATCCACGCGCTTCACACTTCTCCTTCGTAACATCGCCTTCGGGAAAACAGTCGAATTTATTCGCATCGTCAAGCGGACAATGCGCATAGTCGGGTTTGGGCGGCAGCGGTAATTCTTTAACGACAACGCGTGTTTTGCCATTGCTGTAGACGTCGAGAGCTTCGTGGACTTTCTCGCCGGGCGCATAGTGGTAAGTTTCTTTGATGGCAAAGATGTGCGGGATACGGTTGTCATAATCACTGCGGATGAGGCCGAAGCAGTGAATCAAATAGAGTGCCGGCAGGATGACAAAGACAGCCACAAGGACGATTCCCAAAAGGATTGTGGCTAGGCTTGGACGGGTGCAGCTTGCCGGCGCTTTGTAGTTTTGTGCCGAGAATTTCACGTATTCTCTAGCAGGCTACAAATATTTAATATTATATTAACAATTAGTTAATAATTACCCAATAAATTGTGAAAATAGTTAACTTACAGAATGACTTGGTGAGAGATCATTCAATGATGATTCTTTGGTGATAGGAAATTGGTCAGTGGGTCCCTCATTATAAAATGAATCAAATGAGACTGTATCCAGCTGAGGTAAACGCTTTGAACGTCGCGTTCGGTAGGCCAACACCAATTCACGTAGCCGTGTCATTGTTGTAAGTGTGCATCAACAACTAAAATCACAATAACAATATCATCCACACATCAATTTAATGTTTATAAATTATGAAACATTAAAGTCCAAGCGTTGCGAATAGTACAACAATCAACACTAACTTTATATCATCCAACACTCACATGAAACGAGATTATTTACATCCTCAGATAGGTTTTATCAGCATTGCATTCAAGCATTGCAGAAAAACAATTGACAATCAATGGTTTAGTCACGAGTTATTGGGTTTCAGTTCACACTACCATCACACAATCATTTACAATGTCCCAACGCCGTGTTAACATGAATGATTCACCGTGTATCTATTTATCAACTATTTCAGTTTGTAAACAAATATGTATTACTGCTGTGTTCACGGTGGAAATGGTGCGAGATAACGTCAAAACCGTTAAACGGGCTCGAATGCCGTGATTGGCCGTTAAGCTCGTTGCGCTAGCTGCGTAACCTGTGTAGGGTAGACGAGGGACAGCTGTTCATCCTCCCCCGACCCTTTTGCCTGTGCACTTGGGCCCTCGGTAACCTAATTTCGGTGGATGCGGCGGGTCGAGCCGGAACAACGCACGGCACTTGATACGAATTTGATTCGTGGACTCGGCTTGAATCGTCCTTCGTGCAGTGCAAAGGTCACAAAGGGACAAAAGGACACTGCGCGGGCAAGGGCATGCGCAATACCTGCAGCCCCAGGACTCATCATTGAATTTTCCTCGAATTCTATCAATTATTAATAATTTTATTACAGCCGGCTTTCATCAATATATTTTTCTTTTACTAAAATTTATGAATATAAGTAGTTTTACACAACATACAACGATTTAATAAGACTTTACGCCTCTATGCAATGTAATTAATTCGTTCCTGTTGTATTATTTATTTATATTTGTTTGTTAGTAACAATTTTAGGTATTTAAAAAATGCATAAATGCGTATTAGTACAAGTGTACATGTGGTTGCCTAAGGTTACAATAACAAGATGCGCAGGTTATGTACTTTCACGTGTTGTTTGATGTTTTTGCGTGGTGTGGTTGTACATGCTCTCAAATTTGTGTTTAACTATAACAATAAACAAATGATAGTTATAAATAATTAACGAAACGCGCAGAAATGGGTTTAACAAAGCAGTATCTTCGGTATGTGCCCGCTGGCAATTTCAACATAATCGCTAGTCCAAATTGCAATTTATGCTTTGTTGCTTTGGAAGGACAAGAAGGCCGTTTTGTCGCCGCCGGCGCATGCGAGCACATCGTTGTTTGGGATTTGCGTCTCGGCGAGAAAGCACAAGTTTTATCGGGTGAAAAAGCACCCGTTACCTACATCGCTGCCAGTCCAAGCAAAAGAAATATTGCTGGTGGTTACAGTGATGGCAATGTACAAATATTTGATTTGAAAACAGCTGAGGTGGTTACCATCTTTTCTGGACACAGGTCAGAGATTACATGTATGAGTTATGATAGTTTTGGACATAAATTAGCTACAGGATCAAAGGTAATCATTTTTAAAAAGTTACTAAAGTTTAAATTTTCAATACTGTGATTTTAATGTTTTTGTAGGATACTGATATCATTGTATGGGACACGGTTTCCGAAACAGGCATTTGTCGGTTAAACGGACACAAAGGACCCGTCACGCAAGTGCAATTTATGACCAATCACCCATATTTAATTTCATCTGCAAAAGACACATTTATTAAATTTTGGGACCTGGATACACAACATTGTTTCAAAACTTTGGTTGCTCATAGGACTGAAGTTTGGTCTATTTCGCTGATGAAAGACGATAGATATTTGATTAGCGCGTCTAGTGATGCCGAGTTAAGAGTATGGAAACTTAATGACCGGAATGCCGCTGATATTGACGATATTACAGAGAGTTTACAATTAGCGTCGTTTGAAGAGAGCGATGATAGTGCCGCGTACGCTTTACAATCGTTCAAAGCTGGTTCGTTGTTGAGATCCGGAAGGGGTCGTGTTATGTCTATGTTTTCCGATGTGACTGGTCAAGTTATTGGTTGCCACGGCACTGATATGCAGATCGAGTTGTTTCTGTTTTTGTCTGATGATGATGCGAAGATTCGATTGAAGAAGCGGCTTAAAAAGGAGAGGAAAAAGTAAGTTTTTGGTATAAATTTTATTTCTTGTGATGTTTTCTAAATAAAAAATGTTTACAGGAATGCAGATGCAGCAATGGAAACTGCTGAAGAACAAGTGCAAACGTTATCACTCCGTGATGAGGTGAGACGTCTTCCTGCAATTAAATTATCCGCAAAACCAAAGTCTCTGCATACTGTGCTTGGTAATGGAGGCGAGTTGCGCGTGACCGTAGTATTGGCTAATAACACTATCGAGTTATACAGTGTGCAGACATCTGGAAAAGAAGTTGAACCACGCTGTTTACGCTCAGTGACTATGCATGGACATCATGGCGAAGTGCGTGCTGTTAATTTCAGTAGCGATAACTTGGCTGTGGTCAGCGGCAGTTCTGAGTCGATTAAAATGTGGAATCGCCCGTCGCAGATGAGTTTGCGCACTGTTGGGTCTGGTTATGTATTGTGCACAATGTTTGTGCCCGGAGATCGGCATGTCCTTGCTGGTCTGAAAGATGGTAGATTGTTGATCATTGATATTGCAGCTGGGGATACTCTGGAAGAAATTCCAGCTCATAGTAATGAATTATGGTCGATTTGTTTGCAGCCTGATTTGGTAAGTTCAAGTATTAATATTAGTTCCAAAAATTTCCGTAATGGTGATGGAGGCGCTTTGATTTAAAAGTTTACTCTTATAGTAACGTTTATTTTTTGTTTATTTATCCAGAGAGGAGTTGTAACGGGCGGAGGAGATAAAACTGTGAAATTCTGGCAGTTTGAACTTGTCGCCGATGAAGCGTTAGAGTCCAAAGCTAAGGTTTTATCTTTGGTGCATACCCGAACGCTGAAATTAGAAGAGAGCGTGCTTTGTGTGCGTCTTTCCTCGAATAAGAAATTCATAGCTGTGGCTTTACTCGACAGCACAGTAAAGATATTCTTTGTTGATACATTCAAATTTTATCTCTCGTTATACGGCCACAAGTTGCCCGTGCTGTGCATGGACATTTCGTCGGATTCGACGCTTATTGCCACCGGTTCAGCTGATAGAAATGTTAAAATTTGGGGCATGGACTTTGGTGATTGCCATAAAAGTTTATTCGCGCATGACGACTCCGTCACAGGCTTACAATTTGTTAATCGAACGCATTACTTTTTCACTTGCGGTAAAGATGGAAAAGTCAAACAATGGGATGGAGATAATTTCGTTAAAGTTATCACTTTACAGGTAACATAAATAAAACATTCGATAGTATTCTACAATTTAATTAAATGTATTTAACATATTAGGGCCATGTTGGCGAAGCATGGAACTTGGCAGTGAGTCCAAACGGACAGTTTGTTGTTTCTTGTGGCGCGGATCGTGTTTTGCGTTTGTATGAAAAAACTGATCAGCCGCTGGTGTTGCAAGATGAAGAGGAAGAAGAACGTGAAGCACAAGACGGTTTAGCAACAGGTGAACAGTCTGTTATTGCAGGCCAGCCTGGGAAAACGTTACCATCAAAGAAAACAATCGGTAGCGAGAAAGCTGTAAGCAAAAATTATTATTTTATTAACTTGCTATTTTTTCTCACCCATTTTATTGTTAGGCTGAAAGTATTCTGGAATGTTTGGACGTTTCCAAAGAATACAAGGAAGTGTTAGATGAACATGCGGCTTTGCAGGCAGGTACAGCACAAGTTCTTCCTCCACCGGCTGTTCCTTTGATTATGTTGGCGTTTGGTGCTTCGACCATTGATGATTTTGTTTTGGAGACGTTGAAGCGGATACGACCAAGGTTAGTTTAGAAAATAGTTTTTTTTTTTTTAGAAAAGTAATACCTTTACCAGGCAATATTTAATTTCACGCAGAAAGTTACGACACGGAAAGTTTAGTATCAATGCGGTTATCAAAGCTTCTTTTTAACACATAATTGCAAAATTCTCGCCACGAATCTTTGTAAAAAAGGGCACATCGTTATTATTGTTAAATTTCAGTGACATGGAAGAAGCATTGCTTATCCTTCCCTTCACATCAGTCTGCGAATTAATCCAGTACTTGCCAGCATTAATCTCACGTGGAGATTTCCTCGAACTTGTGCTGAGAGTTGTCATGTTTCTATTGAAAATCCACCACGCACCAATCGTCGCCAACCATGCGCTTCTCTCAACACTGACAAACATTCAAAAACTCGCCGCGCAGAAAACCGAAGAGTTAAAAGACACAGTCGGTTACAATTATTATGGAATGCAGTTCCTCCAGAGGGAAATCGAAGCTGCTGAAGGTGTGCGTCTATTTAGGGACGCGACTCTGGAAAGAAAACGAGGAGAAAAGAAGAGGAAGCAACGCGAACGCACTAAACGTTCAATAATGATGGTTTCATGATTACTAAAATACCTAATTAAATTTTGTTTGAAAATTGATAAATTTGTCATTTATTTCTTGTTGCATATGCAATGATAAAGTTATCATTTCGCTTCCAGCACGATAAATTCATCATTTCAATTCTTATAAACTTGATAAATTTATCATTCATCATTAATAATAAAAAATACACATTCTTAACGTCGTGCTGCGATACATTTTCGCAATGTATCGATATTGTTAACTTACAAACTAATAGTGGAATTAACTCTTTAATTCAACGTATGTATTACTCTTTAGGGGGTGGTCGATATACACCGACAACCACCGCGTGATCCCTCTCGTAAGGTTCCAGCGTGATCTGCTCCTGTGGCTTTAATTTATCTGCTTGCAGTTTCTTCACCTCGGCGGCGAAGACGCTTTCGGGCGTCGCTGTGGAATCAATGCATGAGGCTTTGATTGAGATAACAAAATGGCCGCCGTTTTTGAGGAAATAATGTGAATTAAGCGCGACAATACGCGCCTGGTCGGGCTGGGCAACGTCGGCGAAGACTGTGTCCACCATACCGATGAGCATACGGTATTTGTGAGGGTGACGCGCGTCCTCGATGATGGGGATGATGTTTGTACGCTTCTTAGCGACGTTGATCAAGTCGCGTCCGGAACGATGCGAGAATTCAACGGCGTAAACCAGACCCTCGGGGCCGACAACATCTGAGACGTGTGAAACTGTCGTACCGGAGGCGGCGCCAAGGTACAGGACTTTGCTGCCAGGCGGCATGTGAATCTTGTCGACTCCACCTAATACAGCGGCGGCAAGTTTACTACGGAAGGGATTCCAGACTCTGTATTCGATTTTATTGCCTGCTTCCTAGAATATTTAAATTTTGTTATTAGTTTTAAGTTGGTTAATGTTGGTAATTTTTTCTTACCTCAACAGAAATACGTTTCTCTCCATAAACTTCAGATCCAGGTACCAGATTGAGAGTAACTAGCGCATCTTCTTTGCCTCTGGCAATGAAAATACCCTCGTGGCGATGGGGTTCAATGACGACGTTTTTGCCTCCCTTGAAGCCGCCACCACCGCCTCCACGTCCGCCACGGCCACCACCGCGACCTCTTCCACCTCGATCACCTCCGCGACCACGACCTCCCCCAAATCCACCGCGGCCACCACGGTCTCCACCACGACCGCCGCCGCCACCAAAACCTCCTCGACTGCCAAATCCACCCCTACCGCGACCGCCTCCACGATCTCCACCTCGACCGCCACCGCCTCCAAAACCTCCACGACCTCCCGGAGAAAAGCCTGAAAAGAAAACATAACTTTACAAAAGTTCGTAAACCACGTTGCTTTTTTTAGGTTATCCATGCGATCAGAGTAGTATTTGTAAACAATTGATGAAGTAAACAATAACATGCAATTGTTTTTATGTCTAATATTGACAAAGAAGTTTACGCACCTGGTCGCCCCATTTTTACACAAAAATTTTAATTCTAACAATAATTAACTGCAAATCAACGAAGGAACGCGGCCCAACACGTGCGTCCGCAACGAGGGTTAAACACGCTGAGGAAAAAGAAAATGGCAGTTGCAACGAGTGGCAGCACTGCAGATTAATACGATCATACCCGAGTGCTTATCAACTTAACATAAATAAAAATTAAACATGATTAAATGCAGATAAAAGACAATATCTTTCAATAATTTGTTATTAAAGTATAATGAAAACTTTATTTTAGTTATTAGTTGCTTTATTATTTGGTTTGACACATTGCCGATGTTACCCGAAATTATCTATGTTTAGGTCACAATGGCTCCCCTCTAGATCGGAGCCGATGTCACCAGATAAAACTACGCAGCAAGCAAGAAAATTTCCTTTTCTTAACTTGTTCACCGCTGTGCTAACATGTTTGCTTGAGCTCGTGTCGGTAAAAAGTTTGCTAAGTAATGTTCGATATCGAAATTCATTTGAATTTGGTTGTTGGCAGTTTCGCCGGCGCCAGCGGCAGTGTAGTAATTTTCTGTTCAAAACAAGCGAAGGTTTCCTGACCTGCCGCATCGCCGCCGCGGTATCTATATGAAGATGGACGTTTGAAAGCGTTTGCTTGATTAAAATCCTGGTTTTTCTACTGATAAAAAAGCAATCCATCGTTCAGGTATGCATTTTCATTATTGTTTATACGTCTGTGTCCTAATTACAATAATATTTTTATTTGCCACGTGTTATCTTCCGAAATATCGGTGAAAACCGGTTTGAAGGTTATGCTTTTACAAACGCTTACTTGCGTTTTGAATGTGTTTCATTTACATAAATTTACTAACAACTATTTTCTTGTTCAGGATGTTTTTGTACAATCTAACGTTGCAAAAAGCAACGGCGATTACACACGCCATCCATGGCAACTTCTCCGGTGATAAACTACAGGAGATTGTGATCTCTCGGGGCAAGTGTATTGAATTGCTCCGGCCAGATCCGAACACAGGCAAAGTACACACATTACTCAGCGTTGAAATTTTCGGTATTATAAGATCTCTCGTCGCGTTTAGGCTCACCGGTGGCACGAAAGATTACATTATCGTCGGCTCGGACTCCGGCCGCCTGGTCGTTCTCGAATATATGCCTGTGAAGAATATTTTTGAAAAAGTACATCAAGAGACATTTGGCAAATCTGGCTGCCGTCGTATTGTACCCGGCCAATATTTGGCCGTGGATCCAAAAGGTCGCGCTGGCATGATTGCTGCGATTGAGAAACAAAAGCTTGTTTTTATTTTCCATCGGAGTCCGGAAGTAAAGCTGACGATTTCATCCCCACTGGAAGCCCACAAAAGCAACACTCTGGTCTATCACATGGTCGCCGTTGATGTCGACTACAGCAATCCTATGTTTGCATGCCTGGAAATTGATTACGAGGATGCCGATGCTGATCCTACCGGCGAAGCCGCACAGAAAACTCAACAGACGCTGACTTTTTATGAGTTGGATTTGGGTTTGAATCACGTCGTGCGAAAATATTCTGAACCCCTTGAAGAGCACGCCAATTTTTTGGTGTCTGTGCCTGGAGGGCGAGATGGTCCTTCGGGAGTTCTCATTTGTTCTGAAAATTATTTGACTTATAAGAACCTTGGAGATCAAATGGACATTCGTTGTCCAATTCCAAGAAGGAGAAATGATCTAGATGATCCCGAACGAGGAATGATTTTTGTTTGCTCAGCCACCCACAAAACAAAATCAATGTTTTTCTTTCTGGCACAAACTGAACAGGGCGATATATTCAAGATTACCTTAGACACTGTTGGGGAAGTCGTCACAGCAATCAAGCTCAAGTATTTTGACACTGTACCGGTGGCAACGGCGATGTGCGTTCTGAAGACTGGATTCCTCTTTGTCGCGTGCGAATTTGGCAACCAGTAAGTCTTGATTAATTAATTTATTTATTTGTTTAAATGTGGCACTATGGTATCTCCTGCATCCGGTATTTAAGATGGATTCAGGTCGAATCGGTGCTAGAGTAACGAGTGCATATCATCGTTGAAATTGCTTTCTTATAAGCACATTTCTGGCATCGCACGCGACAAATTATATAATAAATTCTCCACAATTTCTGTTTTAAAATCTAATTTTATTGTTTAGTTATCTATATCAAATTGCTCATTTGGGTGACGATGACGATGAACTGGAATTCAGCTCTGAGATGCCATTGGAAGAGGGTGACACCTTCTTCTTTGCCCCACGCTCACTTCGAAACTTGGTACTCGTTGATGAACTGGAGTCGTTATCGCCAATTCTGTCCGCAAAAGTCGCCGATCTTGCTGGCGAAGACACGCCTCAGTTTTACATGGCTTGCGGAAGGGGTCCAAGAAGCTCTATGAGAGTACTGCGGCATGGGTTGGAGGTTTCGGAGATGGCTGTTTCCGAACTTCCCGGTAATCCTGACGCTGTGTGGACCGTCAAGAAAAAATCTGATGGTAAGCATAGATATTTACTTCATAATTATTATAATAAAGTTTGGAAGTATTATGATGAACCCTAAGTCCGTGTTTCAACTGAATTTGTCGTTGATTACAACATTTAACACCACTGATGATTCCAACAAAATGTTTCATAATTATTGTCTATCTATTTCAATATTTTAACATTTGTAATGTTTGTTATAGATAAATATGATGCCTACATCATCGTGTCCTTCGTCAATGCTACCTTGGTGCTCTCCATTGGTGAAACCGTTGAGGAAGTAACTGACAGTGGTTTTCTCGGCACCACCCCAACGCTCTGTTGCGCGTCATTTGCTGATAATGGTTTGGTACAAATTTTCCCCGAAGGTATTCGACACATTTGGGCATCCGGACGTGTGCGAGATTGGAAAGCCCCCGGAAAAACACACATCGTTCGCTGTGCCGTCAACCAACGCCAAGTTGTCATCGCGCTTACCGGCGGAGAACTCGTCTACTTTGAAATGAATAAAGACGGTAAACTGCATGATTACGAAAAGACACAACGGATGAGTTCCGACGTGGTCTGTATGGCACTTCCGAATGTACCGGCCGGTGAACAGCGCTCATGGTTCCTAGCCATCGGTCTAGCTGACAATACAGTGCGAATTATTTCACTCGATCCCAGCGATTGTTTATCGTCGCGATCAATGCAAGTTCTGCCTGTTTGCGCTGAGAGCTTATGCATCGTAGAAATGGGATGCGCTGAACGAGATCAGGAAGATGCGGCTTCTGCGAGTACGACGACTTCATTATATTTGAACATTGGTCTACAAAACGGGGCGTTATTGAGAGCTGTTCTGGATCCGGTATCGGGAAATTTGACTGATACTAGAACACGATACTTGGGCTTACGGCCGGTGAAGTTGTTCAGGATTCGTATGCAAAACTCAGAGGCCGTATTAGCGATGACTAGTAGATCATGGTTGAGCTATTATTACCAGAGTCGCTTCTACCTCACGCCGTTGTCATACGAAAGTTTGGAATACGCCTCTGGTTTTAGCTCGGAACAATGTCCAGAAGGTAATAAATATAGTAGATTTTTATACTTTTTATATACGCATAGGATAACACCTGCTTGTCGCTCTTCATAGGCAAGCAGTTTTAATACTGTGCAAGATTATAATTCTACTTGTCGCCTCCGCTACGTTTCAGTGACGTATTGGAGTGAATCAAGTCAGAGACACTTTCAAATGTAGTTTAGCTTAGAATTATTTCACGAGATAATTTTTTAAATATTTTATTTGTGTTTAGGAATTGTCGCAATTTCAACGAACACACTGCGTATTCTTGCGCTGGAAAAACTGGGCGCCGTATTCAACCAGGTTTCATTTCCCTTGGAATACACTCCCCGACAGTTTGTCGTCCATCCTGAAACATCTAATATTCTAATTCTTGAGACTGAACACAATGCTTACACCGAAGAAACCAAAAAGCAGCGAAGACAGCAAATGGCCGAGGAAATGCGCGAAGCTGCGGGCGAAGAAGAGCAAGAGTTGGCACGGGAGATGGCTGATGCATTCCTTAACGAAGATTTACCAGAGAATATCTTCTCGGCTCCGAAAGCTGGACATGGGATGTGGGCATCAACGGTGCGACTCATGGATCCCGTTATGGTAATTATTATTTTAGATTTTGTTAATAAACAAAACATGGGACACGATTTTAATGTTGTGTATTCCGATAATACTCAAACGCTTTGTTGAGTCCCCAGAACATTGAACTGGCCATAGTACCAATATTTTCGATTCTGGAAATTTTGGGTCTCCTAACCATGCGACAATTTTATTTTTATTTAATAGTTATAATTTGTGTTTTATTCGTTGGTTTAAACTAATATTTTTGTTGGTTTGTAGGGCGTGACACATCAACAACACAGATTAGTACAAAATGAGGCTGCAATGTCAATTGCCCTCGTAAAATTCCACAATTCCGTAGACACATGGTATTTGATCGTTGGTGTTGCGAAAGATCTGCAGCTAAACCCTCGACAATGCAGTCAAGGCTTCTTGGACACTTATCGGTTGGATCCACACTGCAGAAATATTGAACTTTTGCACAGGACTCCTGTGGATGAAGTACCCTACGCAGTTTGTGCGTACAATGGTCGTTTATTAGCTGGTGTAGGGAGGATGTTGCGCATGTACGATATGGGCAAGAAGAAACTTCTGAGAAAATGCGAAAATAAGGTTTGTGTAATTAATTTATATTGATTATTAATTTTCTTTGCTGATGACAATATCACACGAGTCATAATAATTATGTTGAGACTCCTGCAGTACTGATCAGTTTTATTTTATATAATAATTTTGTTAATTATTTAAAAGTTCTAATTCCATTATTTTTTTCTTTAGCACATTCCAAATTTGATTGTCAGCATTCAAGCGATGGGTAAGCGAATCTACGTTGCGGACGTACAGGAGTCTGTATACATGGTACGCTATAAACGTGCCGAAAATCAACTGATCATATTTGCCGACGACACTCATCCCCGCTGGATTACATGCACGTCTGTGCTAGATTATGAGACTGTCGCTACCGCTGATAAGTTTGGTAACATTTCGATTGTTCGCTTACCACCGAATATCAGCGACGATGTTGACGAAGATCCTACGGGAAATAAGTCGCTTTGGGACAGGGGATTGCTAAACGGCGCTTCGCAAAAAGCAGACACCGTAGCGACTTTCCACGTGGGAGAAACTGTCACATCCTTGCAGAAAACCACGTTGATTCCTCCCGGAGGCTGGGAGTCTCTTGTTTACACGACAATTAGCGGTTCTGTCGGTGTATTTGTGCCGTTTACTTCTCATGAAGATCACGACTTCTTTCAACATTTGGAAATGCATATGCGAAGCGAGAATGCGCCGCTTTGTGGACGAGACCACCTTTCGTTTAGGAGTTACTATTTTCCTGTTAAGGTTTGTTTTCATTTTTCTCTTAATCCCTAATTACTTTCGGCTTGTATGATGAAATCTTTTCACATGCTAGACTTATGATATGGCAATGATATGGAAACCTTTAATAACTGAGGAAAATCAGAAATGTTATTACTTCTTTTCCTGATGGCATTAAATATTAAAATAATTTGTATAACTTTGTTACAGAATGTCATTGATGGAGATCTTTGTGAACAGTACAATTCGATGGAGCCAGCAAAGCAGAAATCTCTTGCAATCGACTTGGAACGAACTCCAGCTGAAGTCTCCAAGAAACTTGAGGACATTCGTCGCCGATATGCGTTTTAGTTTTTTACCATTTTGTATTTATTGTGATTATTGTAATGATTTGCGATACCTTTTCTAGAAATAAATTTCAATAATTTGTTGAAAAAGTTGCTAACTGCATGATGCTTGAAAATATTCGGTCTGTATTCTAGTTCTCGGGTCTGTGCTCGCTAAACTTTGTCTGATGGCTATGCAGGCACGTGAAGTTTTCTGTAATAATAGCAGCTCAGATGGCTGCGCATTCGCTAGGATACACTTTTGACTTAAATTTTACACCTGCAACCGCTCAAAATAGCGGATATTAACTATGCATTTATACAGGGTATGGCAAACCTGCTTTGCCTCACACCGACACGAAGGCCTCACCATTTAAATGCGTGGCCACTCACTGCCACATATGCACGCTACACTTCTTGAAATACTCTATACTTTTTGTGGTACTACAAAAAGTCTGCAGATGGCGCGACAATGTATGTTTGCGTAAAAATATTCCAGCGAGTGAATTTTGTTTTGTTGCATCGGTGCGATAACGATGAGCACACATTCCATACTTTCAGTTTGTGTTATTCGTTGTTGCAAGTTCGGTAAATCGAGTTATATTTAGTTGATCTCCGGTGAAAATTAGTGTTAATAGGCGTGTTTGGTCTTCTACTAGTTGTTTATCGCGTGGTAATTTTCGTAATTCTAAATTTGGCATGTTTAGTTTATCGCGAGTTTGTTTGTGTGAGGTTGTTGCGGTCGGTGCGGACGGCCAGGGACATTTTGTGAACGCCAAGAATTAATTGATTTGTGAAAAACATTTTTGCCATCAACAGAGGTGCATGAACTAATGCACTAATATCTGGTAAATATTGTCATTCTTATCATTATTATGCAAATAACAAGAATTTTCATTCAAAGTTTACGTTCCGACGGAACTCAAATTCATTTCAATATTGTTAAAAATAATGTAATTAATGCATTGTTTCTAATTTATTTCAGTATCTACCAACTTGCCGTCGATTCACCGTCTTCTATAACTGGTAAGTAAAATAATCCCATTATTTATAAAAACTGTTTGCCGTGTACATAGATTTCAGTTTAGTTGTCATGTTATTTTGTGTTATTGTTTTTCTGCAATGTGGTTGAAATTTTATTTAAGTAAGATTCAATAAAATACAATTCTCAACGTCTCAACGTAAATTAATATATCACTTAAATATTGGATGTGAAATTGGGTAATCTTTCAGCATAAGAATTTTGAATTATGTGAATCCAATTTTAATTTATCATTAATTTCAATACCTAATCATGATCAATAGCATGATCTAAAAATCATAACATAGAATTGTTTTGTTTATATTTAAATTTATCTGCGAACGTGAACATTCGACATGAGAATTGTGTTTGTTTTGAACACGATTTACACTTTCTTATCGCTGTGCGAATAGCAACGTCCAAGATTACCGTGTGTTGTCGTTGCCAACCTTTCACGTCTCGCTCTGCTCTTGTTTTAGTTTAGTTTAAATCGCAGATATTGTGCCTATTGCAATTCACGCACAAGGTGGCGGGCAGTCGTCGCGTGCCATCGACGCGCCGGCTTTGCGCACTTCTTACTTTCTTATCATAAACTGTTGGGTCGTCGCTTGCTCGGCTACGGCATGCACTATACGAGTACGTCGATTGTGGCCAATTTCGTGCAGGTATCGGGTAGCTTCAAACGAATTTCTCACGACTCCTATCGAAAATTCCACGATGGAGGTTTTACCTCAAGATTTAAATTATTTTAAATTTCCATCTGATAGAGAATCTTCATCTGTTATAAACAATTTTCTGGTTGCTATCTCTTTTAGTTTGAAAGATATTCGCTTTTGAAAATTGTCAAAAAAATTATCAAGCACCCCCCCTTGGGAATTTTTTCTTAAGAATTAAAATTTCATCTCTTAGATTTCCGTTTTAACTAGCCTATCTTATAGAGAATAGTCCATAGATTAAGACGCTGCGATGCGATCTTAATTATCTCTTTTAGTTTACGAGATATTCGCGATTGAATAAAATGGGCAAAAATTGATAAATGTCACTTTTTAGCACTTTTATTCGCGTTTTTCGACCTTTTACTGTAGGAAATATAATTATTGTATATTTTTATCTGATACAGAATTTTCCAATCTTTCATAATCAACAATTCGTTTGTAGCTATCTCTTTTAGTTTAAGAGATATTAATTTTTGAAAATCGTCGAAAAAAAGTATCAAGCACCCCCCCTTGGCGATTTTTTTCTTAAGATTTAAAATTTCTTTTTTCAAATTTCCCTTTTAACTATCTCATCTGATAGAGATTGGTCCGTAGATTAAGACGCTGCGATCAGATCTTATTTATCTCTTTTAGTTTACGAGATATTCGCGATTGAATAAAATGGGCAAAAATTGCAAAATGTCACTTTTTAGCACTTTTAGTCGCGTTTTTCGACCTTTTACTCTGGGAAATATAATTATTGTATATTTTTATCTGATACAGAATTTTCCAATCTTTCATAATCAACAATTCGTTTGTAGCTATCTCTTTTAGTTTAAGAGATATTAATTTTTGAAAATCGTCGAAAAAAAGTATCAAGCACCCCCCCTTGGCAATTTTTGTCTTAAGAATTAAAATTTCATCTCTCAGATTTCCGTTTTAACTATCCTATCTGATAGAAAATGGTCCGTAGATTAAGACGCTGCGATCAGATCTTATTTATCTCTTTTAGTTTACGAGATATTCGCGATTGAATAAAATGGGCAAAAATTGCAAAATGTCACTTTTTAGCACTTTTAGTCGCGTTTTTCGACCTTGTACTGTAGGAAATATAATTATTTTATATTTTTATCCGATAGACAATTTTCCAATCTTTCATAATCAACGATTCGTTGGTAGCTATCTCTTTTAGTTTAAGAGATATTAATTTTTGAAAATCGTCGAAAAAAAGTATCAAGCAATTTTTGTCTTAAGAATTAAAATTTCATCTCTCAGATTTCCGTTTTAACAATCCTATCTGATAGAGAATGGTCCGTAGATTAAGACGCTGCGATCAGATCTTAATTATCTCTTTTAGTTTACGAGATATTCGCGATTGAATAAAATGGGCAAGAATTGATAAATGTCACTTTTTAGCACTTTTAGTCGCGCTTTTCGACCTTTTACTCTAGGAAATATAATTATTGTATATTTTTATCTGATACAGAATTTTCCAATCTTTCATAATCAACAATTCGTTTGTAGCTATCTCTTTTAGTTTAAGAGATATTAATTTTTGAAAATCGTCGAAAAAAAGTATCAAGCACCCCCCCTTGGCAATTTTTTTCTTAAGAATTAAAATTTTATCACTCAGATTTCCGTTTTAACTATCCTATCTGATAGAGAATAGTCCGTAGATTAAGACGCTGCGATCAGATCCTATTTATCTCTTTTAGTTTACGAGATATTCGCGATTGAATAAAATGGGCAAAAATTGATAAATGTCACTTTCACTCACGAAAATCGTCGATAAAAATTATCATTACATTGGCAATTTTTTCTTAAGAATTAAAATTTCATTTCTTAAATTTCCGTTTAAACTAGTCTATCTAATAGAGAATTTTTCGTAGATTCAAAATCTGCATTTGTTCCTTTTATCTCTTTTAGTTTACGAGATATTCGCGATTTAAGGAAATGGCCAAAAATTGAAAAATCTCACTTTTTAGCACTTTCAGTCGCGTTTTTCAACCCTTTACCTCATTAAATTAAATTATTTTAATTTTATCTGATAGATATTCGTTATCGAAAATCATCGAACACACATGACGCAGCCCATTTTTTCTTCTGGATTCTTTTTTGATTTCATAGGGTTTTTAATAATGAAGCTTATCTTATAGAAATGTTTAAGAATCATTAATCTGTTCCGTTCTATCGCGTTTAGTTCTTGAGGGAATCAAGTAAAATTAGAAGATTTCTTTTATTCGTCGTGGTCAGATTCTCATGCCACATCCATTTGCCGCCTGCAGCAGTATACTCGTAGTTCAAATCGCATATATGTGTGGTACCAAATGCAATTCGCGCACAAGGTCGCCGTCGACTTTGCGCATTTCTGACTTTCTTATCATAAACTGTCGCGCCGTTGCTTGCGCGGCTACGGCTTGTGCTATCGTTGCAGCCAGTTCGTGCCGATCGGTGGTTGGTCCAGACGTGTTTTGAGAAACTCGTATTGATTATTCGGACTTCTGTTTTTAAATTTGCGTTATATTTGATTATCAATCGACTATTTAATTATAGCTACTAGGCTAATGATACTTATTATTTCCGCGTTTAATGTACATTATTGAATCAAAGTGGTAGATATTTGATACGGTTTCGTGTGCATACTTATGCAAGTTACAAAGTTCGGTGTCAGTTGCTAAATAAATCGGATTTAGAATCGCATCCATGTAGATTTTTTCATCATTATTCTTGTGTAAGTAACTTTTAACTCAATAATATGAGATATTGTATTTTTTTCTCCAATGTATGATTATATTATTATTAAATCTTATGAAATCTTTCAACTTCTTTTCTTTAAATTACAGCACTTGATGTTCTTTGGTGACTGATGTATACAACAATTCGTAAGTTTAAAATTTAATTATATTTTTCATTCTAATTTACGCGACAAACATTTATGAGTATTGGCTCAATACGTACCTCAAAATTGCCACGATACTTTGCTTTTTTTTAGAAATTTTCAACTTCTTCAGTTACTGAAGATGCCCTCGTGGCGAAACATGTATAACCAGTACCGGCGATAGGGCATGGCGCGGTTGAGCGACCGTCAAGGGGCGATGGACTTTAAGGGGGGCCGACTCGCACTTGGCCGGTTTTTTCGTATGGATTTGAATTGCAGTTAGGGGGCGCCGTAGAAATCTCGCCCAGGGCGCTGGTAGTGCTAAAACCGGCACTGACTGTAAGTTCGGAATATTTTTCTTAGATGCGGAATTTAATTCTGTATCTCCCTGTATCGAAATTTATTTCGAGAAAATTCCGTAACGCGAGTTATATTGATAGTTGTGTGTATACACACCTGTACTCGTTGTGCTAGGAATAGTAGTTTTTTTTTATTATAATAACACGCGAACGCGGTTTTACTGTACGTTCGGAATAATTTTCTTATATGCGGAATTTAATTCTGTATCTCTCTGTATCAAAACTTATTGCGAGAAAATTCCGTATCACGAGTTATATTGATATTTGCGTGTATACACACTTGTACTCGTTGCGCTAGGAATTGTAGTTTTCTTATTATAACACGCGAACGCGGTCTTACTATAAGTTCGGAATAATTTTCTTAGATGCGGAATTTAATTTTGTATCTCCATATATTAAAATTTATTGCTAGAAAGTTCCGTAACGCGAGTTATATTAATAGTTGTGTGTATACGCACTTGTACTCGTTGCGCTAGGAATAGTAGTTTTTTTTATTATAACACGCGAACGCGGTCTTACTGTACGTTCGAAATAATTTTTTTATATGCGGAATTTAATTCTGTATCTCCCTGTATCAAAACTTATTGCTAGAAAATTTCGTAACGCGAGTTATATTGATAGTTGTGCGTATTCGCACTTGTACTCGTTACGCTGGTAATTGTAGTTTTTATAATAACACGCGAACGCGGTCTTACTATAAGTTCGGAATAATTTTATTAGATGCGGAATTTAATTTTGTATCTCCCTATATTAAAATTTATTGCTAGAAAATTTCGTAACGCGAGTTATATTGATAGTTGTGTGTATTTGCACTTGTACTCGTTGCGCTGGTAATTGCAGTTTTTTTATAATAACACGCGAACGCGGTCTTACTATAAGTTCGCAATAATTTTATTAGATGCGAAATTTAATTTTGTATCTTCCTATATCAAAATTTATTGCTAGAAAATTCCGTAACGCGAGTTATATTGATAGTTGTGTGTATTTGCACTTGTACTCGTTGCGCTGGTAATTGCAGTTTTTTTATAACACGCGAACGCGCACTTGTACTCGTTGCGCTAGGAATTGTAGTTTTTCTATTCTAAAACGCGAACGCGGTCTAACTAGAAGTTCGGAATAATTTTATTAGATGCGGAATTTAATTCTGTATCTGCCTTTATCGAAATTTATTGCGAGAAAATTCCGTAACGCGAGTTATATTGATAATTGTGTATATACGCACTTGTACTCGTTGCGCTAGTAAATGTAGTTTTTTTTATTATAACACGCGAACGCGGTCTTACTATAAGTTCGGAATAACTTTATTATATGCGGAATTTTGTATCTCCCTATATTAAAATTTGTTGCTTGAAAATTTCGTAACGCGAGTTATATTGATAATTGTGTGTATACGCACTTGTACTCGTTGCGCTAGGAATTGTAGTTTTGTTAGTATTACACGCGAACGCGGTCTTACTATAAGTTAAGAATAATTTTCTTAGATGCGGAATTTAATTTTGTATCTCCCTATATTAAAATTTATTGCTAGAAAATTCCGTAACGCGAGTTATATTGATAGTTGTGTGTATTTGCACTTGTACTCGTTGCGCTGGTAATTGCAGTTTTTTTATAATAACACGCGAACGCGGTCTTACTGTAAGTTCGAAATAATTTTATTAGATGCGGAATTTAATTCTGTACCTGCCTTTATTGAAATTTATTGCGAGAAAATTCCGTAACGCGAGTTATATTGATAGTTGTGTGTATACGCAGTTGTACTCGTTGCGCTAAGAATTGTAGTTTTTATTATAACACGCGAACGCGGTCTTACTATAAGTTCGCAATAATTTTATTAGATGCGAAATTTAATTTTGTATCTTCCTATATCAAAATTTATTGCTAGAAAATTCCGTAACGCGAGTTATATTGATAGTTGTGTGTATTTGCACTTGTACTCGTTGCGCTGGTAATTGCAGTTTTTATAATAACACGCGAACGCGGTCTTACTGTAAGTTCGAAATAATTTTATTAGATGCGGAATTTAATTCTGTACCTGCCTTTATTGAAATTTATTGCGAGAAAATTCCGTAACGCGAGTTATATTGATAGTTGTGTGTATACGCACTTGTACTCGTTGCGTTAGGAATTGTAGTATTTCTATTCTAACACGCAAACGCGGTCTAACTATAAGTTCGGAATAATTTTATTAGACGCGGAATTTAATTCTGTATTTGCCTTTATCGAAATTTATTGCGCGAAAATTCCGTAACGCGAGTTATATTGATAATTGTGTATATACGCACTTGTACTCGTTGCGGTAGAAATTGTAGTTTTTTTTATTATAACACGCGAACGCGGTCTTACAGTAAGTTCGGGATAATTTTATTAGATGCGGAATTTAATTCTGTATCTCCCTGTATCGAAATTTATTGCGAGAAAATTCCGTAACGCGAGTTATATTGATAGTTGTGTGTATACGCACTTGTACTCGTTGCGCTAAGAATTGTAGTTTTTTTATTATAACACGTGAACGCGGTCTTACTGTAAGTTCGGAGTAATTTTGTTAGACGCGGAATTTAATTCTGTATCTCCCTGTATCGAAATTTATTGCGAGAAAATTCCGTACTTTTGCTTAGTATAAAGTTGCCTTGTATTTTAATTTAGTTGAAATCACGGCGAGAGGTCATGATTATGAACGACGCGTTTTCGAAATTAGAAATTCTACTATTAATATTCGTTTTTTAGGTTTGCTATCTATACGTCGAAAGATGTGGCACAACTCCGGAAGAACAGGCGGAATGCATTTGTCCAGACTGCGACTGTTTTATTGAAATATTTTAAGGCAAGTCTTTACGTTCTTGGAATTTCATAGCCATGGTAATTTTCGATATGAATAATTGTATATATTTTTATATAATGTTTGTAAATAAAACACAATATAATATTACAGTCTCTTCAATATTTCTTTTTGGTATTCTCTTTGTCGTTTTCAGGATTGACGTCTTAAGTTATATTGTATATAAATCTTTTGCGTGTTGAGCGTGTGCAACATAGCTAAGGCTTGTGTTGTTGTTTTTAAAAAGTTGAATAAAGTAAAAACATAAATAGAAGAATAACAAAAACACTCGGTGGTCGAGTGGAGACGTGCACCTGCTGGCATGCTAGTAGACACGGATCAAATCTCAGGTATGGAAGGCATTTTTCTCAAATATAAAAATATCAGGTGTAATTTGGGTTGCATATATGAATTGCAACGAAATATAAGAGAAATTGAAATACAAGTGGAGGCAAAATAAGAGAAGTAAGAAAGTAAATGGAGAACGGGAGAACAGAGAAATAGAAGAATGAGAGTGGTAGAGAATAGGAGAAGATAAAAGGAAGAAACAACAGAGGAGTAGAGTAGAGAAGAGGAGGAAATAGAAGAAAGAGAACAGGGGAGGATCAGATTTTTAAATTTTTTGGCCCGTGTCGTTAGACAGTCTACTGCTTCGATGCGTCCATTGCTCCCGGCCCATCCTACAGCTACGATGTCTCTGCGCTTCATCCCCGAAATTATCAGGCATATCAACAATTTTATGGTGGGGATCACCCCAGAGAGGGGAACTCCTTATAAGGACAATCCTTATAAGGCCTTGTTCAAATATTTCAAGTTTTAAGTCGCCTCAAGAGAGGTGACACTTAAAAATATTCTTACAAGTTCTGACCTGTAGCTGAAATGAAAGAAGGAGTACACAAATCATACAGGTTACCTTAACAATTTTTATAGAGGGGATCATCCCCTGAGAGAGGGAACTCTCTTAGAGACCAGTTCCTGAAATGATAGTAGGCGAACACACAAATCAAAGAAGTCAATATATCTTACTATTTCTTTATTAATAGAATACAAGTTTAGATTTTACAAGTCAACAGAATACATGCCGCCGTATTGAGACAGGACTTACGAGCTGCATAGCCGCGCACATATAAGCAAGTACCACTTCGTACAGTTCTGCCGGGATAAAGAAATTAGCAAATAGTCCATTTTCTAGGTGATTGAAAATGGGAACAAATATACTGGGTGTTACAAATAAAAAAATTAATATGACAACAGAAAATCAATTAAACACTACAAATATTGCTCGTTTTTCACTCGAGGCTTCGGGAAACTGATATACAGGGTGTCACAAAAAGAAAATAACTTCACTTTAGAATATACGTCAATGGCAAACTTTTAAACACTACAAGTATGGCTATTTTTTCACGTGACATAAAGGAAAATTGATATACAGGGTGTTGTAAAAAGAAAATTCATAGATCGAAACGAGACACTCCAAAACAACAAATACAGCTCATTTATGTATGGATGTCAAAGCAAATTAAGATACAGAGTGCCTCAAACAGATATTTGCAACTTGCAATTAAGAAACAACCAAAACCTACAAGTTTAGCTTATGTTCACGCAATGAAAAGGAATGCACAGATTGTTAGAGAAAGAAAATCCAAAGTTCAAGAAAGACGAGGACCAAAACTAGAGAGACAATCTATTTTTCACGTAATACCAGGATACAGAAATGGGCAGGATGTTATACAAAAAACAATTTATAATAAAATGTAATATTATTTTTTTAATAGTCCCGCTTGAGATGCTAGCCGACGGTCGACGGGACGCCATAAATTTACACTAAGACACGTTAATTGTTGATGAAATGCAAATAGATTTAGCACATTAATGCTACGGTTTTAATGTTACGTTACGTGTTAGTGTTACGCGTAATGAAAACAAAGAAATTTTACTTACATGGAAGCTCCTATATTTGCTAATTGAGAACCAACAAATTCTATTCCAAAATTGAGTTCTGTATAATTCCACAGGTGAAGAATAATCAGCGACGGCCGACGGAACCACATGCGAGCACAAATAAACTAACGATGAATCTGCGATTGATGCACATTTAACGCCTGCAATCGTACTACGAGTAGCAAAACTCCGGATCACGCCCGATTCCTATATATGCCGTTAATTGTTTGTGGAATATAAACCGATACCTATACCTAATTATAATCGGACGAAACAGAACTAGTTGTGATGAACACGCGCGATTTATCCGGCGTTCGAAATAAAACTGCAACGTGCCCAGTCCACGGCGACAACACGCGGTCACTATCAGTTTGCAATATGCTTGGTGAACGCGACCCTGGAGATAGGTTGTTTCATTTTGCATGTTGGCTGCGCGCAACTCAAAACAATGCTAATCACTATTACTAATAAAGGCAGGATGTCATGAATAATAAAATAAATAAAAATGTTATAAGCAGGAATACAAAGAATAACAACTAGATTCTAGAAGACAATCTAAAATTGCAGGAAGAGATCTTCCTAAACTTCCAAAAATCAACGAATTTTCCAATGTTGGGTTATCATTATCCCAAAAAAACATTTTTAAATAAAATTTTGTCTATAATTATATAGATATTCTTTATTCTTCATATACATCAGTATATAAAGAAAGTAAATTCAAAGAAATTTAAAAAGAATAACATATATGCATCTGTATTATAGCCCCCTACTTACATCAAGAATATTTGTCTTAGATTCTCCTTGTACTTCCAGTCCTGGCATATCTACATTTCTAGTAAGAACTACAAATCCTGGGAAACTTAAATTTATTATTTAAATACAATGAAAATTTGTAACCAAAATATCATCCATACAAATAATATTATGCACACAATTCACCACATAGTGCCATGCCTCTTCTTCATATGGCAGTACATACAAAACTCCCAATATAATTTATTGGGGTATTAATATAATTTCATATAAATATAACTAGTGTTCCTTGGAAGCCATATGTCGCATCAAATTATTAATGAATTTGTCAATTTTCCTAACATCCTGAGCAATCTCTGTTTTAAATTGTAAACACTAAAACAAGCATAACACTGTATTAATTTCAATAACCGCCATAATAATCAATACCAAACTTACTACAACATCATCAGTCATCTTCAGTACAAGCTGGTTCTTTGAATGAGTGTACTTCATTGTATATCGCACTTTAGTCGGTTCCTGAAGGTATAAACGTTCTCCTGCCTTTTCAAAGTCCTCCCACGTTTTTATGTAAGTCATTTTAAATTATATTGTCAACTAATTAATTAGGTAAACTAAGATTGAGCCAAACAAATCGAATACCACAAGGAAACTTTCTTGTGAACATAAACTTAACCTACACGCCACGTTTGACACACGAGTTGCCAACTGTGAACGAAGGTTCACAACTCGGTAGAAATTACTAAAATCTCGCTAGATACAAAACGTTTTCATTTTCCTTTGCTAGTGATGGCAGCAATGCGTTTATTTTCCCTTTTGAATTCGAAAATTTGAATGAACTTATTCAAGAAACAAATAACTGACAACATGGAATTTGACTAAAGGCAGAAACGAAAGTTTAGCAAATCTATTTAAGTAGATACAGTCTGTTATCCCCTATCAATAAAGCCTGTACATGATTCCAGCATAAATATATTTTGTATATACATAAAAGAAGGAATATCAAAAATTGCGTTAATGTTGTTGCCCTTGTCTGCTGTCGAACGATTACACTTACAATATTACGCCAAGAACTATAAAACCGTGTATCATTTGTTGTTTTCGTTTAGAATATTTTTATTTTTGTACACATTTCCTCTATAAGTGCATGTGTTCCGTCCGAAGACTGATCGAATTCCAAATGGCACAAAACTAACTTTAAAGAGAACAAAGTACAAACATCGGTGTGATTTCGCATAAATGTGAAAATACTATTATATTCATGCTAAAATGGCTAATGATATAATATATTCGACACAGATCAGCAGTATTTTCACCGTTCATGTTTTGTATTAGCGTGTAGTTGTGAGTGCCTCTTTTGCACAAGTAGGATGAGTATATCGTTGTAATTGTAGTAAATCGTAGATTATAAACAACAATCGCTGCATGAAAATGCAATTTAATTCATAGTATTATTCAACTGGTTGAGTCAATGACGTGATCGATTAAACTATAGTGTGATATTTATATTCATATGAGTTTCTTTCTACCGTTAGGGCGGAAGAAAGTGTTCGGTATTGTTCGCTGAGCATACAGATTTGAAAAATTTCGTTGAAAAACGCTTACTTTGTAGCGAGGTCACACACTTTTGATGAATATGTTTATGAATACAAGTGCAAAATTATATCAGTCTAACAATTAATTGATTACTTACGATATAAAAGTATATATAGGTATTTACAAAATAATTAAATTCCAAGATTAATTAATTAATCCATATATCTATATCAAAAAATAATAGTAATAACTTATTAAATCGCACACGACTTGCAGGCCATGCAAAAATCTCCGCGGATTGCGCATTCGCTACAACTAAAGTTAAATTCATCTTTGGATTATACAAAATAGTATCATATAAGTTGTAAAAAGTCATCCATCTTCGTGCGCCAACAACATTCGTATCCTGTCAAGTCACACGCTGATCGAACGAACGATCAGGGAAATTTCGTTTTTGTTTCATTGCCTAATTTTTAAAAATATATGTAGAAACTATACTTCACATCCACTTTTTGTCAGCATTTTCACACACTCTAAACATATAATTTACAAATGAAGACTAGCATAATTGTCATTATAAATAAAAAATAAAATAGATGTTCTGCAACTATTTCTTTTTGTCGCGCGCGCACAACGATATAATTCTCCAAAAGGGTTCGCACGATATATAATCGTCGTAGAATAGACAAAAATGTCGCCGCAAAGACCAGAATAAAAAACAAGTTAGTTGAAACGTTAAATAATAAACATTTCCATTGAGCATGTGGGTGTAAAACTTGTAAAATTAACATATTTGTATCACAGTTGAGTGAAAAATGAATTTACAGACAATCTAAAATATCCCTAATAAAAAAGACGAATACAATTGCTTTAAACTACTCGT